GAATAGGCTAATTAAAAAGAACTTTTATTATAGGCTAAGTATGTGTAAGATTCCTACAGAAAATAGTAACACTTAGAAACTCATTTAATATTAACTAAAGAAAAGGCTTTTCCTTGAAAATATTATATTTAAATAAAGCAGAAGTCTTTTAAAATTATAAACTTACTTTGTACTCAAAAGACTGAAGGTTACGTAATTTTCAGTGCATACATCTATTTAAGGACCCTCTATATACTAGAGGAAAAGATTTTTTTTGGACATTGAGAAAATTATAGCGTGTAAAGGTATAAATATTGAGCTTAATTATTTCATTTTCAACACAGCGTTCCTTACATTTACCCCCAGGAAAAATTTTCAAAGACAATGAAGTATGATGAACAGAAATTACTGTTGTTTACCTAAGTGGACAAAATACCTGCAAATGAAGTGTTCAATCTATTCATCTTGACCTATTAAAATGTTATGAATGCTTAATTTGATCATAAGTTAAGTAATAAACTGTACATTTCAATTAATTTTATTCTTGATCAAAGGGCAGATTACACTATCAATTCAATTCAATTCAATTTATTCACTCAAAAACCATGTAAATGGTTACATGAGGTACATAAACATATAAAACATATATACATATAATACAGTGGGTCAAGCAAAAGGTGAGATTAATTAAGCTAGCTAGGGAGAACAGACCATACTATTAATCTTAGTAATAAATGTACATAATTTTTTCAAAGAATCAATGTTCATCATTTTGGCACATAACTTCACAAAACTTCATAGTGTTTGGCTTAGAACAAAATTTTGGGTTTAAAAAAATTTTCCTCGCTTGGTTTAAAGCACTACATTCTAAAATATAATGATATTCATCTCCTATCTGATTACTATCACATAAGCTACAGAATCTTTCACTTATTTGAGTACCATTCCATCTACCTGTTTCAATTGGAAGGTGGTGGTTTGTGGTTCTAAATTTAACTAAAGTTTTTCTAAATTTACATGATAACAGTGTTAAATATTTTTCGCACTCAAAATTGGTTTTAAAAATTCTATAATTTAAACTTTTTGAAGATTCTTGAACTTCACTATTCCACTTTTGAATATATTGATCTTTTAATCTTTGTTTGACTGTAGCAGTTATCCATTCTACATTATAGAAATGATTTGAACATATTTTATTGCAATAAATATATACAGTGGGATTGGGCACAAGTTCTAAAAACTTAATTCGCCCTCTCCCTACATGTTATATCACAAAAAATTCAATCAGACGTGTCCAACAGCATGTACAAAGTAAATTAACTCACAACATAGAAACATATACTGCTAAATTATTATCTATACACATTTTTAGAAAAATCAATTAAATCTGCCTGAATGCTGAATATAAGATTGAACAATAGAGAAGAGATATTCATTTTCAGCAATACTGAGTGAGGTATCCCCCCAGAGTAAAGTATGAGTGTCAACAATATGAACTTTATTAAATCTCAAAAACTTATCGAAGAAATCTTTCCTGGCCTCAGTGTAATTAGGACATGAGAAAAAATAATGATGTGTGTCTTCTACCTTACCACAAGAGCATAATGGACTAGATATTATGTTACACCTATAAAGATCAATGTTTAGCACACAATTGTGTCGGAGTCTAGTGTGCAGTATATTGTAGCGTCTTTTTCCAAAACTGAAATAAGGCGGGGCTATTGTTATTTTTTGTGTGATTTTACTTTTAAAAGCAGATAAGGAGCTCGAAAGTCTGGTGTCTAGCGATAAAGAATTCCACTCGTTTACTACAGTTGGTACAAATGATGATTTGTATGTTTGCAGTCTACAGACGGGTATATTATAATTTTGAGAGTTTCTTGTTGTATACGCGGAAGCATTACATCGCATTTCAGGTATAATTTCACGTAGATAATCAGGAACTAAATTATTATGAATTTTATACATGGTATTCAATCTCTGAATCTTGCGTCTATCAATGAGCGGTTCCCAGCCTGTTTCAAAGTACAAAGAGTCTCTAGATGCAATTAAGGTCAAGCCAGTAACAATCCGCGCTGCGTGTAGTTGCAATTTCTCTAATTTTTCAGAGTCGATAGCTAGACAACCACCCCATACAACTGAAGCGTATTCGAGCTGAGGGCGGATAAATGAAGTATACATGAGTGAAAGAGTCTTTATAGAAATATTGCTCATACCATATATTTGATAAACCACATCTGTCAAAAATATTTTGTACAAATGAAATCTGCATAAAAATAACACAAAATCAGAACTCTTCAGTGCGCAGTGTATATAGAGGGCTCTTAAGCATCATCTATGCGCATTACTTTTCAGTGGAATATTTCGGTATGTTTTGTATTCTGTTTTTCTCATTTTAAGTAAATGTAAAAAAAAAAAAAAAAAAAAAAAAAAAAAAAAAAAAAACTTCTATATTATATATTTTTTAATGTATCTGTAGGATGATAATGTGATCTGATTAGCCATTTGGTTTAAAGAGTAAATTAACAATCCTACCATTAAAAACTAGCGGAATTGTGAGTACTCAGCTCACAAAATCATACTCCCCACACCCATATGATTATAATGACAAAGTCATGTCCATGTTTTGCAGTGGGAAACCCCAAATATCTATCCGATCAGAATGAAAAATAAGCGGTGCACAATGGCACTGTGTATTGTGTAATAAAGATGAAAAGTTTCATTAAATTTTATTCAGTGGTAAAGAAGGGGTTATAGATAAGAGATGGTTACCCCCCATGTTATAGAAAGAATTGCCGCGTTCATATTTTACTATTGCAAACCAAAATGTCTGTCCCATCAAAACGAAAAATGGGAGGGGCACAATTGCATATTATATTAAAAGAATATAATAAAGAGACTGTGAAAGTCTGATTATATTTTATTCATTAGTATAGTAGGAGTTGCGGATAAGAGATGGGTACAACCCATATTATAGGAAAAATGGCAGTGTCCAGGTTTTGCTATGGGAAACCCCAAATATCTGTCCGATCGAAAAATAAAAATAGGAGGTGCACAATGGGATATGTTATAAAGATTCCATGAAAAGAGGAGTTGCGGATAAGAGATGGGTACCCCAAAGCGTAATAGACGGACGGGTACCCCCAAGTATTACGGATGTACGGTAGGACATACGGAAGGATGGTCACACCATTACTCTGCACTTTTCATGAAGGGAGGGGGGAGAAAAAAAAAGAGAAAGTATTGGTAAAACAAGAGCAGATTCTTCTTCATTGCTTGTTTTGATAACTTTACTTATTAGTCTTTTTTCCTTTTGGTGACTGTAATACTAACACTGAAGATTTGTCATGATATAAAACTTATCAGTTTCGGTCACAATGAAGGAAAAAAAACAGAAAGTAAAAAGTTATTTCTGGGATTATCCCATGACCTTGACCTTTGACGACCTTAACCTTTGACCAAAAGGTCAGAATCAATAATTAATTTACTCCTCTTCTGCTTATAGAAGTCGCGCACTAAGACGTATACAGACTCCAGGCCTCTTGTCCCAAGATATCCCTTTTGATATATAATTCTAAATCTTTTGAATCAAAAAGAAAAATACCTGCGTCTGCAGGGCTCATTATTCTACTTGGGTCATTTTTATTCACGTAGGATATGCATTATTCGTCTTTACACCGCCATGAGCCCTTTTTAATTATATTGAGCAGGTTGACGGAGTAATTTAGTATAAAGCAATGGCTTAACAATTGGTATAAAAAAGGTCAGCCATAATATGACCCTATGATAGGTTTTATTTGCAAACAATGTCATTATAACGACAATGTTTTTTTGAAATACTTTTAACGAGCCCGAGGTTGTTGAATTCCCTCTATTTATTTGACAGTAGCTTGCCTCTCAGAGCATGCTTTTACGTATCGAATACGTTTGGAGACACAAACACTATATGCAAGTGATAGTGGAATATTACTATATAAATCAGAAACGTTGACTTTCAAACACTTAATACAGCCATTTCCCACAATAAATTAATGACCAGGCTCAAAGACAAATGCTTTGTATTAAGAGTGGAACTCGCAAATTTTCCTATCTTGTCATCTACAAACTTACTTTGCAACAAATATTCTGATTCTACATTCAAGTACTCTGAAGATGACATTGAAAAAATGCTCGAGTTCCTCATTGACAACATCTATGTAATCTTTGGAGATCAGGTTTTCCAACAAATTGTTGCAATTCCCATGAACATTAATTAATGTACCCCATTATTGTTTTTGAAGCATTATTCTTATGAAGCATACTAGTAATTTATGAAATAACTTTAACATGAAAAGAAGTCTCTTGCTATGGCTTTCAATTCGACATTTCATGTAGATATATTGATGACGTTTTATCAATGAACAATACTGATTTTCATTCATACAATGATTCGACCTATCCAATTGAATTCGAAATAAAAGACACAACGAAGTCTTGCACATCTGCTTCATATTTTGATATTTTACTAGAGAAAGGAATTGGTCTGTTTCACATTGGACATTTTACTAGATTTAAGCTGGTCCTAAATTTCAATTCTTAGTCTGCCTCATCCCCACCCACCCCCCAAAAAACCGTCACAAATTCTTGGTTTACCAATACACTATAAGACTTCAAACATTGAAATCTAAAAGCCTAATAAAATATTTTTAATCAGAAGAAACAATGCGGCAGTCAGATATCCTCGTTTAGAGCAAATTCATGTTTGTTCAAATTCTGACCTCTGGAGATTCATGGGCACACTATCTACTGAAGGCTTGGTGTTCCTTAAGTAAGGGACGCCGAAGTGATTAAAAATAATTGAAGAAGTAGGCGCTTATCCTGTCAACATCCTGAAAAGTGAACAATTGTCTGATATTTAAACGGGGATCCCTGTGAAAATTTCAGTTTATGTGCCAACTTATTCTGCAATAATATCTGTAGATCAGTTGTTTATACATTTTCAAATGTTTGGAATAAACTAAGAAAAAATACGACTAGGAAAATTCAGCAATACTTTTTATTTGCCAAAAGAAGATAACACTTCACAGATACACACACACACGAAGAGAAAAATAATTATTCTACTTTTTCTACACCAAGTTGTTAATGTTTCTACATGTACTTATATTGATATATTCTTCCCATAAGAAAAAAATCAGTGGAACAAAAATAGTTCACATTAAAAGAGGCTAACATTTAATCTGAATTTATGTATACATTATATGACCTTCACCATCATTATAAAGTGAGTGAGGTTAAAACACCCCTCTCTTTACTATCTCTAAAGCTTACATTGTACACATTTCACATAGTAAAGCAAAATCCAACTCAACTTTAATTTCCAATGACGACAATACTTAAAATAACATCCGAGATCAAATGAACAGGCATAAAAATGGGCACATGAAAAATTATGCTAATCTAGTTAAATTTATTCTAAAAAGCAAAATTAGAAATAAATCAATAAATTATAGATTGGTGATGTGTTCAATCCATATGTTGTTTTTTAATGATAAGTTTAAAACACTCAGTGGTGACAAGTTTCTGGAAAAAAATGAATCACATTAAATGCCAGAAAATGCCCAATAAAATGCTGCATTTCTTGGGGGGTGGGGGTGGGGGGTGGAAGGGTAATATTTGAACACTAGTTTCTTATTTTTGTGCCAAATTTAAACAGAAAAAATACTCTTCTGAAAGGCGAACAAGGATATAATATTAAAAGCTGCTTGTCAATAGATATGTTTAAATCCCCCAGTCTCACACACACACATATATAAAGCAATTTTATACTGTATTCATACTGTGACCAAAATAATTTTTGAGGAAAAAAATCTTTCTTCTAAATCTGAGGTTTTGTGTCATTATTTCATTTTTGTAACATTCATACATATAATTCAAACACAGCAAAGCCAAACTAAACTCACACATCGCAAAACAAATTTCACGCACCCATCTAACATCATATAAATGCAGTAATTTTATTATTAAACTTAAAATCTAGAGAATTATTGTTACCATTCTTGTAAATTCATATTTCATCAACAATCACCATTCAGCAAAAATACAACTCCAGTTAAAGCAAGTTTGTGTAAGTAAAGGGAAATAACTTACAAATGATATCATGATGCTAGACACTCAGTTCAATATTTATAGAAATCAATGTGCAACACAATAAGCAAAGAATTCTTCATGTGAAATATCAGATAACATTCAAAGCTTAAAAATATACATAGAATTTACATTTAAAAGTTTTAAAATTACAAATCATAAATAATTTTAAAATTATATGTATACAGATTACACCTATAACACTAGTAGTCACTGTTCTATCAGTCATTTATCTTAATATGACAGTAAGAATCTAGTAAAACCACTCTCTCATATCAAATCATCCTTTTATAGTATACCAAAGAAAGAACACAACAAAATATTATGATGTATTAGCTTAAAAACAAAAGTAAAATAAATAAAGCAGAGATTTAAAAAGAAAAAACACCTAGATATATCCTTAATAATAAAGTAAATTGGATAATTAAATAATAACAATGAAAATATAGGTCAAGTTTGTGTCAAATTGTACAAACACTTGTGTAAGTATTTTTATTATGACTAATATGTTAAACATTAAAGTATAAAGGATACTTGTATACATAAAATATTCATTTATCTAAGATAACAGTCATCATGACAAATGCTCCAAATTATACTGTACTTCAATCATTTAGTAATGTCGCTATTCTAACAGAGGTGATACTAATATGACAGCTATATAAATACATTAATTTTCCACTAATAAAATAACTCAGAGTAAATAACAAATTTATTGAAGGTACTGAGTTCAGTACACCACTATAAGTACAAGGTTCAAAAAAAAAAACATAAATAGCCTAACGCCAATAAGCAACACAAATAAGATCCCTTAACAAGTGTCACAGAGGAGATCAGGAATTACAGTATGTAAATAGTGATGTACATGTATACATTTCTTATATATATAGTGATGTATATATTTCCTATCTATAAATTTTCAACTTTGAACAAAATAAAAATTTAGCCACCAGGGAAAAACAAATTCAAGTTCAGATGTTGTGATGAATAACAAATATACAACTCACTTTAGTTAATTCTTTAACATAACAGTTATAATATCTTTATCCCCAAGTGGGGGAAACAAAAATATACAAAAATATTGATATTCATTTCAACAATGGATGAGTTATCAAAAATATTGATAAAAAAGTTAAACACTGAGATTCTGTCATGTCTGGAACACATAGTGATGTCCTGAATCTGTACTAGGCTGTATGAGGAAATAAATTAACAATACAGGAAGATGAGGAATGTCATGTGACAGGTCATGTGATAGGTCATGTGACAATAAAAGACCAATTATCTGTCACTGGACATGAAATAAAGATGTCTGTATAATGTTGTGTGTTTATACATCTTTCCTCTCCTCTGGCATTACCATCAGCAGCTTCTGAATTGTCAGTGATGCCCGATCTGCAAAGAACAAATTGTAAAGTATGTTACTATAGATTTTTTGTTTCTGGAAGATTTATATCCTGTAGTCTGTGCAAACTACTGCTTTTAAGAATCTAAAGTTTAGGAAACCTTGTAATGTTAAAGCCTAAATCTTGTTTGATTTTGGTTTTTATTTTGTTTTTCTTAAAGTTCTAAATTCACTTTTTAACTTAAAAAAAAACAATACTGCCTGAACCACCAGATAATAAATAACCTCTGGAATATTTTAGATAAACTTAAGTTGCTTTACTTTATATTTTACAGTGGGGAAAAAATGAGGCAACCATTCTGGGTTAAAAAAACAACACAAAATGGTAGAGAATCTCCTAACAAATGATGTGTTACATCTCTTTAACAGTGTATAATGTATAACACAGCAGGCAGCATGCTTATTTCAGTAAAAAACTTTAAATACATCTACAGCTCATGATGTTAAAGTTTTTCAATCATGGTTTAACAGAATATTATTGCACAAATTTCTGAGTTTTCTACATCTTGTTGTTATCTCTATACAGGAAATTGTACAATAAAGGTATGACAATTATTAAAGCTGGCTGTCTAAGGTAAATTCACACTCAATTAATATTTATAAGTTCATATGAAGCCAATTTAAATACAACTGTAACCAGTTATCCCTTCATCAAGCATGCAAGCAAGCAACACTGATATGTAGTGCAATCTAGCAACAAAACAACATATGACCTAAAAAGGGAGGTTGTTCCACAAATATTAATCCAAAATCCCTGATCAAACTCTGGTTTTCCCCTATCAGAATGAACAATCCAAATTGTTTCAACTATTCTTCACATCTGCCTCAGTTATAATAAACAGGCTACCCATGTTTGAGACTTTGATTTAATGCCTCTAAAGCAGACTTGTTTTTCATTTTATTTTTTTTTTTTTAAATAAATACTGTAACGTATCTAGACTAGCACACCCAAACTTAAGCACGATCTTCCTTTTCAGCTAATTAGCTCGCCATCACATTAGCTCATGAATCTTATAACTGATATGATTAGTTTTAATCATACATTATTGTGTACATGACTTAGCAAACAAAAAGCAGCATGAAAGACGCTAAAATATGATTACCATTAAAATAAGTATGCTTAAAGTAACAAGCAATAAAATAAATTTATTTTTCTGGTTGACTTGTTTGAGGAGGAGGATCTCAATGACAAGCAGTCTTAGTTTAATGGCTTTAAAATAATGTTAAATTTGTTAACAAGGCTAAAAAAGTAAAAAAAAAATATAAAAATAATTAAACTCAAAGCCAATTCCAATACTAATTATTTTTAAATAAAACTAAAATTAAAAACATCAAAATTTTGTGTTATTTAGTTAATCTTAATCAAATTCCTAAACCTAAAAATATCAATCAGAATTAATTATGTAATTAAACACTGATTTTTTTATAATAAAAAGAAACCATAAAAATACATTATTCTAAGTTTAGTGTTAAAATTTAGAGTAAATCTACTTCTAATATTAATATTTCTATGTGCATACACTTGATCACATAAAGAAAAATCCCAAGACTGTACAGTATGATTATCTCCCTTGTTCTCTTTAACAGTGTGCTCCAGGATTTAAAGTGCTTTCTTAAAGTCAATCCACTTTCATTGAAAAATTTTGTCCTGCAGTCTTTTTTTTTTTAAATTCTTTGAGAACTTCAAACAAAACAACACTGGGGGAGCCTCCCTCCCGTTATGCATGTTTAGAAGATTTTTAACACTGAAGATTTAGCAGATTTATATTTAATTCCGTTGCGCTGCACTGTCTAATCTCTCCTATAAATCCCTCCTATATTTAATAATGATGGTAATCAGAATCATTTGATTTTCCTTACAGCCTCCCCTTGAACATACAATATGACCAAGTGCATGTTTATTGGTAAGAATTTTTAAAGCCAGTGATTATCAAATATGCAGAAAATGCACAACTGATAAACAGATATTTCATTAACAAGACTTGCTATATTTCAACCAATAACAAGCAGAAAATAACACTCAACAGGAGACCTCTGGGCTACAATGCTCACCTGAACCACATTTTTTGGATGAAGGAAAATTTAATGTAAGTACATGTATTCTTATTCCAAAATTAAACACATTGTATTATAGTAATACAGTGATTTTTCTACATTTTCTACATGGGGCCTGGGCCTTTACAATTGGGAATAATGATCGACATTTGTGTCAAATTGGGAAAAATCAATAAGATTGAAATTAACCTTAACTGACAGGTAAAATAAAATATATAAGTAAATGTAAGATAATTTATTCAAAATATTTACAACAAAATAACAAATTAGACACAGTTCTACATTTTTAACTTTTTTTTAATCTTTAAAAGTTGTCATTGTGACCATCCTGTATTTCCATTTTTTTTTTTTTTTTTGCCATAATGGTAGACATAAGAGAAAATCCTACTCATAATAGCCATTGAAGATGGAATAATCTGACATGATTTATAACAAATCATTTTTTCTAACTCATTATTAAAGCTTTCTAAATTACCCTAATCATATTGCTGCAATTACCCAGCAATATAAGTTGCATCTGCTAAGTGTAGAAAGTTTGATTTTCGTGGAATAAGGGATGCTTGTTGTAGAACTACTAGTACTTGGATTTAGAAATAAAGCTGTTTCGCCGGTTCACAGGCATCTTACACTCTCTTATGATGTATTTACACACAAGTTTGACATAATCCATGTGTTTTTCTATGTCTTGTAAATGCACAAAATAATCTGCTCTTCCTCACTATTATTTAAAGAGTCTGAACGAACGAGAATAGCATTCCATTTTAGATAAGTCATACGTAAAAAATTCAGTTTAACAAAACAGCTATGGTTTTATTTTGGGAAAAGAGCAACTGAAATTGGGAAACAATTTTTGATGCGGAAAAGGGCTGATATTTGGACCTAAATTGGGTGTAGAAAAATCACTGAGTATAGGTCAGGATCTGGATAATTTTTAAATACATGAACCTACCTATTTATGCCTAGATTATACGATTCGTAGTTTTGTCACTTTTTAGTGAAGTTTTTATATTCCTATGTACTGATATTTAAAGATAATCAACTATTACATTGGAAATTGAAGATTTTAGAGAATTTAATTTTTAGAGAATATTTTTTATTGCAGGTACACTTTGATTACCAGTAACTTAATCCATTTAACCCTCTATGTTGACCAATCCAAACATCCCATACCAGACTTTAAGGAATAAATAAACACAAAAAAAAACAGTTTTTGCCTAAGTTCTTTTTGACAAAGTTTTTTTCTAGAGAGAAAAAACTTGTGTAACAGTTATCCTGTTTTACATTTTCTAAACTATCTCCCCATGAATGTTCAAACTTAATTTTCCTTCACCCCTGTATGCTTTGTGTTAAGAATGATAGAGGTTTTTTTGTAAAAAGTTGATGATGGAAATAAAATGGGAACAGACAGACAAATGAAGATGAACAAACTTTGATCAGGAGAGCCCACTAAGCCTTGGCTCAGTTGAACATCAAAACAAGGGTTAACAAGCCAACAAAACCAAGGTTTGATTTACAGATCAATCCTGTGCTTGTTTTTCCTCCTCTGGTATCACTATTAATAACTTCTGTGTCAACACTTCACATTTCTCTGTAAAAAATATCAGGGCGTATAAACATATTACTTTCTGTCAAAAGTTCACAATTTTCTGAAACAAAACTGCCTAACATCCTTACCAACATGACTGATATATATACATGGCAGTGCACTGTATATGATATAATTAAAATAAATAAAAAAAATATATATATGTTCAATTCATGATGTGTTGCATGCAGTCTGATTAATTAACCAAATTATGTCCTTTCTCCCAGATTCCTCTTGTATAAACTGCAATCATGCAAAATTTTCATCCTTATAAAACACATATAAAGTTGATAGCTTTTTTGTGTATAGAGAGTACATTCTTCTTTCATGAAGTCCTGTCAGTTTCTTAAATATGATGCTTATTTAAAAAGTATGTAATATCCAGCATTATACCCCTACTGTCCTCATCTGTATGCCTGTCCGTATGTATGTCTGCCTGTATGTATGTCGGAATGTCAGTGTGTTAATCTGTATGTTTGTCTGTATGTCTTTCTGTATGTTTTTTTGGCATGTTTGTCTATATGTCTGTCTGTATATTTGACGACAAGTATGATATGTCACAGTTATGAATGGATTTCACTGGTTAATGAAATGGGACACAACTCACAAAGGCATTCGTGCCTTTTATTCTTCTTCCTTTTGCTTAATATAAAAAAAATAGAAATGGCAGTCTTTAGGCCAGAACAAATTAATCTGATTTTGATTTACAATAATGTAGTATCTTACACAGATGTGGAAGTTACTGTCTGATTTTGTAAATCTTGTACACAATATTTTCATCAAGTCAGAGATGAAATATCTGAGATGCTGAGCTATGTTTTTTTTTAACTGCCCTCTAGAGTTTTTGACTGAGACACACAGATTATATTATCACTGCCCTCTTGCTTGAACTGCAGTAAAAATCATGAAATTTTACTGAAAATAAGATGAACTGATTCATTTCTTAAGCTACCAGCATTTACATATGTTAATGCCCACTGATAAATATAAAAAGTAAACTCTTCAAATGTCCTTGAGCTTATTTAATTTATTCTGTAAAATGGGCATTTAGAAATCCATAGGATTCTGAACTAAAAAACATTTCAAAACTAATTAATTCTGACAAGACACACTTTGTATGTAAAGTATACAATATTAAACATGGCCTGGTTAGATCATGGTACTTACCTATAAATCTGTTGAAGTCCTTGGGTTTGTTAGTCCAGTAGATAAACACAATATATACAGGAATACCAGTGGCAATGATAGCACATCCTATACCTAAAATAGAGCAACACATCAATGATAGCACATCCTATACCTAAAATAGAGTAACATAGCAATGATAGCACATCCTATACCTAAAATAGAGTAACATAGCAATGATAGCACATCCTATACCTAAAATAGAGCAACACATCAATAATAGTACATCCTATACCTAAAATAGAGCAACACATCAATAATAGCACATCCTATACCTAAAATAGAGTAACATAGCAATGATAGCACATCCTATACCTAAAATAGAGTAACATAGCAATGATAGCACATCCTATACCTAAAATAGAGTAACATAGCAATGATAGCACATCCTATACCTAAAATAGAGTAACATAGCAATGATAGCACATCCTATACCTAAAATAGAGTAACATAGCAATGATAGCACATCCTATACCTAAAATAGAGTAACATAGCAATGATAGCACATCCTATACCTAAAATAGAGTAACATAGCAATGATAGTACATCCTATACCTAAAATGGAGTAACATAGCAATGATAGCACATCCTAAACCTAAAATAGAGTAGCATAGCAATGATAGCACATCCTATACCTAAAATAGAGTAACATAGCAATGATAGCACATCCTATACCTAAAATAGAGTAACATAGCAATGATACCACATCCTATACCTTAATTAGAGTAACATAGCAATAATAGCACATCCTATACATAAAATATATGTAACACTGTCAGCAATGATACCACATCCCAAAACTAAAATCTAAGTAACATAGCAATGATCAATTAATCAATTTTTAATCAATTGTTGACAGTTTCAATGATTTTTTTTAAATGATCAATTCATTGACACCTCTCATAAAGTCTTTCTCTGATTAGATGAGAAAGGGTGTCTAGGCTCAAAATAATAAAATGAAAGCTGTTATCTACATCTACGCACCTGTTTCTGTAGGAATGGTTGTGAATGGTATAACAACCAACATAATGGTAACTAGGCAGTAGATTATAGGCCACACCAAGGCTACCTGGAAATATGAAAGAGTGATATGGTGATAAAGTTATTCATAATTTCACAGGGCCATAAGTTTGTACTTATGGTGCAAAATTCCTTGAAAGTCAAACCTATTCTGTAGCATATTATTACGGAATTAAATACCAAGTTGTGATTTCCCAATCCAAAGCATGATTTTAAAAAAGTCTAGAAAAATGAATTGTCCACAGACAGATGAACAGACAGAGTCATACCATGATACATCTGTCTAGAGATGGACATACAATACTATTTCATGAGAAACAACAGTGTTCACCTAATAAGTTTCACCTAGATAGTGTCATGTGACTAAACGAGGCCTTCCGACAATAAACATATGCGAAATTTCTGTCTTGTAATGCCTTGTATCCCACTGCCAGTATCAAAATTGATGTCAATTTTTCTGAAGAAAATCATTGTTTTAACATCTTTTGATCATAAAATTAAGCAAAACTAGTCAAAAATGAGCAAAATTAGAGACCATGTTATTCATAAGCATGCTTAAATATTTATGATCACAAACTGTTATATCAATAAGTAGGAAATTTCATCATTCATCAATACACAAAATTCATAATACTGGATGCAAACAAAAGTAAGGATTTTCTATCTTCAGTTGATTTAGATTGTACCTTGATAGGTCTATTGGCATTGGGTCTGGTTTTCCGGAAATACAGGAGTGTAGCAACTGACAATCCAATGGCCATCCAGTTGACAAAGCTGACATAGTTAATAAGAGCCTCCATATCTGATGATACGAGGTACACTAACGAGAACAGTCCCTGAAACATGACAAAATAATATACTCTGTTATATTTCAGATCATTCTCATGCACTGTAGTACTTATTACATGTATCAAAATAAAGTGTCTTGTTCAATCTGTAATACATAATTAACCTTCCAAAGCAATTTAAAACCTGTTAAAAGATTCTATTAATTTGGTTAAAATATTCAAAAACTGTTTAAACGGAGCTTATACATCCCTAGGAGTTTTATGCCTAGCTACTTGGCGAAATAGCTGGAGAGTTATAGAAACAATGTAAAATTGTGAGAAGATTGAGCAATATTAATAAGCTCCAAATTTTTCTTGCATGAGCATATATGTTTTGAAAGTGAAAAACATCAAAATATAGATTTTAAGACATTTTCCAATTAAATTCTGTAAATAGAGGAATGAAATCATTAATTCCAGTCATCACCAATAAATATATCTTATGCAACATTCACATGTTGTTCATATCTTTATACAAATGGCTAATCATGTGGGCTCGTCTACAACTGAATTCCGATATGTACTATATGTTAAATGCCATTATATACTTGTTGAAAAAATTCTTCTAGTGTGAATTCATACATCAGCATGCCAAAGGAAGCATAGGTGAAATTGTACACTGGCCAACTTAAATCCCATCACAGTACATGACCCAGCATCAACCCCTTACCATGAAGAGAACAGCAGGCATGGGCGTTAGGTGTTTGACAGATACATAACTCAGAACTTTTGGCATGTGTCCTTCACGTCCTCCAACGAAAAACAACCTATAACCATCAAACAATGGAAGGTACAGTAGCTTACTAACACATTAAAAGAAATTACAAGCATCAAGTGAAAAGAGGTGTTTCTTTCTACAAGCATGAATCTTGACAAATAAAAAATAAATGTCCACATTCATAACCCGAGGTCTTCACAAAGAATCAAATCAAAATACCAAAGATATTTCTAAATTTCCGCTGTTTTAAAATCAAAACATTCAAGTTTTCAGATCTGAAAATTTGTTTTTACTTTACCTGGCAGATGTGAAGAGGATACCATTCACACCTCCAAAAGTGGAGAGTGACACAAAGACAGGCATGATCCACCACATGATGCCATAAAGTCTTTCTGAAAACATCTACAATAAAGTTTATCAAAATTACAGAAAACTGCCTGTTAATTTAAAGCCTACTGGGGTTAGATCATCATGTTTCACTCCATGAACATCAATTTTTGCTGTTTTCATGATTAAACCAGATCATAAGATTAGGTAATCAATGAACTACAAATTTTCTACTAGATGATTGAAGAGGATAAGGTAGCTATCCATGAATCTAAATAACAAACAAATTGTATATTTTGCCAAAACCATAAAATTTGATTCCCTTGAAAATTAATGAAACCACATACAGTACATACATATACTGCACTGACAATACAAATTAATCACAGAATTATTTTAAAGTATTGGTAAATGAAGTAAAACTAAATGTAAGTAATATGCAACAAGCAATTATGTACCATATCACATTAAATATATTATGTTCTTTCATAAGATATTTCTACATAAAATAGTCATACAGCTTACCACTGCTACTGCAGCACCACCTAGGATTTCAGGGGGAGTAACTGTTGTAAAGTAGGCTATATTGGCCAAAACATAAACCACAGTTACCATGATGATGGAGCACCAAATGGCTCTGGGCAAGTTTCTGTAACAAATTTTTACTTCATCAAGAAGACCATATATATCATGTACATAAACAAAATCAATGATTACAGTTGTATCTCATGAAGACTTAACAGAAGCCATTCTCTTCATATCTGTGGTATACTGATAAGATATTTACAAATATACCTTGTTTAATATTAAAGCTGATGATTGAAAAAAAAAATACTCTCAAAATAACTGTTGCATAATTGATACATGTCATGTATTATAGTCACAATGATTATCATAGAGATTGTCCAACTGCCTTGTTATAATTATTCCTTAAAAATACCCATTATATTCAATTTTTGCCCTTTCATACTTGCATTAATTAAGTTATTCACCTGACAAAACTTATCATAAATTAATTGAGTTTTATTGCAACATTGATAAAACTGATGTATTTACTAAAAATATTTATTCAGCATGACTATACACTACTGACCCTTCCCCAGACAAAACACGGCATTGATACTGTCTGTAACCACCTAAGGAGGATACTGAATCTTAATTTAAAAATAACACAGACACAGTGCAGTAACCTTAAGAACCTTACAGGTTTACAAAAGCAAAGTACAAACTTCATCATGTTCATATTTCTTCGTTGTTTTGTTGACATGTAATGAAGGATAACATAGAGCCTTATATTTATAAAATAAACTCATATTGCTCTACTGCAGGGTTATGCACAATTACATGCTTCAAGGGAAATGATATTTTTGGGGTCAATGTCTTGAAGTTATTGTGACTATCTTATTATAAGCACTGTTAAACATCAGCTGATCTTTATCTCTAAGTGCTTTATAATTTGGTATACGTCTCTAACTCAGTGAAGTCTACTGCACACACAAACATCATAAAGAGCACTCTCTATTCTGGATTTCTGACTTCATCCGAACTCATTTATTTCAACCTCTAATTGACAACAAATGTGTATTATAATGCATGATCTATTAAACTAAGGCTATGTCGCTTCCTACACCCCCCCCCCCCCCCCCAAACACACAAAGGAAGCGATCTTGTTATACCACGATTGTATGTCTGTCTGTTATTCTATCATTTACCATCTGTGTCCTGTTCGACTATTTATGAACTTCATATTACTTCTAAGCTGGAAGCTGATTATATGAACCTCCTGAATATATACTGTGAAAAATCTTACCTCAAGAAATATTGTTTAACCTTGGCATGTATTTCAAGAAAAAAATTTTTAAAAAAATTGTTGCCATGAATGAGTTAATCATTTTCTCCGTTTCAAAGAATGTTTACAAAATCTACAAGTGTGATATGATCTAAATCCCAGAGCATGTCTTAAAGGTCAAGGTCACAAGACAAGAAGATGTAGAAACCAATCAAAATAAGTATTCCAGCTATTATTTTATAACCTCTGATTGGGAAGAATTCAAATTTTAACCATATTATCCCCCATGGCCTCAGCGTGTGTTTTGATTAGAGGTCAGGTGTCCATCATTTAAGGTCACAGAATCATGACCAGTTCTATAGCTTGGGAAGGAAAGTTCTTTTTTCTGCTAAAAATACTTTGGAGTCTTGTCTATACTTCTTCAGTCTGATTAAAATCAAACCTTCACTAGCTCCTTTTATTTTGAAAAAGGAGCTAGTGAAGATTAGATTTTAATCAGACTGATACTTCTTCTACAGTTGATATATAATGCAGTCTTCTCTACTCACTTGTAAGGATCTTTTAGTTCCTCTATAACATAGTTCAAATAGTTCCTGTAATGAACAAAGAATAAATTAATAATAGTTACCATATTTAATAATCAATTCCAATTTAAGCTTTTCATGGCTTTTTTTGTAACAGGAAAGGAGAAAATGTATGGCTGAACCGGGAATTAAACCCGGGACCCCTGCATCACTAGTCAGGTGCTCTACCAACTGAGCTACCCAGGCCGATATCCATGGCCCCAACCGTTACATTTTATTGTTTTAGACTACAACTAAAGCAGAAAACCACCTGGTCAGAACTGTACAGTCTAGGTCAACATGCGACTGTAAAAATTTAGTCATAATATATCAACAACTCAGGGGAACACCTGCCATCAGGGACACCAGTGAAGGTTAAATGACTGGGAACATCTGTACAACTTCAATCAGGTCCTCTTTGTATCATGACCTGTCCTTTTTTAGTTACCTCCAACATTTCAAAAATTAAACTGACTTTGGAAACTGTCAAAAGTGTCAATTGTGGTTCACACAGCATTATCTTTATATCATATTTTGTCATTTTTACTGCTCAAGATAGGTAATGGACAACAGTCACACTTAATGAAAATGTGTAGAGAGAGAGAGAGAGAGAGAGAGAGAGAGAGAGAGATGATAATCTGCATCTCTGAAATCTAGAAAGAATCAAGATTATTTGGAGAGGGGTAAGAGGGAGAGTGGGGCTTAATCTAACCATAACAATCAAGTACTTTAACAACTATCCAGTTGTTTGCCAAGTCGGTCAAATATTTCTCTAATAAAACATACTTGATGTGTTAATAATGATATTGTGTCAAAAGAAATAGTGTTCTGATCAAGATAATAGAATGCAGTGGTCTGGTCCAGTGCCAAAATAGTAATCTGTTAATTCAGAATTATTTTAATGGGTAAATATTGGAACAAATTCATACTACACAGGACTGGTTCATTCTACAAGGTCAATATGATGCAATATTTCCCACTTGTTTAATATCAATGCTCATGCCTAAAGCCAACTTTTCAATGGCATGTTTATAGAAATGCAGTCAAATTATTATCAAATCTGGACACAAAGTATTGATAATATGATGCAATTTTTATAGACCATCCTAACAAATGATGAAATTTTCACTACAAATACGCAATAAACAGAGATATTGATGCACAATAACAAAGTCAATGTCACACACCTATTTATACAAGGGCAGATTACAAAATCTGATGCAAATTCTCTATTGCATCCTCACATAAAAGCCTTCTGATTAATTGATTACAAGAATCTACAGACTGTCTTAAAGAGGAGACTTAATTGATTTCTATCAACCATGATGCTCCCTTGAGATAGATTTTTCATTCTTTTTAAGAAAATGCCATCCTTAGCAAACCCTCAATCACTTCACAAGACAAGACTTCAGAACAGGCTTTAACTGATTTTATGATTGATTTTATGTTGAATGTTAATTTTTATCTAGAAACAAGAACAACTAAGAGAGATTAGCAATGGTCCAGACATTATCAAATGTAGAACAATTCTCTTGATAATAACACTGTGAGGTCAAATGAGGCCAGGAAAACAACAGGAATAGAGCACCATACAGCCTTGAAAGGACTAATCTACAACGTAGTTCTATAAGTGTCCCATTTATAGCAGAGCCCTAGACTTCTGAAAGTGCACTCATCAAAAGGACAAAAGATTTCCACTGCTTTATGTAGAAATCAATCTACAGACCACTGCTTGATGTTCAGGTATACTCAGTGTGACAACCCATTCCTCAACTCAGTCAATGACAGTATCATTCTCTGACCACCAAGGATGAAATTCTACTCCACTGGGTCTCTTTATATGCTTATTCTTCTATTTATACATGATATATATGTACCAGCTCCAATCAACCTAACACATATGTACCATACATAACTTGAAAGAGGGGGTATTTCAAGGCATTTCTGCCCCTCATATTATATTACAGAAAAGGTCTTAATTCCTGGCTTTTTGAGCATGTTTCATTGCCATAATATTTGGCTTGTGAACATTTTTGTTACCACATCAAATAATGATTCAAAACCAAAAAACAATCTGGCAAAGAACTATAAGGATTAATTTTAGGAGCACCTTAATTAATCATGCTGGGTTGAATGGCTTACTATAAATCTTTGATACTTTGAATCTTATTTTATTTCCTTGCATAAACTAAATTTTGTAATATATTATATATATAAAACTAAGCTAGGACAAACTTACCATCCATTATAGGCAAATAGCCCTTGATAGAAAGCTACACTGATTTTTCCAATGTTAGTCTCCGTGTTTACAAAAGGGTCCACAAAGTATTCATATTCACCTAAATCAGAAAAACATAATCACAATGTAATGAAATATTTATATTACATATAACTACTGGGTGATTGAATTCTAAATCCATTGAAGATGTAATGATATTTCTGAGTGGTACATAATTTTAAATTCAACAGTTTACGGATACAACATCTCACCATTTATTTTGTAATGGAAAAAAAAATGAGTAAAAGCTTTCACAAACTAAACATGTATGTTTGTTACTGATTTTCATCAACAAAATCTCTTGAGAAAGGAAAGATACAATCATGACTAAATTTTTAACCCTAATATTTACTGACAGAATCAGACAGGGGAAAGAAAATTAATTTAACATCAGATTTCTACACTATACTGTCAGATGTTCTACCTAGTAAAGGACAATCAATGAACTCCCAGCTGTTTTTTCATGATGAAGTTGTCAATACATACACCTCCAGCAATAGTCATGTATACATGGTAGCGGTAAACTTTGAGTGATGTACTTTGTGTTTTAATCTATAAAGGAGTTAAGACCCTCAAATTTCCAAGTTCTACTGTTGAATGAAAATCTGTCAAATTATCTGTCTACATTAATGCCTCTGTTTATTGTGTGCTTAATATCTTACAAAGTCAGCTTTCTTTTTTCTGATCTCTGTGACATATACAGTTCACGGGGATAAAAGAACAAGTGTGACACATTGTTTGGAGAAATATAAACAGACCATCTAAAAATATCATATGATTTATCAAATATCTGAATGGTTTATTTAAAAGGACATGTTCCATTACATCATCTTTAGACAGTTTGCACTGTTTTGTATTTTTTCGTGATATGTACTAGAATATGACTAGCTTATGTTTGCTAACCGTGTTAAAACTTGTAAAATGAGAGATTAATAGAGCTAAAAACCCTCTCTAACATGACAGCTATATAAATCTTATTCCCTTTAACACCATTAAATGTGTTGATTCATGTATATCTCTGTAATAGACTTGTTCATTGTGAATAGAATGCTGAATCTGCTCAATATTTGAGAGATTGATGCAAAAAGCAGGATACAAACTGTACTTAACTGAACCTAGAACAAGTTCCTGTTGGTTTTAATACTAACTTTAGATTCTACTTTAACTGGAATCCTGTCAAATGTCCCCATCTGAAAGCTTCACTGAAGGTTTACCAAGTTCAACATACTGTCAGATATAATATATTCAACATGCAATGAATGCATGAAGTGTCACCTTTTATAGCTTTTATTTTTTCAGTTATAAATTATTCGGACTCTAAATTGCAGTGAGCAGAGTTAATAAACAAGAAGATTTTGGTCTGGTTTGGAGCAGACTTAGTGATTCCGTCACATTCTGCGTTATGACCGAGTATGTCTTCACTATCAGGCTGAAGATCTAACATATGTACCACTACCTGTTACCAGACTAAGTACATATAAGTCTGTAACCATTTTCACAGCTGACAGACATCATCCTTTAGTACACAAAATAATTCCAATATTTGTGGATGATATTTCCAAGTATACATGTGTATTTACAGTAAACACATACCAGTACATGTGGTACTTTAATCATACCTTGTGTATTATCCATTATATTTTAAATATGATACCCTGACTTATCAAAACAAGTCATATTAAATGTCAGATGATTAGATACTGTACAATGACCATGTATATAATCCTTGAGAGGGTCCGATTGCTAGTTAATGTATAATGACCACTTAAGGATTACTGACTGAGAAAGAGGGCTTGTTTGTGTAAAATTATAAAACCCCGTATACATGCAGTAACTTTTAAGACATGGTACATTTTTGTGTTTGATGCTTACATGTAAACCCTAATGAAAAAGAGTGATAACTAGTAGCTTAGCTAGCGTGATTACCAAATAAGAAGGGGTGCTTTTTGTGTTTAATGATTGTGTGTAAATATTTTACATTTTATACTGCCCTATGGGAGAGTTCTTAATGCCCTGTGTGAGAGTTCCTACCTCATCCTAACTGGACAAGGCCAGTAATGATGTTATTGCCCTATGAGAGAGTTCGTACTGGACCTAATATTGGACAAGGCCAGTGATGATGATATTGCCCTATGAGAGTATTTATTGCCCTATGAGAGAGTTCCTACCTCGTCCTAATATTGGACAAGGCCAGTGATGATGAGTATTTATTGCCCTATGAGAGAGTTCCTACCTCGTCCCAATTGGACAAAGCCTGTAATGATGATGAGGGCCAGGGCCAACATTTTGGCATACGTGAACACATCTTGGACCCGAGTTGCCCATTTCACACTGGCGCAGTTTACAGCTGTCAATAACACTGAAGAAAAAGAAAAGAATTTAATAAAATATACATGTATAAACATTGGTTAAAACTAGGAATTTCTGTATTAGTTTTTTTCATATTGGAAATACTCATCAAATCATTTTCTTTTTCCTTTTTTAAAAATTACATTAAAGATGCAGCATATCATTAATGATTGCTGAACACATTACAAGAAGAAATCATCAAACATGCTTCTTCGTTTGAAATCACATTTAATTGGTTAAGGAAAAGAACAAGAGGATGGAAGTCAAATCCAGTCAGAATGATAACATCCTGGTTCGCCAGCTTCCTAACGAGAAAGCCACTCTCAGATACAAAAAATCTAATGTGAACAACCTCTGTTACAATTACTAAAACACATGTGGGTTTTTATGTTTGTGCACAGTCTGTAGTTGTTTCATGTACATCAATATAACCTCAGATTTCAAGAGATCTCAATAAACTCCATTAGGAGTTGTTCAGAGAGAAAAATTGATTTAAAGCAAGAGGTGTAATATATAAAATAAAACAATAACCTGTTCACCTGAATATGGGGAATTTTGTATGATGGCAAAATTATATCTGACCTTCAACCCCTAAATTAGGTTTACGTACAACCTTATCATGGCATAGCATTAGATAGATACATAAATTAAATCAAGACTCTATTTTTTTTTTTTTTTTGACAATATCATATTGTATAAAGCTGTTTGTGGTCTCTCTGTCTTTACACTCTCTGACCCAGTCCTTATTACTTGCCATTTGTCAGTTTCCCCCACATACCATTCTCCCAGGCCTGAGACATTACCTTGTCAGGTAAGATCACATATATCATTAGTCACCCACTGACCAAAGACAGTCTCAGTGTCCTCATTAAGGTCAGAACAAGTTAAGAGAGTTGTCAAGCTGACCCTTGCTTTAATCCTCAGATAGAAAAAAATCTTATCCCACCTGATTGTTGTGTTACTTAGCAGGGTTAGGAATGTGGAATATTCAGCATGTAAATATCGACATAATCTTATTACTGATGTAAATATATCCCACATCAATATATGAGGCAGATAACAATAACTTCAATTGACTGAAACACATGCTTGTACACCAGTTTTACCAAATAATCCTCCCCATGGTAAACCCAATGTGGCAACTTAATAAAGGAAAAGGGTTTTTAAGCTCAGCCACAATGAACTTGATGAATCTTATAAATATGGCTAAATTATATGTATGAAAGAAAATAGGTACTTTATAAATGGATAAGACATCATCAATGAGTGAATCTGTTTCACAATGTAAATTTAATACCTGGTAACTTATGGATCAGTTGGTGTAGATTTCTTTAAAAGTTCTAGAAATTTTCATAATTCATTGGCAAGCAAACAAGACTACTAGTTACATAGATGTAATTAAGCATAATTCAGTTATAAAAAAAAAAAGAAAAAAAAAGAACTTTACTATAAATTAGGTGTGCAAGAACAATTAATGTGCTGCTATTGAATTTTTAAAAAAATATTATATATAATAATATTGTTACAGTAGATACATTCTTATAAGTTGTGTAATATTGATGGTTGAAAAATCACAAAACCAATTTAAAATAATTGAATCAACACGAACACTCTGAATTGATTAAATGCATAATTCAAAACATGATGATGCAATCCTGCTAGTCATTCACGTTTTATATGGTTGACCGATTACTAGCAAAGTCTCCGTGGGATTTAAAGTTGAAATTTAATACTCTTATCTTCCTTGTTTAATGCTAAAGGACTGTAGAACATGAGAGTGATCATATTCTCACTTCTGTCATAAATTCACAAAACATATAATAAATATGGTAAACACAGAATTGTGCATTGCATCATCACAATGTCAAGGTCATTCTAGTACATGTCCGCTTACGTACGCGCACACGTTGCATGTGGGGAAATAAAGGTTAAGAAGACAGTTTTACTTACATATACAGACAGCAGCCAAGAGTCTAACTGCTATATCTGGCTGGTCACACGTTGGAAACAAGGGCTCTATCACATAATAAGCAAATGTGAGGGCTACAATGGCCTGGGAGCATGGTCTGACAATCATACATTCTATCCATAGACGGAGAAACGCAACAAATGGTCCAAAAGCTTCATACAAGTACGCGTAATCAGCTCCTGATTTTGTGATCATAGTACCGAGTTCCGCATAACAATATGCCCCAATCATGGAATATAACCCGCATAGTAACCATACTATAAGAGATAGTCCAACACTCCCACATCCCGCCAAAACACCTCTGGGGCTGACAAAGATACCAGACCCCACAATACTACCCACAATAACAGTTACTCCGTTAAGTAGCGAGATCTTTGGTTTTAAGTAAACTGTATCGTCTTCTTTCGCATCTGACGATTGGTCTGATACGTGATCCACTGGCTCGGCTTCGTTTACTTTTTTATAATCCTTTAACTCGGCCATTTTCAGTCAATTAAAAGTCAATCAGTTTATCTTAATGTATAACAACCTTTAAAAACACAGAAATGATCAAGATAGAAAATTCACAATATGGTTTGTGTCACACGTTTAGTCTCGAACAAAGCCCACCTTCCAAACACACCAACACGTTGTTCTGTGAATGTGCATGTACAGTATTCCGAGCCCGAACTTTTTTTAGCATGAAACTAACCGGTTACACTAGATTGCTCCACTTAACATCGTGCGCGCTAGAGGAATAAATAAAGCCACTCCATATCAACTGCCAGTGAACTTTGATAAAAGTATATACTCCGTCCAAGTACGTTAGCGTGTTCATATTTTTTTTTAATATTTTCTTATTTCTTTTGTCTCAGATTCATCATTTGGCGATGATCGAACGGTTCAAAGAGAACCTCTCCCTCCCTTTGTTAACCACCGACCCATCTTCCATCCTCTATCAAATTTTTTCATTCCAGTTCTTTTATTTCCTCTCATCACTCCTCTCAAACACTCTGATGAACTTTTGGAAAATCAGATCCCCCCCCCCCCACACCCAAATTAATGACATCTAAACGTATGATTTTTCAACGCTTTATACAGCTCTATTCCTTACGGTGAATTATAAAGACCAAATTGTCCATGTTTTTCGACATCATGCACAACTGTTTCTCCCCCCCCCCCCCCCAATAATTTTGTCCCCTCAATTAAAAACAAGTCTGATGACTTTTTTTTGTTTTTGCTTGTCAAGGAATTTTTGGTAGTTATAAGTGCCCCCCAACTGAAAATGTATGGCTGTGCAACCCCAAACTGAAATTGCTTCCTACGGGCCTGATCTACACACAAGTACTCTGAGGCTGGAATTGCTCATTGATAATATCTATGTTGTCTTTGGAGACCAGGTCTTCCTACAATCTGTTTGAATTACGATGGACACTGATTGTGCTCCTTTATTAACCGACCAGTTTTATTATTCTTATGAAGCAGAATTTAAAAACTTCCGCATGACTGAGGAGAAGAAAACTCTTGCATGCTGTGGTCCCCGGTGTATCGAGGACGTTTTATCAACAACAGTTATCCTTATTTACATGTCCATTCGATATATCCCAGTGAACTCAAAATAAGACATGTTTTCAATCAATTGCTAAGCCATTTTTTTTTTTTACTAAGGATTACTCCATTTACCGAATCAATACAGAGGGTTCACGGCAGTTGTGACCGGTAAACAGGGGATGCTTACTCCTTCTATGCACCTGATTCCAATCATTCCACGTCTGGTGTTTCCAGGGGTCCTTGTTTTGCCCTTTCACGATTCTTCTTATTTACAGGATATTATGAGAATAATCACTGTGAGTTATCTTCATCTTTTTTCACTTCTTTCTCCCCCACCCCTTGCCCGACCTCCGATTTAATTTTATATATATATATATATATATATATATATATATATATATATATATATATATATATATATATATATATATATATATATATATATATATATATATATATATATAACAAACTGGGCAACCCCCTATAATATGGCCTTGTATTCATTTCATATACCAGATAAAGCAACGACCAGACGACGTCGTAATCAGGGACGCATATATTTACAGACTTAAAGATAATGTCAGTATTTTTCAATATCCCAACACATCAAAAGAGAGAGTGGGTTTTCAAACCCCTTTCATGGCCGTAGGAACCGGGGGGGGGGGATAGTTTTGCCGATATATAGAATACTAGAAAACATAGCTACTATATGCTTGTGCCCCCTCAATAAAAACGTCTGATGATTTAAAAAAAAAAAAAAAAAATCTTTCCTTGTCAAGGAATTTTTGGTAGTTGATAGTGTCCCCTTCTGATAAATGTATAACTGTCCCAACTGAAATTGCTTCCTACGGGCCTGCCTTTAAATGTGGTAATGTGTGGTGCTCTAACAAAACAAGGGCAAAACAAATGGGAGTTTACCGATTCATCCCCTAAATTCTTCTACAGACAAATAATTCATAATGGTATGCACATTACTTGATACCTGATGTCTTCAATTGGATTTTTTCTATTGCCTGATCTCCCAACTACATGTACCTACCCTGTCTAGCATCACTTTATATAGAGAGCCACGCAATTATGAGATTAAGCTCTCAAAATCACTGGCTTCGATCTTTCATCTTTGGTGAAAATGATAGATGTTTATTTTTATTTATTTATTTTTTATTTATTTTTTATTTATTTATTTATTTATTTATTTATTTATTTATTTATTTATTTATTTATTTATTTATTTATTTATTTATTTATTTATTTATTTATTTTGTGAAGCATGTTAAAAAGTCGAGATCAATATTAGATGGAGGTCAAAATTAATTTTTGTGTTTTTTACTCCCAATTGGAGTGTTTGCTGAAGACTATTCCATGTACACCAGTATTGCCGTACCTGGAGTTCATTACTTTGACTTTACTGCAGTATTCTCTCTCTCTCTCTCTCTCTCTCTCTCTCTCTCTATATATATATATATATATATAGCAAGATATTCTCCTTATCAATCAATATCATTCTTAAATTTTCTATAAAAAATAACATCCCCTTAAATAATTAAACTGAAATAATTTTTAATGGATAATACAAATATGTAATGCCAACTTTTGAAGAATTATATGAAGTATTCACGTCTAGGAACATAAGCCGTCTCAGTATTTCATGAATCCGATTTTTCTCCCCCGAAATCCGGAGCAGTCTTCGAAAACCTACGTTCATTCTTATTTCCATCTCTACTGAGAAAGGAACTGTGATTTTTCTGTCTTCTTGTACTTTTGAAGACGATTAGAAAAAGGCAGTGGCGGATCCAGGAATTTCATAACGGGGGCGCAGTAGAAGGCAGTGGGTATGGAGGGCTGTATTGAAGTCTCCAGTGGTCCAGGGCAAAGCCCTGATGGGGGTTCGGGGGCGAAGCCCCCGGAAGCTGACGAATTCTTACAAATAAGAGGTGTTTTTTCCTTGATTTTAGGATAATAAACATATAAGTTCTACATACAAAAAATTCAAACGAAGGGGGGGGGGAGGGGGGGACAGAGGGTTCTTGAGCCCCCCGCCCAGTGTTCAAGGGCTCTGGTCAGGCACGTAATATAGTTTTTGCCAGCCAGGAAAAATTACAACTTTAAACATTTTGACAAGCAAGGACGAAACGGAAGATTGTCAAAATTCGAAGTCCTATTTCTTGTGTGTGTGTGTGTGTGTGTTGAAGGGGGTGTCCATCTTTCACAAAACCAAATTTTTATTAATTACCATGATTTAACAATGGTGCAACAAACAGTGGGGGCCCATCCTTTCAATGTACACTAATTTTCAATAGTAAAAGGTTAGGTTCTAGGAATAAGTTGGGGGGGGGGGGGGGCTCCCCTGATACTACGTGCCTGCTGGTGCTCCGGAGTTTTACCAAATATTTCATTCATTTTTTTTTTGAAATATAAAAATTATGCCATTTAGTTTTTGTTTAGGAAATAAAAGACATAGTAATATCTATTGTTATAAATTAATATTCCATGGAAACTTATTGTACATATAACTGAGGCTAAAAATTTAACCGATATATTAATTGGTATCATATAATCATTCTCAACGTTTAAAAATACGTATACAAAATTTTAATTATGAACAAAAAAATATTGTATTGTAATTCATACTAGTAGATTATAGCATTCAACGATGTGGCTGAAATTTAATTTTTCAAAGATCTTTTAAAAAAATATCAATGAACAATGACAAAATAATGAATGATTTATTTGGATTGGCAGTTATTAAATAAAAGATTTCAAATCTTATCATACAGCCATGATAATTTAAAATTTAAATCGACACAGTATGGCACAGAATAATTTGAAACACGAATATTTGTTGGATGGTACTGAGATTTTTTTTCCGAATAATTCTCTCTTTTTTTTTCTTTTTTCCTGAAAATGATGTGTACGCACTTGCGTATTTGCGTATTGCCAGCTACGCGCCTGCTGAACGTTTGTGTTTAAATTCTGCCCAGGAACTACTGGGCCAATTTTAATCAAACTGGGTGCAATGCATCCTTTGATAAGGAGAATTAAGTAGGGATGGCAATCGATTACAGAATTGCTAATCGGTAAACCGCAAGACGTTCCGACCGATTAACCGGTTAATCGTATCAAAATGCACGTTTGTTTTGTTTTTTTTTGGACAATTAATTGTTTTTCAAGTAGCTCTGTCCATATACACAAATAGGCTCAAATAAGACGATAAAAGTTAAAACATTCCATTAGTCTTGATTCTGGATCAGAAAACTACGGGTACATATTTTTTATTTAAATTCCAGTAGACAAGAAAAAATTGAGAAAACCATAAAAAAAAAAGCCTAAGAAATCTTTGATAATTTTCCAGAGCAGATGTCACAAAAGTTCTTTTGCATTTACACTATGATAATCAAAACTACATGTGAACTCTATAGCCCTTAATTTACAATGTTGTTTTTTTAATAATTAGACTGGATTGGAAACTGAAAAACGACAAACACGCCAATTCACGGAACTCAATGATTCAATTATTATCATTAAAGAAGTAAAACACACTGGGTTAACGACATGGTGTTTTCACAGTAATTAACACTAAATAAACTGACCAATTACGCTACGGTCTCAGTCTGCAGATTCATAATTACATGTACGTCCAAATTAGATCCGTTAAATCCTAAATGATCATCCTTTGTAAAGAGATTTTTTTAAAATAAATTTTTAAAAAATGTGTTAAATTCAACAAATATTTTATTTTTTCCGATTAACCGATTACAGATTTTCTAATCGATTGCCATCGTTCCGACCGAATAATCGGTTAACCGGTTACAAATTGCCATCCCTAGAATTAAGTTTTATGCCACTCAATTTTCCAAGAGGGGATAAACACTTATAATTACAGTAAATATAAAGTTCAGAAATAAAGGAACATAGTTTATGATAATCTGATAACCTCATCTCAAGTATACCCCCGGCTTCCGAGAATTTGATGACTAAACCATGCTGTAACAAATTAAAGCCTTTTTGTTTTCTGAGAAAGTTTGTATATCCCTGTGTTAAGTTTCAAGTCCCTTATATGGCATTGAGTAAAGTCACTCCTGACTTACATCATATCAAGATCACTGGTACAATAAGTGCGAAATGTAGTAATTATGCTCAGGCTCATAACTGACATAAAATTGTGTATTACCAAAGAATATGTCAAGGCTTAACAAAAAGTGACTTCAAGGCTTAACAAAAAAGTGACTTCAAGAGGAGGTGGCATCATTATCAACACCTTCCTCACTGTGGTTGGTACATGGACATGAAGTAGTTATTCAAATCTTGGTTTCTGGCATTATGTCTAGATCTGGGCTAGTTACAGTAGAGGGGTCAAAGAAGATGGGCGAACAAGGCGAGCGTAATGCCTATAGTGCGACAAACATGAAGGTGAAAAATTAAATCTCAATTATAACAAAATTTTCTTTGATATTTCATCTAAAATTAAAGTATACTTTATGCAAAATCTCCACAATTTGCAAAAATCTCACAAAGATTGAAATTATTTACCTATGAAATAGCATACACACACTAGAGAGGGCAAAAAGGATCATTTTTTCCATACTATAACACAATTTTTCGATATGAATGGGTCTTTGCTCCATATTTTTGAAAGTTTTTCCTCAAAGTTTGCGTAAAATTATACATTTTTTGGTTAAGAAAACATGGAGCAAAGACCCACTGTACCTTAAAAATACACTTTATGACACAACATTCGCATCTTTCTGAGAAATACTTGAAGTCCATTTAGTCAAGGGTCATATCACAAACATGATTTAAATGCCACCATTCACAAGGAGCTGTGTAGCGTAGTGGTTAGCGTGTTAGTCTCAGGGGAAAATGATACTCAGGATTTTTATTTGCTGGGGTTCGAACCCCACAAATACCAACATAATTTTTGCCGAGAGAATTTTCCTCAGAAAAGTTTTGTTTATCATAATTTCATAAATTTCAATAACTTTACTCTAAATACCAAATTCACAAATTGATTATGATTTTTATATATCTGAAGCTATAGGCATTCTGCGCACCTTGTTCACCCATCTCCTTATGGCATTCCTTGAAATAATTATTCAAAGGCAGAAAGAGATCACTATTGTTGACAATGAAGAAGGAAAACTTTCCAATTGCAATCGGGACCTTCTTAAATTTCCTATATAATTCACTCTATTTCAATAAGACTTCATGGTCATTGAGCTTTGAGGGAGTTCAGTAACTGTATTTTATTGTTGCCCTAACTTAAAAACCAGTATATATCCAGATCTTGACCAATGTGGGCAAAACCACTGGGCAATGTTCAGCTTTGCTGAATGTCAGTCACCTCAGCATTGAGCCAGCCTTTACTGGATATTTTTCACTTGGTTCATGTATCCCTTGGGATCATTCCCATTTTGATCTAATGTTCATGCAACTTGCATATATCTCACAATTATATCAGTACTTCAATGGAACACAAGAGAACAAATCTTATGCAATGAAATCTGAAATAAAGAAGATCTAGAGAAAGATGAATAACCTGAAAAGTGATTCCAGATACAAGGCCATTTGTATCCATCAGTTTTGATGTTTGCTTACTTGAATCTGGCATCAACAAAGAAAAGAAAACTTTATACAAAAGATGCCCAATCTGTTTTACAATGAACACAGAAAAAGCAGAAGCTTTAGTTTAACTATATGAATTGATGGATATTACCTTTGGGGTCGCTAAAGAATATTGTGAAATCATATATTTTCGTGGGGTAAAATTTTCGAGGCTAAAGAAAAAAAATATTGGTTCAGGGGGATTTGATTTCATGGTAGAAAAGTGTTAAGTAATTATGTATATGAAATATATTTACATTTCATGGGGACATGAATTCATGGGTCTCTTCATACCTTGAAAACAACGAAAATTTAACCCCCACGAAAATTAGTGATTTCTCAATATACTTCTTTTGCATGATATTCAAATGAAATCCAAGCTATTAAATTCATATGAATATTGTGAGAAATTGGTACTTCATCTTCTCTTTCCACAATCTTATTAAATTAGATCCTTTGATCCACTCGGATATGATCACTACTGGTCTCTTTCCCATGCAAAGAATTTGCACAATGTGTGAATTTCATATGAAGATTGTGTAAGCCAATTTTACCTGCAAACAATGTGATATTGCACATCAAATAACAATTGTCTTCTAATGCTATGTGTTTAAAGAGAAAGTGTTAGGACATGATGAGTTTGAATATATAAAGTCAGTTTCATTGCAACATTTTTAAAATACACATGTATCCATTTTGAGGCAACTCTGATGTTCCTTTTACACCTTTGAAAAATGTTTTCCATGATTTTTACCTGAACCCTTCCTCGAGAACCCAACATTAAGAAAATCATTTGCTGGGCTCAAAAGAGCCATGAGCTCTTCAGCCTTGGAGCCTCTTGATGAGCTCAGACTGGCATGGCTGTCCACTATTCATAAAACTCAGACTGGCATGGCTGTCCACTTTTCATAAAGCTCACCAATTTAACAAACCAAGTCTGTTACACAAGTTATCATTAAAAATTTGTTTAATACAATATATTTATGAGGCATAAAAACATGTACTTGTAAAGAAAAGAAGGACAACACTGGCAAAAAAGAAGAATGGCAACACAAAAAATTCACAAAATCAACAAAAATCCTTATACCATAAATGACCTTGTACTTTGACATATTCAGTAAATCATGTTATACACTGTACAGTGTATGTCTAATGTCTGACTCTGAGCAGTACACAATCAAACATATACCTGTCTCTCTATCACAGATAGCCCAATATTGTAACACAATAACAAACATACAAACTACATTTAAAGGACAAATTTAAATGTACTCACACATTAGTCTCAAAACCAATCAAATTCATTACTCATCTGAAATATCTTTATAGTTATGAATATGATGCAAATTGAGCACATTAAAAGTTTGATGATAAAAGTAAGATCATTTATGAAAAATTGACACTACAAGGGTGTGGATTTGTCTGTATAAATTCAAACAGAGGCTTAAACTTCAAATTGTGGAGTACAACTTTCTATGCATTTTGAAAAGTCAACCACCGACTGGCAATAATTTACACATGTAAATATCTGCTGTACATTATGTAGATAATAATATATATCAATCTTAATTAGAGATTTTTTTTTTTTGCATAAATAATATTTTGCTACAATGGCAACTATTAATTGTATTTCTAGATCATAATAATATATCAGAATACTTCAATATGTCTCTGTTTATTGATTCCTAGGGTAAAATGTAACAAACTCAGTCCAGCTGATTTCTAAGGCCTGGGTACATTTCCAGTTTCCATCTTATGATCCTAAGGAACCCTAGCGGCAGCAGATCTTTCCACTGAGAAATCGTAGTTATACTGTAAATATACAATAAATCATCCTTAAAACTGAAATACACATGTATTATAGAAATCAAAGTTATACTGTCAATATATGTAAGTAGATCATCCTATATAAAAACTGAAAAACACATGTATCATAGAAATCATAGTTATACTGTAAATATACAATAAATCACCCGAACTAAAAACTGACATACACCTGTATCATATTACATCATAGTTAAACTGTGAAGATATATGGTATCTTTTATTTCCCTCATAAAAAGGTTTGGCTATTTTTATCGAAAATACCTAAGCCAAAAAATAAAGAACACAGATATAGATTGATTTCATACTCTATGTGTACTTATTAAAGCGGGCTTCATATTTTAGCACCTTTGGCACGGACAAGGATGCACTACTTCATGAATACCTCTAAGAATTCATTAATAAATACAAATCATGGCGCGGATGTATGTAGTGCTAATTCATGATTACGCAAACAACCCTACACCCAGTGATTGCGCTAAATTTTAAATACATCAATTTATGTACATGTACAGTATATTGTAAACTATATTATTTTTGAAAAATTTTATTTGGGATTCATTAGTTTGACATCCATTAACCACTACATGTATTAATTTTTGCAACCAAAGACACATTCTATTAAGGAGGTTGGATCCTGTTATCAAAAGTATTGAGAATTTTTCATCAAGTATATTTTTGGAATCTATACAGTGTATAGTATACACATAGATTAATTAAAAATCAAAACCAAAAATGGGTTATATTTGTCCAATATGATGATAGAATTCATGATTGTTAATTTATTATTTAGGAACAGCATGAAACATTTCACTGCACAAAATAACTCTGTGTGCAGGCTGCATGTAAAAATAGGAATCCAAACTTAACAATACTGTAAATATTTTGAACGAGAAAAAATGATCATTTTCTTCTATAAAACCTTCCACCACAAAATATAGTTCCTCACTTAATGCTTTCGGTATGGAATTTAATCATGGGGTTTTAATTGAATATAGTTTAGTTAGCATTGCAGAATCCAAATTTATTGTAAGAACTAAAACATTATGCAGAATTTTTTAAATAGAGGTCTAGACAAAAATCTGATCAAAAGCTAAGGAACGAATCTCGTTAAATGCACAATCAAATAAATGGTTCATGGATATAAATATTTGCACATAAAAGAAGATTATAAAACTCAGGATAATTCTCAAAGTGAATACTAGTAAATAGTTACCAGATGATTTACATACTGACAAGATTGGGAAATGACCTGTACATGTGGGTATCTAAAGATACTTACTTCATTTTCTATATCCATGATGGATTTGTATGGAATCTTTGGGATCGTTACCTGAAAACATAGAATTCAATTATTATAAATAGAAATTAGAATATGCTCATAAATTCAATTTGCAGACTGAAAATAAAGATATTTTGTAGCAATGAGCAGTCTTTTACAGATAATGAAATACTGTTAAAAGTTTTTTTTTCCCCACAAGGTCAGATACAGCATTTGCAGCATACATTAGGTAGAAGATTCACAGATAAACAATTAGAGCAAACAGCAAGGTTCACTTTTGGCCTTTCTGGCCCCTTGAATTTATGAAAAATCAAAACTGCTCAGTTTTATTTGACAGTGCATTAAGTATCATTTAGACCATTAGTGATTGCATATCTATCGAGAATGATGTAATTTTCTCGCTGGTCAATGTATTATGACGTCATGAATTGCTTAATTTTTCCCAATATATCTTGAAAATTCCTTCAAAAATGGCCAAAAATTTGAGCTGTTTTTCAATATCATATCGAGCACAACTTCTCATCAAAAATGTGTAATTATATATTGATATACCAGGTAATGGTTTCTGAAGATTATGAAACGTTTTATTTTTTGGATCGAGGATGTGCTCATATTTTAATTCCTTGCTGAAGGTACTCAGATACACCTATTTTCTGCAAAATTCAAGAACATTGCAATTTCACAAAGCCTGTTTTCCAATTCCTTGACTTTCAGAGGAAACTTTTTTATAGGAAATGAAAGCACTAAGTCTCTACTTTATATTGATGTTTGATATGGAACATAAGGTGACAGTCAATTATTTGGTATATGGACAAGGCCATTTTATGCACAAAGTGAACCAAGCTCTTTGATGTGAATGTATTAACCTTTCAAGTGCCCTTAATGTTGCATCAGATTTAAAGATAGACTAAGTACACTGAAATCATTTTGTGTATATTTTATGGACAGTAAATATTGATGAAATAAAAGGGAAAAAATTTAACATTCAAAATTTTGAATAAATACACGGAAACTTACATTTAAGTCGTCATTAAACACTGCACGATTCAGTTCAAATGGTAGACCCTGTAAGGCTATAATACAGAAAAAACAAATTAAGCCAGTTACATAAGGATTATAATAATCAATGTCACTCATCAATAGACTATGTTTATAATATATCATGTCAAATGACAACATGCAAATTCACATTCCTTTCAGTTTGTATACTAGTATTTTTTTTTTTTATTGTATTTTGGACATCAGATTGTATGGTGTAGTTTTTTCTCTTGACTGTTTTCCAAATTGAATGATTCTTATTATTGAGTAGTGTATGCTTCTTGAGTACCAAAGGATACTGGAATTCTTTTTTAAAATTAAAAAATAAAACATATTCTGTAAATATGTTTGCTCAGAAAAGTGAAATGTACCATCAGTAACAACACACTCTATACTACTGTGTATCTGTACGACACTTGTAATTTTGGATTTGATGATTTAGTATGCTGAAGGAATCAGTTTATGTATTACATCAGGAAATATTAATTGACAAAAAGTCTGTATCACTTTACAGCTACAAAATCCTCAAAATCAGCACTATGTAAACTAAAGCTTGAGGAGGAACAGACTAAAGAAAATGACATCAGAAAAGATTTAAATATTACCCGTAACAAAATCATTAAAATATAAAAATTAATTTTTAAAATGACCCATTTTAAAGAACTTTTTAAGATGCACTGAATGTAAATGAACACTCCCCACCCAGGACCCATGCTGAAGGACCATGTTACTTTGATATGGGCTTCACTGGGCCATCTTTGAAAAAAATGTTTACTTCTCCTCTTCCAAATCAGTGTGAAAAATTTGGGTAGGGAGGTAGGGAAAAAAAAATTTTTTTTTCAGAAATTTCTACGTCAATGCTTAATATATAATTTTTTTTTTTTGAAATTAGAAGACAGTATTAATAAGAATAAAATAGTTGTAGACAGGATGAGCAATTCCAGAATGAATTAAAAAGTAATTACAGTCAAACCTCATTATCTCAAACTCCATGGGACCATGAATAAAACTTCCGAGATATCTAAGGATTAGAGATATCAAGGGTAAAATTCTAAAGGAACATGGTATTCGAGATATGGGTGTTTGAGATACTGAAGTTCAACTGTATTTCCTGGAGATTTTAAAAAAGTATCAAGTCAGGCCATTTCAAGTCAGGGAGAGGGAAGCAGACAATTTTTGAAAGATGGCCTCGACTCAAGTCTTTCAAAATCATTAAAATAATCTCTTGGTAACATTTCAGTTACCGGTACTCAACATGTACTTCAAAAGAAAGCAGATTCCACTTTTATCAAAATACATGTTAAAAATAATTTTCTTATTTCTGAAACTAAACAGTATATTTTGTATTAAAGTGCACTAACACTTTTTGGTGGTAAGAAGATATACAATGTTTATGTAAAGGCAAGTTTGTTAAATTTTTGATTAATTATTTACAGACAAAATAGTTAAGAAGTAAATTAAACAAGTTTTGTTTTGTGTCTTTGATCTTCCATAAAAATTTCTAAGCATACATGTCCATAAAACAACAGATGTAAACACATGATTGTTTGTTGATCAAAGAAAATGTAGTAAAGCAATGAATCAAGAAAGGCCGAGCAGAAAGGCTATTATATATATAAATGTTGGCCATGCAACAGCCAGATGTTAAATAAGAGAGTGACTAATAACCTGTAACTGCCTGGCTCCCTATAGAACAGAATATTTACAGGTGCACTTTAAAACATAAAAACTCATCTCTAAACATTGACTTAATACATAAAAAAAACAACATTTCAAAATATAAAATTTATCAAAAATTTGAAAAAAAATATATACAAAATACACCACATGTAAACAAGTTCTATAAGAAATAGAATCAATTGTCATTGTAAGAGTACCTTGTAGAGTGTTTGCTGTCTCTGCAAAACTTGTTCCTCTTTCTAATGGCCCATTCCTATATGGAGTCGGGTTGTAGGGTAAATTAGAACCCAGAGCTGACCTGAAAATATGAGGAACAAACAAGTGTAAGTTAATTAGATGTAAGATGACAAAATCATGTTTTAAGCTGCTTGATACTATTCTTACATGAATAATCTGTTCTTTTTTTCTCAAATGAAAAATGTTGGCCCAATAGATAATACTACACATGCTATAAAGAGGTTTTAAAAGTGATAAATCAACACCATATACTCTAAATTTTCTGCACTTTCACTTAAAACATAACTTGGCACTTATCCAGAGGGTATAAGGGTTCAAATCCACTTCAATACATATACACTGGTGTGGTCAGGGTGAATGACCCTGTTACTCAAGACATCTCCACCAGTACGTATAAAGTGGAGAAGCCCACTCATGACTTCTCCACCAGTATGTATTAAGTGGAGAAGCCCAATCATGACATCTCCACCAGTATGTATAAAGTGGAGAAGCCCACTCATGACACCAGTATGTATAAAGTGGAGATGCCCACTCATGACCTCTCTACCAGTATGTATAAAGTGGAGAAGCCCACTCATGACCTCTCCATCAGTATGTATAAAGTGGAGAAGCCCACTCATGACCTCTCCATCAGTATGTATAAAGTGGAGAAGCCCACTCATGACCTCTCCATCAGTATGTATAAAGTGGAGAAGCCCACTCATGACCTCTCCATCAGTATGTATAAAGTGGAGAAGCCCTTTGTGTTTTTCAACATACTTATATGTTCACTGATGTTGATTGGAAGGGGATACCCAAGTATATTATTCATGTACCATTGTATATGTTCATTTGGATAAAGTGGATCAACCATGTATTGTGTTAGTTCATTGATGTGGAGAATCACTTTGTATTACAGCACATACATGTACAAACTCACTGGTGTGGACTTGGTGGAGTAACCATGTGTGTTACATTGCATACAAGTCTCTTGGTGTTGACTGATTGGCATATAATGTGCTATTGTGGAGTATATCTGAGTTATATATTAAACATTTACATTCATTGGTGTATACTGGGTTGTTGAATAGCTGTGTGTGACGTGTGGAGTAGCTCTTTAATAGTGATTTACTAATACTTGCATGTTCATTGGTGTGGATTGGGTTGTGGAATAGCCCTGTGTGTGACGTGTGGAGTAGCTCTTTAATAGTGATTTACTAATACTTGCATGTTCATTGGTGTGGATTGGGTTGTGGAATAGCCCTGTGTGTGACGTGTGGTGTAGCTCTAAGTGATTTACTAATACTTACATGTTCATTGGTGTGGATTGGGTTGTGGAATAGCCCCGTGTGTGATGTATGGAGTAGCACAGAGTGATTTACTAAATACTTGTACGTTCATTGGTGTGGATTGAGTTGTGAAATAGCCCCGTGTGTGATGTATGGAGTAGCTCTCAGTGATTTACTAATACTTACATGTTCATTGGTGTGGATTGAGTTGTGAAATAGCCCCGTGTGTGACATGTGGTGTAGCTCTGAGTGCTTTACCAATACTTACATGTTCATTGGTGTGGGTTGAGTTGTGAAATAGCCCCGTGTGTGACATGTGGAGTAGCTTTGAGTTATTTACCAATACTTACATGTTCATTGGTGTGGACTGAGTTGTGAAATAGCCCTGTGTGTGACATGTGGAGTAGCTCTGAGTGATTTACCAATACTTACATGTTCATTGGTGTGGATTGGTTTGTGGAAAAGCCCTGTGTGACGTGTGGAGTAGCTCTTTAATAGTGATTTACTAATACTTGCATGTTCATTGGTGTGGATTGGGTTGTGGGATAGCCCTGTGTGTGATGTGTGGAGTAGCTCTAAGTGATTTACTAACACTTACATGTTCATTGGTGTGGATTGGGTTGTGGAATAGCCCTGTGTGTGGAAGGTGGGCTCAGTTGATTGGCCTTGGTGGGAATCCATCTGAACTGCAGGTTTACGAAAACTGGACATTTTATAGCACAGTCCCATGTAATTCAGCTCTCTAGGTTAAGAAAGTATAAAGTTATAAGATATATGTGCCTTCATTGGTCAATCCGTCAAACATATACATGCATGTGCCTTAATGAAGAGCACTTCTTCCTGTTCAAAAGGGGGCCCATATTCTAAATTTGCAATACTCTAAAATTGTATCCTTTGTTGCCAGACACAATTCCAACCTTTGATTGATCCTTTTTCAAAGAAATCCTCAAAAAGACTTTAGTTAATGATAATCATGAATAAAACTCTTTTTTTGGAAATACTCCTTAAGTAGTACATGTAGTTTAACCACTCATACAAGTAAACAAGTTAAAATTTCATATGATGACCACTAGTTTCTACTTGAGCTTCACTTGTGATAAACAGATTTCACACCCAATAAGGTCTTCACCAAACTCTACATATCATGGTAAATCGGTAAAAGCACTGGCCTCCATGGTTAGGGAACTATTTAACTTTAAAAACCAAATTTCTTATCTCATTATCTGAACTCTTACCCCACCAGTGTATAACCATTAGGGGGTCGTCTCACTCCCTTGCTTAAAAGGATAAGTTCACATATGGCATCATTGGTTAAGTCGCTGGACATGTAACGAACACACAGCATCTTCTTTTTGACAGCTTTTTCGCCTGCAACATTTAATAAACCTTTATCAAATTTTCAAAATTGCAGAAATTTTTATTTACTCATCAGTCAGGAATTACTGTCTGCATTTTGAAAATGTATGCATTTAAAAAAAAATCACCAAACAATGAGCAAAACAAAAGATCTAACCCTTACAGTTATTCCATCTTATACAAAACTTAAAAGTTGTTGTCAAAACATTGAGAAAAAAAAATCATCACTTTTATTGAAAAAAAAGAACTACAGTCAATCAGAATTTTAAAAATATACTACAGACTGAGGGCAAATAATTGGCTTTTCTTGTCTCTTTGAATCACAAACTATCAGGATTTCCATTAGTTTTGAAAAAGAGGACAAAAAGAGCAAAATTTCTTTAAGATTGCAAAATTCTCGGGTACTATAGATTTCACAGATTTCACTGATATTATCATTCAACATATTATATCAAAAGGTCAAGTCTCAGCAGACCTGTGCTATCAAAAAGTATACCCAGTATATAAAATACACTATTTTCTTTTGAATTTGTTGAAATTTTAAAATTAAATCATTTTCCTGACTTCATATCTAACTAATGACATCATTTTACAAGAAAATATGTAATGCTTTAAAGTGTGCAAATATTACCCTGGTTTAGAACATTATTAAAGGTTTCTCCATCAAAGTTTGATTTTGGGGGCAGATATTAGCCATTACAGAATATAGTCCTTTATCTACAGATAAACTAAAGAGCCGTGGTCTTATTGGTCTTACGTGAATCACTTGTGAAATCTACACATGTAAATCCAGCTGGGATGGCGTCTCTTTCTCCAATCACAGTCACATCTACCAATACATCTCTACCCTGGGGGAAAAAAAATCAAATGCTGTAGAGACTTCTTATGAGATTCCTGCACACCCATACATTTATACAATCAATATTACTACATTTTCTCTGCAATGACCTTTCTTTTTTCCTTTCCATTGATCTAAAACTGAGTTTTTAAATTACATGCATCCAACATGCTATATATTCTTTATTATATATTTAATACATGTACTAACTAGAAGTGTTAAGATGCAATGAAAACCAAGAGTAACAAGAATGTGAAATTTCTCTATCTGAGGATGTCATCATCTTAAAATTCTTACATCACTTCATCTATCTTGGCACAGCATAATAAAATCTAAAGATCTATAAAATCCTAAGGAATAACCTATGGAAGCAATTTGATAAATACAAGGGGTGTTTGATTTTCTGAAAACAATTTTTTATCTACTTCATCTTTTAGGGTGTACACTAGCAGTGAACACTGAATCATAGCACATGTACTATATTTCTGACAAATACTGTAGATTCAGATTGGAACTGGAATATGCAATTACATAGCTAAGATTATTGCTTCAGTTGAAAAATGTCATTTAAAGAACATCCAAAATTACTGAGAGAAAATGAATTATTTTCTATATACATGTATGAGAGTAAGGGACAAATAAATTCTATCCTTAGGGATTTTAGTTGCTGTTAAGACTCAGAAAGCCTCATCCTAGATGACATAAATGATTCCTTCAGGAACTGAAGAATTTATCTACTCTGTTCTCAAACATATGATTCTTATAATCATCATGCATGTATGTGATGTACTACTACACATATTATTAAAATGCTAACAATTTTTTTTATTTCCAATCAAAGTAGAATCAGATTAAATATTTGTACCTGCATGTAATTCCTGTTTTTATATGATCTAGGATTAATGAGTTTAAGGAAATATACATGTACACATTTACTCTATATCTATTTTTTTTTTTATATCAAAATGAAAACTGAAAAACATTTTAATTACCGGTGAGGGTGGCATTTTTTCCACACAGAGAAAACGTACAACTTTTCTTCCAAACAGACCATCTCTCCATAAATCTGCATCCTCTCTGCGATCGTAAGTACGATCAATCTAAACATGTCAACATATACTTTTCATTCAATTCTTAAAATAATAGAATGAACTCTAAACACCTTTTACTCAAAATACATGATTACAACAAAATATAATTCTTTTAAAACTGTCTTTATCTCAGATTTAAATGAAAATTCTGTATATAATTACCAATGTAAATACTGTGTACAGGGAAATTTTCGTCCCCGTTTTATTTTCGCCCCTTTCGCCCTACCCTTATTTTGGCGAATTAAGGGGCAAAATTGTTTGCAAGTGTAAAAGGGTGAAAATAACAAGAGGTGAAAATAACTTTGTATACAGTAATTACCAGAGTAAATCAATAATGACCAGAGTAAATCAATAATTACCAGAGTAAATCCTGGAGGACACCTAGCGGGATCTGCTACTATGGCAACCTGTGTAATTGGTCTGTCTATGTCTGCCATGTCCTCTACAAAATAGATCTTTTATCATATTTATGTACCTCTAGAACCATTCTATCATAAGTATCATAATAAATAAAAAGGGGGTTGAAAACTAAGAACTTTCAGGGGCCATTATCAAAATCTGTTGAAATTCATGTCCATGGGCAAAAATAAGTATTTTTTGTCTTTGCTGGTATAAATTCTTTTACACACAATAGCTGATGATACCTATATCTTATTTTTACACCAGTAAATGATGATAATACTTCATCAAATCAAAAAAATTATAATCAAGTCTTTCACATAACTTGTATCTATATACTAGATAAAATACGAGGGTTGTTCGGAAAGTTCGTGGACTATGCCAATCTTCGTTATACTATCTTCAAGAAATTTAAAATGAGCACATTTTCATATGTAAAAATATTTATTTTGCTTAAGTGTGAAGTTTAATTCCATGTGATTTAATAGAATTCATGTCATTTAATTTTAAAATCAACATGTTTTGTAACCACGGAGCAAACTCAATAACACTGTAACGTCAAAAACATACAGACGTTAGGTTCTCAAAAATACTATCCCTATACATTTCAAAGTATTGCCCAATACCAGTGCACACATTAAAAACGTTTCTCTGTCACTTGAAATCTATTTTGCTAACAATTGTCCAAGTATCATCATTTTGTTTGTCAATGTTATATTTTTTTTCACTGCATAAGTGTGCTTTCACAAGATTAGCATCTGTGAAGCGCCAAACTCTTAGCATGACGTTACAAACTTTTCAATGTTTTTGAGAAGATTTTTACAGATAATCCGTTTTCTCAGAGATCACCATCGTCTACGCAGAGTAGTCTATCATTCAAATACCGCTTGTACCATATACACACACATGCATGACTCGCTTTTGACATATTTCTTTCTTCCTCCGGCATTTTCAGAGTTTTTTATCTAGTTTTCCAGAGTACAACACAAAATTGTATGGATAACTGCTGCTCCGTGACGTTCTACGATGTCATCTTTTTTTTTGGCTTTTTTTAATGAGGACTACCTATCTTCTGAAACTGATTTCTTTTCAACAAAGCAAAATATTAAGTCATAATTTGGAATTAGAAGATATGAAACAATTCTTAATTTGAACATGTAGAATTTTTCCGATTTTGTTTCATTTTACAGAAGATATGACCTCGGACATTATTTAGTCTCTTGATTGTAAATTACGAAATTTTGACCTGCTCCATGATCCGATTTTCGCATTTTTTAAGTCTAAATAAGTTTGAAATAAACCATGATATTTTAAAAAATTTTAATACACATCATTTAAATTTACTGTTGAAATATTTCTTCCAAATTTGGATATAATATGATGTTAGTAAAAAAGTTATGACAGTAGTCCACGAACTTTCCGAACAACCCTCGTATGTGTAAAATATTCAGCAATATGAAGAGAAATAATTTTACACTTTTAATGAATGTTAGTAAATTCAGCCCAATGATCGATTAAACATAATAAATTTTGTGATAATTCTTCAAGTATCAATTTTGAATTATGATCATGAAGATTGAAAACTGATCAAAAGTTGTCCATATTTAACTTACCGGTACAATTTACTTCAAATATAACTTTTCAGACACAATACTTGTGCACAGGCAAGTGACTTTTTCAATCCATCTTTGTTTTCACAAGAGCTGAAATACAAATGAAAATTTTCTTAAGAAATGAATTTAATTTTTGAGAATTCATGAGGACATGAACTACTGCGCTTCACACCGGCATATTTCATGAAACGTACCTTTCTGTAAATTCTTTGTTCAATGTTAGACAATTTCATATAAAATAAAATACTTTTATTAAAATGATGACAATAACACAGTATGTTCAGTTTAATGTCAGACATGTCAGCCCAACAACATCTCAGCCCACAGACATTTAGGCCCAATGACATTTTGGCCCAGACAGCTCGGCCCAAGATTAAATTAAAACCGATTGGCCCAACAACACTTTAACCATACCCATTGGCAAACACATTTGGGAAAATACATTTACAATGTCCCACTTGGATAAAATTTTGAATAAAACAATTACATATGAATGAGTAAGGTTTTATTTAACCATAACACTTGAGGTCTTCCCTCAAGTAAATTACAATAATGCGTGAAAGGAAAGACAAAGACAAACATGATTGCTAAATACATCTTAAGTGCATCATTGGTGACATTAAGGGGTTAATTACGAGAAGGCTTGTGAGACACTTAACTCTATATCTTTTAGATATTAACCTATTTCAGTTGTTTCACTTTCAGATCATCAGAGTCACAATGCAAAATGGCTACTATGATAAAATTCAATTCTTCTTTTAAAAAAAATTATAAAGAAAAAAACTGTTTTAAATTGATTGATAAATACATACATCTAGATATTATTTTTAACATACATGTACGTAAATTATACTAAATATATAAACTTTCCAAACTAAACTATAACATGTATAAAAATACTAAAGACATTAGTATTTAGTAAATAAAATATCTTCTTCACCTAATGTTGTACATGTTGTAGTGAAATACATGAACATCTATTTTTCTGATATTATAAATTCATTTGCTTTGCTTCAAATTCATCTGCCATGTTGACATTTGGAAATCCCTGAATATTGTCCATAGTATCAGGGATTTATATATAATAGTATGTGGCAGTCAGATGTGTTCGACCCCTGGTGGCCAGATAGCTCAGTTGGTAGAGCACCTGACTAGGGATTCAGGAGGCCCTGGTTCGAATCCTGGTCTAGTCCATCGCATTTTTCTACTCTCCCTTTACATTTGGTGCCAGGCCATGCCCTGGAAGTGACAGGTGAAAGACCTGCCAGGGAAGAGCCTGGGTTGGTGTCTTTGGGGGCCAAAGACCTTCAAGGAGGGAGGAATGTGGCGTTGACAGACGTGTTTGATCGCTGGTGGCCAGATAGCTCAGTTGGTAGAGCACCTGAGTGGAGATTCAGGGGGCCAGGGTTCGAATTCTGCTCTGGTCTGTTGCATTTTTCTCCTCTCCCATTACAAGTATAAACATCCCTTATAGTATCATGTAGATTAAATTTTTTATGCTACTGGGCAGTGGCAATTGATACATTCTATCATTGTATACAACCATAGACCGACAGGTCTGTCACAAAATTTTTTTGGCCTGAGGTGTCTTTCATATGGACTGACCTATCTGAAATACTGGGCTGAACTTGTCTGGGCCGAGGGGTCATTTGTGATGGGCTGAAGTGTCATTGGGCCAAGACGTTTGTCTACCTTTCAGTCAGCTGATTCTAGGAAGGTATTAGAAATGTTTATGGAGGTTTTCCCCAGATTCCTCATACCATCCCTTTTGATAAACGATGCTATATGATCATACCTATGAAATAGTGAATATCTTATCTATAGTCTTTAAAAAACTGTCTTCACTTCAGAGCTGTCTATGGTAGATGTGCAACTTTCATCATATAACAGTGGAGTATGTATCATATCTCTTTGATAATAACACAGGCAAAGCACCTGAATTTTCATCAATAACTAACAAATAAAGCCCTAGAGCAAAAAATAAAATATTCCCCCTCTACACACGGGCATAGGAAGTTAATGTAAATATTGACAATGTGTATGTAAATGAACATTCTGGTGCCTGTGATTAAACTATTACCAGAAAGTTTTAAAAATATAAAAAGGATACGTACCAACGTAAATAATAAATGTACCGAATCCGAGTCTGATGACTAATTTCTCAAAGAAAACCCCGAAAATATTATAAAGCGCTTTGGTCACCAAGATCAATTAAGACAACCAGATCCTCCACAATATATTTCGGTTGATACTCGACTCTGATGTAGTCCGACTTCTTTAGTAAGTACCACCCGGAAGTAAGTTTTTGGCTCCCATTTCGAATCGCGAAAGCGATGGATGCTTAATTTTTGCAGCAAATTTTATTTTGTAACATGTCAGACAGAAGAAAAAGTAAGAGAAGGTCTAGTTTAGCAGCCAGTAGGATCCAACTTCAGTATGAAAAGGCAAAAATTAGTTCATCTGGAGGTAAGAGAATTCCTCTTCAAGAAGTTCTTGGCTTGCAAAGAACACCTGGCCCCAAGACCATAAACTGAGAATAGACTTAAGTCAAAATTTTGATTTTTAATATCTTGAGTTTTATTTAATGTATTTGCTAAAAAAATTTGCAATTTTATGTAACATTTAAATTCAAATATATAATAAAAATTTTGTTTCATTATCAAAATTATTTCAAAAGTTATATTGGTTTGAAATTTTGACTTAAGTCTGTTCTCAGTTTATGGTCTTGGGGCCAGGTCCAGCACAATCTCTTGATTAAGGTTGTTCAAAATAGCTTGATAAAGCTATTTATGTGCATTTTTTCCCCCAGAAAAATGGTTTTGTAAGAAATAGACAAAAAAAAGTTGCAATGATTTGACTACTCATATATGTACTATGGGCTATCAAAACAACAACCGATATCAAAGATAGTTCTAACATTGCAGCATTTGAATAGGCCTACTTTTAAGCAAAAGATGAATTTCCATTGAATGGAAATTCATCTTTTGCTTAAAACTATTCAAATGCTGCAATGGCATTGTTTGAGTAACTGTATGCTACATAGTTAGAATTAGCTGCAATAACGTAGCCCTCTCCAATTTTTTTTAATCTGATATTTTCAAGAGAGGGCTACAATTCCACTGCATCTCCGTAATGGTGCAAATTTATTTTTTAGATATGGGCGACTGCAGGCAAAATAAATTGTTTTTGCATTCAACTTATTTCCAATAAGACGGATATTTTATTCACTATCAACATCATAGCCCTTTATAAGCGAAAACCAAGTAAAATAAATCTGCGTGTTTACCAGTCGTTCTCCTCAGAAGTCATGACAGTTCTCGCGTGATGTACAGAGACTTGCGCTTGAAATTTAGAATCACTTGATAAAGTAAATGTCGGTGTTGATAAATGTTTGTGTTGTATGATATCATTAAACATTGATAAATAAAAGCATTCCATGTGATAATCTTTTCATAAACAGTGATATTTATGCTTAAAATAAGGAAAATCCTAACCGATCCGCTCCCCTAGATCCCGAATTCTCATTGGTTGTCCCAAAATAAAATCGATCAAGGTCAGTAAACATGGCGGATAAATTCAAGTTGTGATGTTGACATACACGAAAAATAACCGATATACGGATTGTTCTGTATATTTTTGGATCAATTCATGTCTTACATAACTACATTTTATGAGTTCAGGTAAGATATATGTTAATAAAATACCCACTTACTGATAATCTGAGCCGAAATCTGTGCGGTAGTGAATCACTCCCGCACTTGCACCATTACGGAGATCCTAGGGAGTTGTAGCCCTCTCCAAAAAAAAAAAAAAATCGGAGAGGGCTACATTATTGCAGCTAAGTTAGAATAATCTAACTGTGTCTCGGGACAAGCCCTCACCACAGTTAGAATACATCCCATATACTTGCAATGTAGCAAGTCGGAGTGGATCCACTCTGAAATGATTTTGAAGAATACAAAAGGAGTTGCACTGAAAATAACTACCAAATTAATCATAACAAACCTTTTTGAGACAGTATATGTCTTTTAACCTAAAAAATAATCCATATAAATACGAAAATTCAAATCATTTTCTCAACGTTTTTTCCTTGCTTCAAATTTAACGCCATGTTGACAATCTGAACTCTCTGGATTGTTCATAGAAAATGTACAGAGTACGAGTTATCGCCTGTGTTTATTTTGCAACATTGCCAATACACAGAACGAATTCTATCGTTAAACCGGGTCCGTAGGACAATATCATTTTAACGATAGAACGTTCTATCTATATAGTACTACACTTTACCTTGTGTGCGTTGAGGCATGGATAAGTATGATTGCTTCTAATTGTACTGAATTATTACCAATTATCAATTATGTTGTTGACCATAATTGGCCTCTTTTTATAATTTCAGTAAAGAAGTAACTGTATCAATTGCTTTATAGCCCCAAAACTTTTAGAACTTTGAGTGCAAAGTTTCTTAAGGAGGCGCAATTTGATGAGTGATTTTTACATGCATTATTTGCAGAAGAGTTCAAGGTTGAATATTATCACTGCACCAAGGTGCGAGTTTTTGTGCATGCTGAGAAAATAACACATTTAAGAAAAAAGTGTGATAAATGGCTAAAACAAGCTATTCTGAATAGCTTAATAAAGCTATTTAGCTAAATCAAGCTATATAGCTAAATCAAGAGATTGTGCACGGTCAAGCTAACTACATTTTTTATACAGACAAAAGAATACAGAAATATTTAGTTTTAACTTAGATCCACTTCTTCAATCCACACGAGACATTTGGAACGTCTAGACTGTGAAGTCACATTGAAAGTTAGAACTTTGCATTTCCAAAAAGTTTGAAAAGGGCAAAATTTAACAAAGAATGTTTAATTTACTATCTATCTGCAATATTCATAGCTGCAGAAGTATGGCATTATGGTTTTATATTTTAGTCTTTGACCTTAACGCTACAGATCCCGTAATGCAAATATGGTGCAATTTACGTCGCAAGATTTTCTGCACAAGGTTAGAGAGAATTTCTACTTTTTCCAGCATTGATCAATCAACTATGTTTCACTCCCTGTTTGCGTAATACTTTATTCTAGTAGATCACCTCAATGTAAATATAAAAAATAAACAACAATGTTAAAAAGTTCACTGGGAAATCTACTTGGTTGTTTTACATGTTCAAATCTACTGAGAAGCCCTTTGGGCTTCACAGGATTGGATCATGTGACCAACCAAGTTCATTTCCCAGTGAACTTTTTGACAATGATAATGTGACTTTTACATGTATCTTATCAGCATGATCAGCTTAGCTCAATAGATAAAATACCTGTACATGGATTTAACTGTTCCATGTAGTCTGTAAGGTATTATCCAAGGAGAAAAGCCCATCTCTAATGGATTCAAAACTTTCACTTTTAGCTGTTCTGTTCTTTCCATTTTCTGTTCCGTTTTCCCCATTTTATTTAGCAAAACCTCACCACTGGTAAGAGAGACCAGAAATGCCAGGTCAAAAATGTATGAAAAGGAAGAGTTGGTTGTTATAAAATATTAAATATATTTGACAGTGAAACCAATAGATATGTCGTCTATATGATGTCCACCTCTTGATCCATGAATAGATCCACCACAGGTGAAAATGATTATGTTTTGTCTAATATACTCAAGACCATCAGTGATAAACTCAAAGAGTTAAAGACAAAAATTCATCTTTAAACTCTGACTTTATTAATCTAGCTTAAAACATGATGCAATATACAATTCTGTAAACTTCCAGTTAATTAGACAAGCTTTGCAAGTAAAAGCACAGAAACTTTTAAATACTATGGATAAAATATCTAAATATGCTGTAAATATTAAATAGTTCATTTTGGATAAGTAAAAATATACCAATCAAAGAAACAAATCAGTTCCACAAGTAGATCCCTAGTCCTGCCCATGGAGTGTGAAGACAGGCCCTTTTTGAACCTGCACACAACTGGCTTCTTCAGTCCAACTTCTTGTTACTCATAAAATGTGTTGTTTTTTACAGAGCTTTACAAGATAATAAGTCCAGATAAAACAGATGAAGAACGTTTAGCTGCCTTACACAGAACCTGCTTGGAGGTTTGTGAAGACTTACGACAAACTTCCACTATTGCAGTACTAACATTTCTTATACTGTATTGTTCTGTATTTATTAAGTAGTCTCTTTTTAAATTGTAGTATACACTGCAGAAATTAGAGGAGGAAAATCCAAACTTAGAAGGACTTGAAGATTTAAAGAAAACATGTAAGATGTATATACCATAAGTACAGGGTATGTTAATGTACAGTACATGTAGGACTAAGTAAACAGGTGAAATGCAAATCAATGACTGTACCTGTAAACTGTAAGTACTTTAATAATGTAAGACTAATGGGCACAATGTAAATCACTTACTATACTGATAAGAATCAGGATATTGTTAATCAATCATTAAGCACATTAACAATACCGGTAATCAGCTGCATTTCAAGATTTCATTTCTTAATTTCTAAAAAAAAAAAAAATAAAAATAAAATAAAATAAAATAAACTGATTGCAATTATATCATTCAAGATACAAACATTATATACATACATATTACAGTGCTGGACCAAGGACTTAGAAAGATATCTGAATTGGAAGAAAACGGAAGTTTTAAACAAGCTTGTAATAATGACAGGCAAGTAAGATTATTAGTTCTTCTGAACTGAAGGCTCAATGATCTAATGCTGAGGCCATTTGTACATGATATGCTTTTTGGACTGTGGGATATTTCTCAAGAACCCCTTGTCCAATTTTTATTTTAATTTATCACAGAGTATCCTTGAGCCAAGGGCTTTCTTTTGTACTAAAAAGATGAATATGACCCTGTAATGAGTTCTTTTGATTTTGTAAGTCCGGAAGAAAATGAAACACTGTAGAATCAATTAAACAAAAAAAAAAATTATTTACAGAACAAATAAATGAATAAACAAAAAAAAAAACAATAGCACAAATAACTTACATACACCCCACTCGCAAACACACACACAGAGAAAGAAAGAAAAGCAACGTAATACAGAAATAACTGACACAATTAACACACAAACAATGAACTTACCGGTAATACTGTGTGTCAGAAACAAATATCTAAACAAAACTTGTTTAATGAAAACAGCAACATTTGTATTAAACGACAATTAATTCCAAGTTGTTGGAATTCCAATTCCAAGTTGTTTAAAAAAGTTCAAAGTAGAAATTATCCTTTAAATACTTTTCACTGTCATATAATTTTAGAAAAAGTTTATTTACTAAACCAAATTGGGAGTTTGTCTGACGCCTGTTCACTTTATTAACACCACTGGGCTTCCGTTCACCATACAAAGTTCACTGACATTCCAGTCCTGGACTCACAGGCCTCCCACTGATAAAGTCGTACCGGTATTCATCTACCCTTCAGTTAGATGGACATTATGCTTCTCCCATTAGTTGCAATCACACAATTCCACCGTAGCCACACCACATGCTCCGGTCCTAAACACAAACAGACCAATCACCATCTCAAGTCCTTAGCCCCTAGCCCCTGGTATACTCTATGCCCTATGCACTAAAATAAAATGACTTTTCTAGACTACTGACTACTAAAGTACAGAAATAACCAGACCACCTAATATAAAATAAATATACAGACATAAAGTAACGAACTCCTATAAATAGTTACAAATAATACTAGCATACCGGCTGGAGAAAACAGAAATGACCGTTCCCCTGCTACCGGTTCCAGACTAATTTCTGAAATTCACCATTAATGAGAACGTCCATGGTGACCAAAACTGTATACATGGACAACGCCTCTTTCACTGCCACAAGTCTCTATTGTTCTGACCCAACCAGTTTTCTAAATTTAACTTATATATGCACACTCAAAACTATGGATACACCTAACGACAAAACTCATAGGGAAAACACAAAACCAAACATAATATTAGCCAAACAAAAGCCAACTTCATCACAGACCCTTAAACAAGAGGAGATAATTAGGGAAATATAAAACAAGGAGTGCTAACAATTTCTAAGAAGCAAGGGACTGATTATCACCAAACTTGTATGTAAGGATGAGGATATATTATAAGTTAAAAATTGTTCAAGGCATCATTCCTAGGGCAAAGATTGTGGTCTCAAGTTCACTCTAAAATTGACCTAAAATGATATTTTGTTTAAAATTTGATAACTTTCATACAATGATGACTAGAATCATCAAATCTTGTCAGTTTATGCATCTTTGGACCTCAGGATATATCCAACCAAAACTAGGTCCGGTGACTTGCTATTTGAATTTTGCAGCTATTCATTTTCAAATGGTTTAAGATGCATATCTTGGACATTGTGAAGCTTAGAATCCACAAACCTTGTCAATTGATGGATCTTTGGGCCTTGGAATGTCAACTTAAAAGTAGATCGTACTGACCTATTTTCTGGATTTTAAAGCTACTTATTCCAAAACATTTCAGCTAAATAATTAAAATACTATGGGGCAATCATCAATCTTTATCAGTTGATGCATCTTGGGGCCTCTTGGTTTGTTAACTAAAAAACTGGTCACAGTGATCTACTTTCTGACTTTTCTGGCTTTTCATTTCAACATTTTTTAAATGTATTTTGGACATTACGATCTGTAGGTCACTAAACCTAAATAAACATAGTGATCATCTTGGGGGGATGTGTCAATTTAAAAGTAGGTCACAGTGACCTACTTTTTTAATTTAATCATTATTAATCGTCAAATCTTTTAAGCTTGGATATTAAGAGGCCTGGATCATCCAACCTTGTAAGCTGATGTGCCTTTGGGCCTTACAGTGGGTTACAGTGACCTACGTATTTGAATTTGATCATTATTGTCAAATCTTTTTTACTTGAAAACCAGGAGGCTCATGATAATGAAATCTTAACAGTTGATGTATCCTAGGGCCTCGGAATATGTTGACCAAAAAGTAGGTCACAGTAACCTATTTTTTAAAATTTTATAGCTATTATTTTCAAAATAGTTTTAGTAGTTTTAATTGCATATATTAAACACTGTGAAGCTTAGGATCATCAAACCTTGTTGGTTGATGCAAATTTAGACCAGGATGTTTCAAATAAAAAGTAGGTCACTGTGACCTACTTTCTAAACTTTAGGGCTATTCATTTTCATAACTTTTTAATGAAATATTGTGGATACTAAGATGCTTTGAATCATTCAAGTGTCATTGACCTTAAAGAAGGTCATGGTAACCAACTTTCTGATTTCATGGCTTAACATTTTGAAATCTTTTATGCAATATATTTTGAGCACTATGACATGTTAGGTCACCAAACTTAGAAAGTTGATGCACAATGTGTCAACACAAGATTATGTTTACAGTGATCTACTTTTTAAATTTTATCATTCTCTGTTAATTTTTTTTTTTTGCCTGGGTACTTAAAATACTCGGATCATCAAACTTTATTAGTTGCTGGGCTTTGGGGCCTTAGAATATGTTTAACTGAAAATTAGGTCAAATTGACACTGTTTTGCAATTTATAAAAAAGCATTCTAGGCCCTTGGGCCTTTCGTTTTCAATGCTTAAAGATTTCAATACTGTATAAAGCAACAAATTTAGCAAAAGAATTAATCATGAAATTAGGTTTGATAAATTTAAGTATTTTATTAAAATTAATTTAAATACGTCTATATTTTTTGATGTAGTGAATTTATTTCTTGTTTTCAGAATTTTGACAGAGAACCCCCATAATTTGGAAATGGATGAAATAATTGAAGCCTTAATCAGCTACAACAAAAAGTATGTGAAAAATCCTCCTCCTCATTTAATTAATTTAATTTTGACAATTTTTTCATTGAAGAGTATTCAAGACCCTTATCAAAATAGAAGATGGTTAACACATACATGTTAACTTTACTGCTTTATGCAAAAATCTACGGCTTTTTACTCCATCATCTCCTACTGCTTTTATTCAAAAATCTACTCTCTGTCTCTCTCTCTAAAACACATAGTTTTAATTCAATGTAAAATGTTGTAAAAGGTAAAAACAAATTTAAAAATCTACCTCTTTTCTTAAAAAAAACAAACCATTTTTGGTTCAATTGGGTGGACATTTTTTGAAACCACTTAGTCATTAAATCTTGTGGTTTTTAAGCTATCATGTGATTTGAACTTGGAGCATAAAACTCTTTTTCATACCAATGTTAACGTGAATTTTAAGCAAATGTTTGACAATGACAGGTACACACATTACATTGGTTACGATAAATTTTGTCGAGATCCCCCCCCCCCCCAAGAAAAGGAGAGAGAGAGTATTGTAGAATCTTGAAAACTTTTGACTTTGTTCATAAATGCAAAAGAGGGAATCAGCATTCATTACTTTTGCTTTTGGTCATCATGGGGAAAAAAAATACAGACTAGTTTTTGATACATGTATGAATTGTATAATGACATTTAAATTAACATTGACATTGCTTCTAGGTTATACCAACAAAGATCACTAATTAAAAGTCTAAAGCAGCTACTCAAAGTTATAGTGATGAGTATGAAAAATACTTATTCGCACAATTTTTGTAAATGGTGTTTTTGTCTACTTCATTGCAGTTGATATTTGATATTAATTATTGTAGTTGTCATCTAGGGCCATATTTACATATACATATACATGTATATGGAAGAATTAAACACTGGATGCAATGTTACTGCTTTTGAAGTCTCATAAATCTCCCTCTTTTTCATCACAGTAGGTTAATATGTATGATTAACAAGAAAACTCTGTTATATAGTACAAGAAAACTCTATTATATAATACAAATACAATCAATAAAGTATGTATGTACATGCTCTGCCATCAAAAATATAATGAGTTCTTCATAGAAATTTCCTGCTTTTGTACACTGTACTTTGACTTCATTTGATATCAATCTTGTCAAATTATTTCTCATGCATGTAGGTCATCATTTACTTCCTGTGAAAAAAAAGCATATTATTAGCACAATTTTGTCAGGAATTGGTTTATTTTGAGTAAATTCTCTGAATAACTTCATTATTTCAGTGATTTACTGAAACCAAACATAAAAATACTGCATTATTTTGTGTGTTGTAGACTAGAGGAAGAAACAGACCAATGGGAGAGTTTATTGAGAGACTCAAACAAAGCTGTGTCAGACATGGAAGCCCAGTAAGTCACATTAATAGGGATGGGTATTGCCAAAATATTTTGTATCATGATATATCACGATTTTTTCCAAAAATATCATGATATTTTTACACATAAATTTACTATGATTTTCAACGAATTTCCTTAAATTTCTTAAAATTTTATAGTGTGAAAACATGTTAAGTTTGCTTTTTTCATTTTTATTAATATATTAATAAAGCATGTTTGGATGCTAGGATGCCATTCTCTTACTGTTTTACAACATTTTTTACAATTCCTGTAATTGTAATTCAAGAGTTTGAACACAAAAAATAATTATTTTCAGAATTTTTGATTACATTCTTATACCAGTATACCGATAAAATCACACATTGCAAGCTCGTGCATTTGTACAGCTAATATTTACCAATATAAGTTCAGTAACTCTATAATACTGTATAAAGTTGGATTGAAATTCTGAAATCTGTAATGAAGTGTTAAGTTTTCCACTATACTGTATAAAAGTTGTGATCGAAATTCTGAAATCTGTAATGAAATTTTTTTGAAGCAGAGGTTGTTTAGACTGAATTGCTACTGTATGTTAATATTAGCATTATACATTAGAGAGTATTAGTTTATCTGAAAATTATATAAATATCTGATTTCAAGTAAATTTTTGGCTACAGTGAATCAAATAGTGTGGAATTTCTACATAGGAAACCAGATAAGTTATCTCCCTTAACATGGAGGGAGGTAGATCAAGCTAAAGCTGCCCAGTATTTACCTGACCCTCTAGACGTCAGCCTCTGTAACAAACTGGAGAGGACAGTAGAGGAGGTCAACAAAACAGTGAGTTTATGTCTACTGTTTGTTTTGTTCCTGTGAATCATCTTTATTATATTGTGAAAAAATAGGATATTGAATATACATGTAAATGAAAACAAAAATAAGAAAATAAGAAAGGCTAAATAATGTATGAATTCTAATCTAAGATTCAAAGTTAAAGACATTTTGCACTTTTTTTGTGTGTGTAATTTAATGTGTTGCCTATGTCCCACCAAAACATATCAATTTTGTACAATTTGAAGGGAAGTTATCTTTTTTTTTCACTAAATGACAGAAAATTAAATTATAAGGAATAACTTTAATAGTTACTCACTTTATACTTGTATTACCTGGGTTGGAACAGTTTATGTTTTTTTATAACGTGTATAAACCGCTTCGCAGCTTAAATTGTGGAAACTGTCCCAACTCATGTTATACAGTATGACTTGGGTAACTAGTAAATTCATTCCTCAAATATATGTACAAAATTTCCCCGTGGCTCTGACATCATAAAGACATAGCCACTTTAGTGTTAAATCCAGACCCTAAAAAGGGCATGGTAATCCAATTATCAAAAGGGCACTTTATGCCGCGACAAGTTTTCATGAGGGCACTTTTTTAACGTCTTTGAAATTATAAATATTTTCTTTATCATGTTTATGTACTTAAATTATTATTTTAATACTGAAATCTTTAGTTATACGAGTATCTAAAAGAAAAATTTATAAATCTGTCAGCTTAATTCATTTAATACACACTGAGAGGGCAATTATTGCCAAAATTTAAATTCAAATTATTTAATCAAGAAATTAGTATGGTTATCAAGGTTATGCTTAAAAAGTAATAGGTGTAAATCTTTTTGTCACTTGCTCAAAAATTATTTTAGTTTGGGGTATGAATTTTTTTCCTTAACTTTAATATTGTTATTTGTATATGAGGTAAATAAGAGAACAAAATTGCAAAAGGGGGATGGGCTACTTGGATAATAAATGTAGAGGGCATTCTCTTTATTTTGAAAATAATCTACCAACAAAATCAAGTGAAAACTGATCATACCAAAAAATTAAACTTGAAATAATATATAAATTGGTTAAAACTTTTTTTTCTGGCTTAGAAACATTGAGCCTCTGGGTGTCAACTCAAAAAGTTAGAACACAATCATTGAACATGTTGAAAGAAACTAACTTCATACTTTGTTGTTTCCTAGCCCATTTCACACATATAATATTCAGTTTTTTTGGTACTGTACATTGTAAGTTGTCTTAATTCATCAGCAGTTTTATTTTTCACATTTCTTCATCAACTCTGTTTTTTCTACTTTCAATTTAAAAAAAAAAAAACGATCCTGATTTAAAATGTGTAACATTTTAATTTACAAATTAATCTATCTGTGACATTGGGCTAATTCTTGCATAATCAATGCAATCAAATGATATTTTCTCGTGTTATCTCTTATATACCCTAACAGCCTGAGGCATGTTACCTGGCCAGGTGGCTGTGTGCGTTCAAGCGAGAAGTGATTTCCTGTCCTGAATTCACACCTTTGCGTGCATTAAATAAACAAAGGGGCTAATCAGCATGCACTGAATAAACAAAGCCACTAGTCCATCTTGCCTCTGCTAGGCATATTTACTTATTTTTGCAAGGAAAAAAGGGCATGGCGCTGGAAAAAAGGGCATGGCGCCGAGAAAAAAGGGCATGGCGCCGCGCCATGCTAGTTTGCTTTAGATTTAACACTACACTTTTTCAAGGTGACATATTTTGGTAAAGCCCATGTCACACCAGGACTGCTTTCCCAGAGTTGGCAAGGCATTGTTAAAATTCTGAGATAACCATGGAATATCAGGAAAATCTAATGAAATTTTCAAAAGATAAAGATGTCACAGCCTCCTAATGGCAACCAAAGCATTTCTATGGAGCTCATCTGGCATGCTACTACATTCCTGCAGAGTTCTAACTGACAATTGACTGCACTCATACTGAGTGCTTATTACAGGCTAGGAGTTGTCACTTAGCATTCACAATGTACACAATGCGCTGACTGCATGCACAAGACTTTCTTTCAATGCAATGACATCTCAAAGGACTCCAAAAGCTCTCTGCACCATTACCACTGTGTCTGTAATGGGATCATGTGTGTCGCTTGAGTGCACCAACAGAGCTTTATGGCACTGTTGGAGAGCTTACAGAGCTTTTAGGGTGACCCTGTGGCATTCTACTGTGTGTACATCAGAACAGAGAGTCATGGTGGGTACTTTATGCATGCTCAAAGTGTGCGCCATTGCATGGTGTTTTAGACAACCCAACAATGTCACCACTGAGTTCTTGTGGTGCTGTAGGAAACTCTACTGTGCTCACCCCTGCATACTGCTTTTTTCAACTTTTTCAACAAGCAGGATGGCAGTGAGAATGCAATCCTAGTGTGACAGGGGTTAAATTTCTCATATTAGGCTTAACTTTGTAAATGTATACATTTTTATCAACTTTTAAAGTCTTACTGTGATAGGGCAATTATTGCCATTACTGCATACTGTAAAATCACATATTTTGGAGGGGTCAAATTTTTGAGGTTTGTGGAAAAATATTGGTTCAATGGGATTTAATTTCATAGTTGAAGAAATGCAGCATTGTTACACTTGAAATTTTACATTTCCTGGAGGACATGAATTTGTGGGTCTTAATACCACGAAAACAACGAAAATTAACCCCCCCATCAAAAAATAGTGATTTCACAGAACATGCATTTATCTTTTTATCTCACCTGAGCCAAAAGCATGTACTATGTTTTGACATGAGAATTATTCAATATATTTACTGGTATATTGATAGTTTGGAGAAGAAAAAAATTCTGCTCATTTTTCCAGGTAGAAAAATTTGGCAAGACAGTTTCAGTTGTTCAGAATATTCAAATCCTGTGTGACAAAATGCTGAAAGAAAAGTCTGAAAAACTCAGTAAGTTTATTTAATATATGCGTGTTATGGAATATCTCCATGACAATCTAATTATTAGGTCGCCCTAGTCACTCAAAAGACCTATTCATAGCTGCCGTTTCCCATGCTGGTTTACACTGAAGTCCAACATTTTTTTACTCCATGCCCTGCTTATGGCTTTTGTTAAAAAATCTACTGCTTTTCAAAAAAATCTGTATATGATATTGATTGGATACTATTTAGAAAGCCACTGAATTATAAAAATCTTGTTGGTTTTTAAGATAGTTAAAATTTCAAAGTATGATTGCAAAGGAAATGTACATGTATTTGATAGATGTTATGAATACTTTAGTACATGTATAACAGTTTTTTTCCTTATATTTTCCAGAGGTAGACTCATTTAAAGACAACCATATGTTTACACCACGGACCTTAATCCAGAGAATCACTGGACTCCAGACTCCAAAGGCGTAAACCTGGAGGGAAAGACGGACAAGTCTGAACCATTTCTGAGATCTGAAGAGGGCAATGCTTAAAACACAGGCTGTGCTGTGAAAAAAAAGGATCAGAACATACTGATAAAGAATAAGTTTCTGACTAGTTTCTCTTTGCAATATAGCAAAACTACAAACTTTAATAATGATGGCAAGTTTATGTGTTGATGTGTGGACATATTTTAATTAAATAAGATTTGAAGTGTCCATGTATATGATTGTTATAAATTTAAACCATTTTAGTTTACAACTTTGTCAGAATGTAAATAAACATTGTATGTATATATGTATTTCACTGTTGTTACTTGTATTTTTGCACATCATTTGTATACACAGACATGCAACTAGAAATAATCTGGGAACTAGAATATTTTATGTGATAGATAGACAACACATTTAACAACACTAAAAAATGGTTAATAAAATCCTGTATTATACTTTCATGTAAATTACTTGAATTTTATTTTTTGAAAAATATTTGTTTAAAAACACTGTTACCCTCTGAATCCTGAAACCAGCCCCTCCAGCAGTAGAACTTAATAACGGTCAACATTGCTTGACGACAGGTGATATTCCAAAAAAAATATTGACTACATGGAATCTATGCGCCCGCGCTTCACCTTTATTTATATTTGTATAAAATATTCAGTATGTATAAATATTGCATGTAGTTGAGGGTAATGCTATATAAATATTGCATGTAGTTGAGTGTCAACATTGAAAATTTTCACCCCCCCAAAAAACAATGTCATCCGAGGCACAGCCAAGGTTGACAATGGTTCTAGAGGAGTGAAAATTTTCAATGTTACACTGAACTACATGCAATATTTATTATATTATACTGAATGTGTTGTACAAATACATACTACAGTGAATCTTTGCACCTCGGTTGACAATGGTTTTCGAAGGGTGAACATTTTCAATGTTACACTCAACTACATGCAATATCTATTATATTATACTGAATGTGTTATACATATTACAGTGAACCTTGGGCGCATAAATTCCGCGCAGTCAATATTCTTTGAAATATCACTCGTCAAGCAATGTTGACTGTTGCTATGCCGGAGGGCGTGGCTTCATTATTCAGCGGGTATTAGCGTTTTTTAACAAATGCTTCTCAACGAATCAGATTCAACTTATTACACTGAATGTTTTATACAAATGCATGTTACAGTGAATCGTAACAGCATATAAATGGTGAATCGTTTCTTTAGGAATCGGATTCAAGTAATTTATGTGAAAGTATAACGTATTGCCTTAATTTACCCTGATTTAGTGGTTAAGCCACTCATTGATTTACATATTACTGAAGTATACCGCTGATGTCTTACCTTGAAAGCAACCTTCGAAGTACAATATTCGTCTTGCCCTTTGGGGTTGGTGAATATTGTATCTCTAGACCTCAAAAAACAGCAATAACTATATAATATTTAACAGCAATAGATGGATATGTGATATTGTGTTTATTGCTAACCTTCAGAGATAATGGCCACGTTTTGATCTTTGACTTCCAAATTTTATATAAACTTTAACCTTCCTTTCAATTTCACTTGATAAAATCAAGTTAACAGTCAGACTTGAGTTGTAGCGTTAACATAGAGAAAATACTATTAAATGTAAGTACTAGTATTTTATCAATATACACCTTTAAATGCAAATTTTTCTTTCAGATTTATATTAAACAAACAATTTCATGTTTAAATTCCAGTACATTGTGTTATAAGCAACAGGATTAAGGAGTAAAGAACCTCTGCTCAAAATTTTGCAAAAATAATAATCTTCCCAACACTGACTTTCATGAAGAACTGTAGCATTATGGAAAATCATATGAAGTAATCCAGTAATTACTTTTAGAGAAATGAATTTCAGGTCTGACCGTGGTATGAAGAAAGTTGACAAAGAGAATAGGCAAGAGCAATAATTTATTATCGCAGCATAATGTCAAAAATATGTGATGTACTGTAATAGAAAATGCCTGAATGAAGATACATCAGCAGGAGTTACTACCCTTCAATTTTTTAACTCTTACTTTACAATATTTTTTATTACACTCATTGAAAAACATTCTTTTGAAATATATTTTTCTACTGGGTATGAATTTAAATTAATAACAGTTTTTGCTAAAACCTTTAATTCATATAAAAAAACATAATAAAGCGCCGCTTTTCAGGTCAGAATATCACATTATTATCTGTGCTTGTAAAAAAAAAATGCATCCATCAGCAATAGTTGTCTTCTTTAAAATATTTGTTTCTAGGGGAAAAAAAGTTCTAAAAATAAGAATTCTACACAGGCAGGTGGTATCAGGCCTGGCCTGCCCCCTTTTTCCAAACAGAATGTTTTATTGTTAATTATTTTAGTATGAAAGGTTACCTTACCCAATTCCACCCCACTTTTTTATAGTATAGTAAAATCCTCCAATGTTAATAATAAAAACAATTGGTCAAAAAAGTTGGAATCTTACCCCTTTCCCGGTCCCCCCAATAGGATTTATGAGTTTGGAGATTTTTTTTTTATTTTTTGTCAATTTGTCAATCACCCCCCCCCCCCCCCCCGCCCCCCGCACCTTTCGTAAACAATATTACGTACCTGCTACATATCGTAAATGATACATTACTGCGGTTTTAAAATTGTTTATAAAAAAGATAGAGCTGTAGCAATTCGTAAGAGATTAAAAAAAAATTGGATGCAAATGTATATTGGCAAAAGAAACTAAATGTCAAAGCTTGCATTTTATTTCAGATTTTACTGAACTGCCAAGTACCCTTAACCTGATAAGACAAACTATTGGACATTTTAGGATTATTTACTTGGGAAGTTATTTCCTTTATCAGAGGGTCGCCCCTCCCCCTTAAATGTACACATGTAGCAAGTGATTAATGTAAAGGAAGTTCTCCTGTCTCCTTCAAGTTTTGAGGTTTAAAATCTTCCAGCGCGGATAACAGCTACCGCCATGTAACCAGTGACAACATAGCCTGTCATGAAGGTTAGGAAACGTGAGGGCTGGGGAATTGACGCCAGGTAACACACGGTATGGAGGCAGCGAGAGAGGGCGAACACCCGGAACAGCAGCGTGGCCCACCAAGGGTCCGGACTGGTCAAAATGTAGAAGAATCCCAGGAACACAAAGGGGAATACGTTCTCTATATCATTCTGGTGACACCTGGAGGAAAAAAGCTAGGAGGTAATTCAGCGCCTCTTTACCGTAGAAATTATTTTAAAGGCAAACCACATACATGTATTACGATGTCAGATATTATACTTAGGAAAAAAGCATGTACACTGTAATATTGTCTTGTAGTTTTGAATTTACCAGGAGGCAGTAAATACAAAATATACAACATAACCCGATTTTTACACCCCCCCCCCCCCCGGTTCCTACGGCCATGCCGTTGACAATTATGAACATCAACACCTTCTTCTCTGGAACCCTGAACCAATTTCAGCCAATTTTGGCATATAGCATCTATAGGTGAAGGGGAACTTAGACTTCGTATTTGGTGGTCCTTGCTCCCCTGGGGCCTGACGGGTGGGACTAAAACTACCAAAAATTAATGCAATCTTTAAAAATCTTCTTCTTTACTCACACCGAGCAGTCAAATTTTGAGCAAGATTGTAATAAGCATTAAGTCCTCTACCAAAAAATTGAAATTCATAGCCCCATGCAGGGTTCTGGTGCTAGGGTGGGCCAATATAGATCATATAGTGAAAGTGCATTATACCTTTGAAAATCTTCTTCTCTGCTCCTGGGAATTATACAAAGTAAGTAAGCACATAGTTATGATGAGCAAGGGTGCCGCTTTTAAAATTGTGAATTTCATGGCCCCGGGTCAGTGGTTTTGGTGTTAGGGCTGGGCTCTATTAATTATATAGTGAAAATGCATTAATTTTTTGAAAATCTTCTTCTCTGCACCTGGGTTTTTAAACAGTCTAACTAAGTACATACATGTTGTTATGATGAGCAAGTATGCCTCTTCCAAAATTGTTAATTTCATGGCCCCTGGTTCAGGGGTTTTGGTGTTAGGGCGGGGCTCTATTGATTATAGAATAGTGAAAATGCATCAATTCTTCTCTGCTCCTGGGTATTATTTAAACAAACTAAGTGCATGGTTATGATAAGCAATGATGTCTCTTCCAAAATTGTGAAATTCTTGACCCCAGGTTCAGGGGTTCTGGTGAAAGGGGGGGGGGTCTATTGATTATATAGTGAAAAGGCATAATATCTTTGAAAATATTCTTCTCTGCTCCTGGATATAAAGCAAAGAAACTAAGTGTATAATTAAGATGAACAAGAGTGCTTCTTCCAGAATTGTGAGTTTCTTGGCCCATGGGTCAGATGTTCTGGTGTAGGGGTGGGGCTCTATTGATAACATAGTGAAAATGCATTAATTCTATTAAAACTAGTCCTGTTTTCTCCTTAGTGTTGAGCAGATACACAAAGTGCATAGCTATGATGAGCAAGGGTGCTTCTTACAAAATTTTTAAAACTTGTGGTCCCAGGGTCAAGAGTTGTTTTTTGTTGGGGGGGGGGGGTCTTTTGATAATGCAGTCAAAATGTATTAATTCTTGAAAATCTTCAACTTAGTGCATAGTTATGATGATGAAGGTACCTCTTCCAAATTTCTGAATTTCATGACCATGGGTTGTGGTGTTAGGGTAGTGTTGTGTTGAATCTGTGGTGAAAATGCATTATTTCTTTGAAAATCTTCTCTGCACCTGGGCATATCGGAGGCAAACAGAGTAAATGTTTTAAGGGTATTTTTACCAGATTTTTGAATATCCCATTTGGTCAAGTGTTCTGGTCCTGGCCAGAGCTCTATTAATTTGCATTCTGAGAGAAGTTATACCCCTTTGCCATTCATTTTTGAGAATTAATTACTGTAAATAATGTATTTGAAAGGTTAATAGAATAAGTGAATTATGCAAGAATTTGTTATTTTATAATTCAGAACAGTACTTTTATAGTTTCAATGATCAAGTAGTTTGCATGATGATAGTGATAAACGGGGGACAGATTAGAACTTAATTTCTGAGTTGTTACTGAATACTAGACTACTAAGTAATACTTGTATTTCGTTGATCCTGATCATCCTACTGCTTTTGTTTTTGGGCAACAAAGCTTCATCTATCAGTTTATTTATACTCTATGGATCCTCTAAATTGTTGTCTTATAACAACCCCCCCCCCCTCCCCCGCGGTAATATCAAAATAGAACTCTATAAAACTCTATATTACACATGTAATACCGCGATCGAGTATGATTTTTTAGGTCACCTCAGTCACTCAGGATCGTTACATTATACTCAGGTGACCATTAAGGTCCTTGGGCCTTTTGTTTAAGAAAACGTTTATTCTACGGTTTGTTTTATATATGTATATACACTAGACAAAATTGTTAACACACCACCTAAATAAATTAAAATTTTTCTTTGCAAAACTTGTTTATGATGTTTTTGATATAATTAAGTTACTTTAATAAAAAATGAGGTATTTAAATGTCTTAACTGATAAATAAAAACAATGTTTACTGAAGCGTAACCATTTCATAGAAAGAATTAAAATCGGGTCTATACTTTTTTTCAATTTTGGTGGAATAAATTTCTATTTTTTCTTTGTGGCAGTGATCTTTATATTTGTACTAATTAAAAACGCAGGAAAAAAGTTCTACAGTATGCGGCATTTGACCCTAGAAGAGCGTGCTAAGGCAGTCAGTATGGTGTATGCAGGGGGTTCCTTTGGAGAAATTTGCGAAAAATTAAAACAATTCAATGATTATTCATTCCTCTAATGAAAAATTGTTGCAAATGAATGAACATTCATAAAAATGTTTACTTTAGATAGCGACGGCATTAAGTAAGCACCACACGATAATTTCAAAATTGTTCTACAAAATTGGGGCAACCGGAAGTTGGGTGGATTTGGAGGGGACGCCAAGGCACTGGATGACTATTACGCGATATGGTAGTCAATAAGGGTATGTTGTCTGATTTTTAAGTGGGAGACTATTTCCCGTCGCAACCTCACGGACCACCATCGGTAATCACCAACTTCATATCTTGGCAAAAACGGTGCGCAGTGCACGTCGGGAAATTGGTTTTCGGGCAAGAAGGTCCTTTAAGGGTCTTATCATGACACGAAGACATTTCTCAATCCAACAGTTTTGAAAAAGATGGCCTATTATTATATACTATAGTACCGATCAGGCAAATGATCAATTCATCAAATAAGAATAACAAGTGGTGCCTTAGCAATTTTGCCTAGTGTATATATACATATATATTTTTTTTTTATTATTTTTCAAATGGAACACATTGTTTTTGTGTGCATGACAGAAGAATAATTTATGAAACAAAACAAATTTTAAAAATCCTAGGGTCCTGAGTGTATATATTTGTATGTATGAGTGGTGGTGGTGGTTGTAGGGGAAGGGGGGGGGGTGTCCTGTCCACAAGCACCTATCAATATTTGCAGCTGTTTTTGTCTGCTAACATATTAATGCTGACTGAGAAATTATACAGTTTAATCATTTAAAAACAAAGCAACATACAAACAAGGCCCATGGGATACAAAGCTCATACGAGTTACATTTATTTTTCTGAAGTATGATCATGTAAGATGCTTTACTGGGTCTCAACTTTAAGCAAGCTAGGACACGTCTTTTTAACAATACATGGAATCCGATGCAATGTGCTTAGGTTGACAGCAATTACCCCAGCGCTTCTGGAAAAAATCGAGAGTGGATTGAACAGAGACAGGTGGACAACGAATAAACTTGATCAGAGACTCACGTGATCATTTGACCAGGTGAGCTTATAAAAGAAAAAGTTTAATGATAATAAAGAAAAAATACTAGTAGGCAGTAAATGAATTTGTTGCAATGTTCTATGTGCTTTTCACCTTCGGACTCTTTCCACTCCCTGGTCGCCGATAGTGGGTGCCTTACCACCACAATACGCCACATCCTCGGGATTCACAAATATCTGAAGAACACAGTAAGAATAAAGGAGTTTCTCTCTCACTCTTTTTTTTCATCGCTTAGTAAGTTTTTTTTTTGAAACGCCAGCACCCCCTCCCCTTCCCAAAAAGAGAGAAAATATAAAACTCTTCCGGGAGAAGTCTCACAATATAGCAAGACCCCCCTCCCTTTATAGCCAGGCTTCCCCCTTCAATTTCGTTTCCGAATGGTTCTTTTTGGGTTTTTCTCACTATATAGCAAGTTTTTTTGTCTGGGGGAAGTCTCATAAATAGCCAGGCTTTTCCCTTCACAGCAAGGCTTTCCCCTGAATAGTTTTAGCTCACCTGAGCCGAAAAGTGAGCTTTTCTGATCTAAATTTCTCTTTGTTCGTCGTCATAAACTTTTTACAATTTCGCCTTCTCTTCCAGAACCACTGGGCCAATTTCAACCAAACTTGACACAGAGTATCCTTCGGTAAAAGGGAATTCAAGTTTGTTCAAATGAAGGGCCACACCCTCTTCCAAGGGGAGAAATTAAGTAAAGTATAAATTGGGTGGGTCATTTAAAAATCCTCTAAAGAACCACTGGGCCAATAAAAATAAAACTTATGTGAAAGCTTCCTGACATAGTATTGATTCAAATTTGTTCAAATGATGACCCCCAGGGGTGGGAAGGGGCTGCAATGGGTGATCAAAGTTTTACAAGAGAATATGTAGGATAAATCTTTAAAAATCTTCTCGTTTATATGGAACAATCCTCAGGTAGTGTACATTCAAATTATTCCCTGTGTAGGGTGGGACCACAGTAGGCAATCATATTTTTACATAGGAATTTTATAGGAAAAATTTTCTTCTCAAGAACAGCAAGCCATGATTAGTTATATTTATCTGGAAGCATTCTCAGGTAGTGTAGATTCAATTTTGTTCAAATCGTGACCCCAAGGGTAGAGTGGGGCCACAATGGGTGATCAAAGTTTAATAGATAGGAAATATCTATAAAAATCTTCTTCCCAAAAACTAGTCATATTAATTCAGAAGCATCCTCCTGTAGTGCAGGTAAAAGTTTGTTCAGATCATTTTCTCTGGGAGTAGGGCGGGGCCACAATAAAAGATCAAACATATAGAAAAAATCTTCTTAAGCCATGCCATGATTAGTCAAAGAAATACGGAGGCACCTCAGGTAGTGTAGATGTGTAGATACAATTATGAACAAATCATGCCCCCCTCCGGGGGGGGGGGGTATTTGCAATCATTTATATATTTATTCTTTTCAATACTGATTTCTGCTTTTTCCTGGCCAGTGTGCTCAGGTGAACGGCCAATGTGCCTCTTGTTCGTATAGCATTGGGGGGGGGGGGTCTCACTATATAGCCAGGCTGCCGGGGGTATGACTCATTATACACAACAGAGAAATCTCAATATTCAACATCGACAAAACAGCTCATTAATTTACAAAATGTTGGGTTTTTTTTCATTTTAACAAATGTTTGCTCGTTTTGTTAAGTTCATCCTCTCATGGTAAAGCAATTACGGTCTATCTATCATCTACCATCTAGCTCACTCTCGAGAATGGGGGAGGATCGTACAAGTAATTAACGTTTTAAAATCGTGCAGAGATGATTTGGAGATAGCAAGATTTTAGGAAAAAAACATATTTCAAAAATGTATTATTTTGCACCAATTGACTTATCTAACCATATTTCATAGCATTATTTAGCAAATCAAAACACAATATCGGGGAAATATTTCCCTTTCCTACACGTAGCGGGAAGCCTCACTATGCTTTATTTGGGGGAAAGATTAGCAATTTAGCCACTCCTCTTCCCAAGTCAGTTTTCCGAGGGAAGTCTCACTATGGGGGAGCCGTATTTGATTTGACTGCATCTATAAAATAGGTGTCAGGTCTTATCGATAAAAAAATGTATGCACATGTATACACAAACTGTGTCTTTATCTGTAAGTAAAGCACAAGTACATAGTACATGTATATGGAGTTTATGTTATAAAATTACAACTTCGAATTCTTTACATGCAGTTTACAAAATTGAGTAACAACTTATCTGTGTTATCTATAGCACCTCTTCAGATTTCTCAGACGTTATATTAATAAGCACTTTACGACTGTATTATAGTTGCTTACCTTGCGAGTCAGTCTTTGCCGAGCTGTCAGTACACTCATTAATAAAGTTTTTCCAATGACGAGCCCGGAGTAGAAAGCAAAGTTCCCGAATAAAGGATTATCAAAACTGAGAAAGGTTTCGAACGCCATATTATGTAACACGAATTCTCTTCAAAATCTGCGCTTTTACTGGCAACGTTACTTCTATTATGTGGTGTAATATATAGGACATCGATCACCCAGATAATGAAGTCATAACATTGCAGATAGTTTTTTGTCAAACTTTGACGACTCTAAAGTTGCAACCGAGGCAGAAACAAGAGGCCCATAGGGTTACGGTGCTAATCTGCGTCACAGATACATGTATATCGCTAATTGATAGCCATTAGCTACAAGTTCATGGTTTACGTAAACGATTATTCAGGCTTGTGGTCAAGAGCTGTTTGTTCTTGCAGTTTAGATATTTCTGTGTGTCACCTTTTTTTTAAGTCAAGTTGTGGCCCCGGCCTTCCTAGCCCTATAGATCGAGGCATGGTTTAAGGTTCATTGACCCTCTGATAAGAGGGATAACTCTCAATTGGATGAATGATTATTATCCCTTTATAAAACTGTCCAGTTAACAGGCCTTCTCTGTCCAACTTTGCCCCGCAAGATACGCTGAAATTATGTGCATTTTAATTATAAATTTATGAGCATTTTAATTATAAAGAAAGAAGGCGTGTAAGGCCGCGCTCTGAGATAATATTTTTCTCAATTTTGAAAGTTCATGGAAAACCTTTATCATTCTAATATTGTGTTTTTAGTAATGGCATCTTCAACATATTTGATTTATTTATGTTATCGAACGATTTATTGGTTGATAATTTGTTTTTAAAGTTGACAGTTAAGCATATTTAGTGGAAAATGGGTTTATTGGAGCCATAAAAAAAATGATTTTTGGATATGAATGGGTCAAGTCTCTATTCTACATTTACGTTTAAATGACGGAGAGATAAATGTAAATTCTATTTTATGCAAAAAAAAAAAAAAAAAAAAAAAAAAAAAAAAAAAAAAATGGATCCTTGACCCATTCTATACGAAAATCGAACTTTTCTTTAAAAAAACATTTACGCTTCGACAAACTCGTTTAAATTATTTTTGGCGTAATGGTTAACGCGTTCAGTCTTAAGCTTTGGAGAGAGTTGAAGTTTTTTTCTTTTCACAAACCTTAAAGCATATGTGAAAAATATATTATTTACCAATTAGGTATTCAATAAAATAAAGGAAGCAAATGTCTAAAAGATGATATTAACAATACAATTTCTGAAAAATGCAACTTTTAAAATTTAGAGATATCTTTTTTAAGAGGATTGTCCTCGCATTGTACTCCTCCATTCTTTCTTTTGGACAATCATAAGCTTTAAGGAAAGATTTTACATGAGTGAGCAGAGAAATGATGGACCTTAATCAGCACTGTAGGTTTACTATATGCTATGGTCATATCTGTATTTTAAGATGAATAATTGTAGCTAGCTTTGCTGGCAAAGACATTTATTAAAAAGATATACACAATATATATATGTATTCTTCTATAAAAACTTTACTCTCTCTGTGACCCAACCCTAACCTCGGGATCTTTTATTTGACCAAATCTTTGGGTTTCTTGCATACCAATGTTACTAATTGTCCTCCTGTTGTAGCAAAAGATTTTCAAACTCAAATGTAAAACTTTGATTCCCTATCTTGGCCTCTTGCACCCTAGACCTAGAGATCACGATTTGAACAACTTGAATCTACATTACATGGGGATGGTTTTCTTCTGATTTAATTTATCACACTCGTGCCGTTCTTAAAAAGACTTTTTATGTATTCCAATGTAAACTTTTACTCCCTTTTGTGTCCCTCTCTGTAACCGTCCATGATTTATAGACACTGGAATCTACACTAGTTGGAATGCTTGAATACTAGTGATCGATATTCCCATGCAGAACTTGTACTCCCTGCTGAGGCTTCATTCTAACTAAGGGCCGGTACACACGGTAAGGCTTGCCTTATAAGTCATGAAACTTAAGTTCTAGCCTTACCGTGTGTACACCCTTAATACACGTTTTTTCGAGCCTTATAAGTCTGACTTAGGAATAGAACACTGCTCTATTTCTTAATACAGAATAGAATAGAATAGAATAGAATTTATTTGCCAATCATGGTCCCACTGGGGGCATAACATAGATACAAGCATAATTTGTAACACTCAAGAGGACAAGAAAATACATGAACATACAGCAATACAGAACATAAAAATACAAGACTTAGCTGACATTTATTTCTTAACCAATGAAAACCTATCACCCAAAGTTCAATCTATTCTTATAAAACCATACACGTTGGTATATTGAAAGGAACACAAAGTATATTCAAATAAGATAATGAAAATATCCGCAAATGTTTCTGTTAACCTCCTCCTCTTTGTTAAGAAGTGTGAATGCAATGGTCGGTAAAATTATTTCAAAGTCCTATAGCTAGTAATCTATTATTCTGTTAAATATTGTGCAATGTTTATGGTTCAAAACACATGGAATTTATGTAAATGGTGTTTATAATGTTGTAAGTCTTGCCTTAGCGTGTGGACGGGAGAGCCGTACGTCCTGCAAAACGTAAGGTTTTAGATTTATAAGGCAAGCCTTACCGTGTGTACTGGCCCTTAGGGAGCGCTAATTTGAACAAATTTGAATCCAAAGAACAAAGAGGATGTTTAATTGCATATTCATATGCACCGATGATCTCCTATTGAGTCCCTCCCCAACCCACAGGGGCCATGATTTGTACAAACTCGAATTTACACTATGTCAGAAAGCTTTCACGTAAGTTTCATCTTTCTGGCTTTATAGTTTTTGAGAAAATTTCATATGTAATACCTTTTCTTCTTTATCTTCCCTTTCAAGCTGGAGGGTGTGACCCTTCATTTGAAGAAAATGAATTCCCTTGTACTTTGTGCCAAGTTTGAATGAAGTTGGTCAAATGGTTCTGGAGAATAAGTCAGAAGTGTGAAAAGTTCATAGACAGAAAGACGGACGAAAAAAAATACGGACGAATAACGGGAAAATATATAAAACAAAAAAACAAAAAAAAAAAACCACCAAAACGTCAGGCATTGTTATAATGTTGTGTTTTGCACCAATTTGTTAAATATACGTCAGAATTAAGGTCCTTACCGTTTCCTATTGATCAATTGTTTGACAAGATATTTGACAAACAACGAGTACTCGACTTCATTTGAAACTAAATCCTTTTATAGATTGATAGTGTATCAGTGTGTTTTAACTCTATATAATATATATCATATAATATTTGAATAAATATTCTTAATATAAATTAAATCAGATTTTATAATTCCATACAAATCTCAGATTCACCCCCTTATTTAATAAGTATTGTAGTTGAGCGATAGAGTTCAAAGGTGAGGTTCTGTAATTTTATTGGTGGAAAGTTTTAATGTTTCTGAGTTGATCTCAGATAGAATACTCAGAGAATTTTCAGTATAGTTGTGGTTTGAAATTAGAGAGATTACATTGACAAATACTTTTGATTTAGACTTAAATTATGTTTGTTTGTTTATTGTTTAACGTCCCTCTCGAGAATTTTTCACTCATATGGAGACGCCACCACTTGCCGGTGGAGAGCTGCAAATTTTTTCCTATACTCAGCACTTACGGCCATTGAGCAGTGAGGGATCTTTTTCGTGCCAGCACCTACTGCGACACGGGACCTCGGTTTATACGATCTCATCCGTATGACCGGTCTCCACGTCCCACAGTGGGGTTCGAATCCTCGACGTAAGGACCAACTCCTTACTCCGCGACTCTAGAGCAGACGCTCTTACCACTGCGCCACGCGGGCGACAGACTTAAATTGTAAGTGAGTTATAATACCACGCCAAGTTTTTTACCATAGTTTTTTATTTTACCCTAGAGAGATTTTTTGTTACAAGTGAGTCAGTATTTATTTTGGTCTTTCGTGGAATGGGCCTTGTCCCATAGATAGTTAATCAAATATGTTACCTTCTGTATATTTTAAAGTTATAATTACATATTATTACATTTATTGTTATGTAGATATAACATATCTGTGTAAAGCATAATTGTACGGTGATTATTGTATATAGCTAAAAATTATTTTAAGGGAGATAACTCTTTAACTGTTCTACCTATTGATTTTACAATTTTACAAAATAATTGTAAATCTAAAAAAAATCTACCCCTAATCATATTTTATATGGCGAACCGGGTAGATATCCAGTATCCAGAGTTATTGGGTTTTGGCATAGACTTATTTGTGGTAAACAAGACAAAATATCTTTTCTCTTATATAAATTGTTATTAAAGCTTAGAGAACATGACTTAATGCAGTCTAAGTGGATTTACTATGTTGAAAAACACTAAATGACTGTGGGTGGAATGTCCGAGTTATGGTTACAACAGTATCCTCTAAAGAAAACGTTGGTGTCAAAATTGGTAAAAACTAGATTAATTGATCAATTTAAGCAGAATTGGTATGCCAGTATTTTTGATATGCCAAAAAACCCTTAATTATAGGTTATTTAAATTGGAACATTGTTTTGAAAAATATTTGATTTATCTTCCAAAGGATTTGAGAAAAGCTTTATGTAAATTTAGATGTATGAATCACAGATTTCCAATTGAGAAAGGTCGCTTTTGGGGTGTTGACAGAGATGCTCGATTTTGTGATCTTTGTTCCTCTAACAATTTAGGAGACGAATTCCACTATCTTTTAGAATGTGCTTTTTTCAAAAGAGAACGAAAAAAAAGTGCTCCAAATATTTTTTTATGCTAACTCTAATGTTATTAAATTTCATGACCTGTTAAATTGTAAGGACGCTAAAGTCATTTTTGGACTTGCCAAATTACTGACAATTTTATTGTCAGTAATAAATTTATAACAAAACAACTGTTTAAAATATGTTGTAATACATATAGATTTATTTAATATTAGCAGAGGCCTTCCTATACTTTGATGTTTTGAACTATACATGTATATAGTAATTAACATTAGTGCCACTCATTTCATGCTTGTATGTTATTTTGTTGTATCATTAATTTGTATTCATATACCCCAGATGGGGTCTTTGTCTTATATAAAAACTTGAAACAGGATAACTAAAATATATTGTATACATTTGTTATTAGACAGGCCCGTAGAACGCAGGGGGGGGGGCAGAGGGGGCCTGGCCCCCCACTTTTTTTCTGAGTATAGTATTTTGCTATAGTAGATTGTCCTTTAGATGCAGCCCCCCCCCCCCCCACACACACACACACACTTTTTGATGTAAGGTCGAGCACTGGCAAATTGCAGGATTTGCACAGTAAAATACCTTCTTCCTTTTTTCTTTTTTTTTTTTTGCTTGTCAGATTTTTTTGGAAGTCCCCCTCCCCACTTTTGAAACCGTTGCTATGGGCCTGTTAGATCGTGCTTGTTAATTTTTTTATTTCTTGATTACTATATATTAACATCAATATTAATTATATGAACACTTAGCCAGGAGCTGGGTTATTATTTACATGTGATATAAACCACCCCTGCAACATTATGGTTATGTTCCGCCAGTGACTGAGTTTTGTGTATTCGCGCGCAGGCTATAAATCTTGAGTTAACTCATGATTTCTCAAGAATTCTGTTTACAAATCGTCTTCGTCGCCCGCATGGCGCAGTGGTTAGAGCATCTGCTCTAGAGTCGCGAAGTAAGGAGTTGATCCTTACGTCGAGGGTTCGAATCCCACTGTGGGACGTGGAGACCGGTCCTTCGGATGAGACCGTATAAACCGAGGTCCCGTGTCGCAATAGGTGCTGGCACGAAAAAGATCCCTCGCTGCTCAATGGCCGTAAGTGCTGAGTATAGGACAAAATTTGCAGCTCTCCACCGGCAAGTGGTGGCGTCTCCACATGAGTGAAAAATTCTCGAGAGGGACGTTAAACAACAAACAAACAAAACAAATCGTCTTCAATGATAACCAGCACGCTTCAATTGCAAATATATATTTCACCATAAATGTTCAAACATATACAACTGATATAATTATGAATATTCATTCATTACATTTTTTTAAAAAAAAGGAGATTCTCGTCAGCCTCTCTTCAAGTTTCACCGGGTTCGATGTCTAAGGTCTGCCGGCGCGAATGACAGCTACAGCCATGAAAGCGGTGATGCCCCAACCTGTCAAACAGGACATAAAACGTGAGGGCTGGGGAATTGGCACCATGTAACACACGGTATGAAGGCAGCGAGAGAGGGCGAACACCCGGAACAGCAGCGTGGCCCACCACGGGTCTGGGTCAGTCACAATATAGAAGGACCCCACCAACACAAACGGCAGGACGTTCTCAATATCATTCTGGTGACACCTGGGGAAAACAAGCTGATTAATTAACATCTTAAATTGCGTACCCAGTTTTAACGACGTCAGCAAACCCGCGACCTACGTTAAATTATACCAAAAACTTGTATAAATTTATGAATTTACATGAGAAATTTTTATTACACATTCATTTATCAACTACCATATGTGTTTATATTTAATTAATTAAGCAATTTTAATGCTTATGAATTGCATTGATTTATATCCTTATGCTTTATAGATTTTACAATTGGCAACATGCAGATCATCTTTTAAAATTCAAGCAGTGAATGACTTTAACGCTTGAATCGTTGCTAGAGCTATAATTGTTTCTTCTTTTGTTGGTACATATCTTAAAAATTGGACATAACAAAAGTTCGTTTAGTTACAAAATGTGCAGATTTGTTTGTATGGTATTAACCTTCGAACTCTTTCTACTCTTTGGTCGCTGACTGTTGGCTCCTTACCCCCTAAACCCTCCACGTCCTCAGGGTTTGCAAATATCTGTGTAAAAAGGCAAGAGTTTAAACATGTAAGTAAATATATATGTATAATGTATAATGAGTAACTCTTCGCCTAATTACAGACTCTAGCTGTCCTACATGAAAAAGTTTAACCATTCATTGAAGATCGCGCTATCTTCAAGCCGTGTAACAACCCTAACAGATATTTTAAGATTAACTACGTGTTTTTATATAATGAAAGTAGGTCACAGATTATGCGCTGCACAAACATGATATTTTTTTTTCTCGAGTTGATGTAAATACCACAATCATTGCAAAGCATAGACTCAACACGGCAAAATAAGTATGTGTGTTTTCTTGCCCTGTAATTTTAGAACTGGCCCCTCGACATTCAAATTCTAGAGGAATATTGCGCATATATTCGTAATTGACGACAGTTCAGTGACCTACCTTATATGTAAGTCGTTGTCGAACAGTCAGTGCACTCATTAACAAAGTTTTTCCGATGACAACACCTGAATAAAAGGCAAACTTCCCAAACAAAGGATTATCATAGCTCAGCATAGAATGCATCGCCATTATTCCCTCTTCAGCTCCACGCGTTATGTAAATCGTACAGACGATGTATTATTACAAACTTGAATATCCCGTGGATTCGCTCTGCTAGATATAAAATGTTCCGGTTCATTGTCTTTTCTGAATAAAGTCTTTCCAATGAAATCACAGAGTCCTCCCGATACCCCAAAAATCGCAGTTCGGACCAAAGAATTAAAGTTAATCCATTACCCCAAAGATTAGTATTAGTTGTCCTCGAATTTAACATTAAACTTGTAAATATCATATATTGATTTAATTCTAAATTAGCTTTTAGTCCCCCTCTCCCAAAAGAGTAAAGGACACACAAAAGCCCCCCCCCCCCAAAAAAAAAAAAAAAATTCCCTAGAAACTATCTTGTTATGCTTTGTTTCTGCGTTGTGATCATTATTCTTTTTCCTGCCTTGAAGTTTGGCAGTGACCGTAAAGTTGTTCTTGTGTAGGAATTGCTTGACATTCCTATATAATTCACAGTCTTGACACTTTTTGCTCTTGTTTGGATTCTAATTTATATTCAAATCTAAATCAATAATTATGTACGAATAACAAATGTCAGCGAGTGTGGTTTACAATCTTTTTGTTAAGGTTTTCTCCAGTTTTCATGTATTATAAATTATAATACACTTACCTTAATGCATCGACATAAATCAAACAAACAGGAATAACAACTTAAAAAGCGCCATCTACAAACTTTGAGAAAAAGGAGGGAGGGATATTCTTTTTCAGATTTGCACCATGCCAGTATGGGATTATATTCAATAAAAGTGCAATCAGTGATAATCAGTGATATTCCCGTGATCGAGAGTAGTGAGAAGCAATCGATGTTAGCAGTTTTGAGGGATGGATCCTACATTTTACAGGTTTTAGATAAAAAATATATGCAATTAATTAGCTGTCCAGAGAACAATTACAGGCCTGTCCACTAATTCTTTTTTGAGGGGGTGGAGTGGGGGGGGGGATATCCTTATCATTTGCCCCATGGATCAAAGTTTTAAATGAATTGATAAATAAGTAAAATTTAACAAATAAATAAAAAAAAAAAGAAATTAAAACAAATGTTTGAAACTGCGACGCTTAAATTTTTTTCTGATGTTAGAAAGCAAAATTATAGGTTTTACGGATATAGGTCTGTGGAGAGCAAACTAGTATCGGGAGACAGTATATTAATGTATCATAAAAACGTTGATTTCCTAATATTTAAATCCACTGAATATTATCTCCTTTATTTCTTAAAACCATTGCTGTTAATCAGTCAGTTAACAACACTAAGCATATCACCCGTAATGTGGCTGTTCCATCAATGAAACTTACAATGGCGTACATGTCAATAATACTCTATTTCATGTATTAATCCTACTTTTAAATGATTGTTTGTACAGATATAAATATAAACAATGAATTGTCTTTCTTTTTTAGTACGGGAATTAACATTGCAGCTATTGCAGAAAAAAAATTACATAACCCGCTTAAGCAACAGCTGCAACATTAATTCCCGTACCAACAACCAAAGAAAGCATTTTATTGTTTAAACAATCATGTTATCTGAGTTGTTTAATGTTCTAAATGAGTTAAAATAATTAGTTTAATGCTAAAGAAATATACAAGTAATTCAGAGGCGAGACTGATAGCTTGAAAATAAAAAAAAAAGAAAGAAAGAAAAATTTGCAAGACCGTGTCGGAATCTTAGCCATTCCGGAAAGAACAAGTAAGATTGACAGAAGCATCTGTCTGTTAACTTTGTTGTAACTACCACAGATTAAAATTCATACAATATACAAAGGAAAACAGGACAATGAAAGCATTAATATCGAAAATCATCATTTTTCACGAAAAAATAATTCTAGGTAAAATTGGTTAAATAATAAAATTAATAAATAAATAAATTTAACATGCGAAATAGAATAAGAATGACAAACGGTAAAACAACGAAACGAATGCCATTAATCACATCTGAAGGAATTCTCCAAAAATTTCAAAAAATTTAATGCAAAATTTGCATTATACATGTATTTCTGTTTTATATAGAAATATTAGTCACTACCGAAGTAGTTGTTCTTGCTGATAATGTTTATAATTTTATGTACATGGAACACATGCAATTTATTAACAATCAAACTTTCCGGAAAGTTTCTTTGGGGTCTTGACTGCAGTACCGTAAAACTTTGTATTGATTCTAGGTTTGAAGAGAAATATTTTACTGAGATGGAGGGAAAGGATGTAGGTTGAAATATAAGTTGATAGATAATTAACAAATAATCATAAGGGAAAATCAAAAGTAACTTGAAGGTTTCTCGTGTCCTGAAGGTCAAAGGTCATCGTCACATGCTCATACCATAACCATCAGTTTAATTTCTCTAAATTAACAATGACCTTGACCCAGAGATTTCAAGAGTTTCATTGCAGATGCTCCCATATTTCTGAGACTCTCCGTTTAGAAGTTTGAGCTATGCCAAAGAAATCCGAAGAACTTGGATCCATCCCCTCAAAGTTGTAAATCGCACCTCTAAGTAGGGGAATATTGGTGAAATTGCACTTTAATCGAGTTCGTCCCTATCTAACTGGGAAGTGTTTCTTTGCAAGCATTTTGGAACTGAGTGAAATGCCAAACTCCTTTTTACCGAAATAAAAAGAAAGGGATTCCTAAGAAAATATAAAAAACCAGGGACCTATATACTAATTCCATTATCATGATTATTCAGAATTATTAATGAGTATTGACTACTTAATTATCTTTTTACTTTGACGTATCTGCCATCCTACATATTCTTATTTCTTTGTTTATATACTAAAGTCAGAAATGATATTAGCATAAAATATAGAGACATTTGAAATTAGGGGAAATTATGATAAAAATGAATGTTATCCACATAGGCAACTTTAGGCAGTTGAGATGTTACATAACCATCCTCTAAAGCTATGTAAAAGTGTGGAACAGGAAAAAGAAAGTAAAATCAGAAGAATTAGTATTCATGGATCGCTGAACAGAGGAACGCCTACTAGAGGGATTCAAAACTATCGGTATACATGGTATATAGGCTATTTTATGACCTCCTCAATTAATTACATCGGGTTCGATAATCGCTTTGAGCATGCGCACTGTAATTTTGTAAGGAGCCGGAAAATCGGGACCTGTAGGCTGTAAATAGTGTAATTATACTTTATTTATCAACAGTTATCTTTTGTAAGTGCCATTATGATTGGCTCCATATATTTAAGGCAAATAGACTGATAAGTTATTTGTCATTTTGCAATCGTAATAGTACCTGCATAGACAACAAACCAACAATATCTCTAGTCACAGACTTGTTGCAAAATATTTGAACAATATAATCAGTGTGCCTATAGATAAATATGCTGAGTTGTATGACAAGTTTCTATTTTGTCTGTGAATTGTAGCCCGTATACGTATATATGTGTGGCACACATTTCTTAAATTATTTTCATTATTAGTTTTAAGTATGACGATCCAATTTTTACATTTCAGACATTTAGTTAACATGAATTAAGTACAAATTGTACTTAATTAATGTACTACAAGTGAAAAAAGGGTTTACTTTATGCATGTTTATAATATGTCAGTCGATGTCAAAGATGTGGTTGAGGCAAGTGCAGCAGTGTGTCTTCAAAAATAAAATGAAATAAAAAAACCTAAAGTGATTCGACTGCACTTCTGAACTGACATTTGTTAAAGTTTTGAAATCAATTCCATAGAAAAAGAATTGCATGGAATTCTTTTGAAATGCTATTTCTACATATTATAAAACATGATACACACTACACAGGTAAACTAAACCAAGGCTCATATTATTTATTGGTGTTGCTATAGCAACAAAAAAGGTATAAAATGAAAATTTGTCAAAATGCTTTCCTTTGTAAAGTTTTGATTTGATTTCAACTCAACTTGGTACAAGTTTAGAGAATGCCAGGGTACATAATTCTGTAAATGTAAAACTTAAAAATTCTTCTAAGTATAGGCGTACCTTTTCTCTTTTCATTATTACTACAAACTAGAAGAGCTCTGGTCTTATCAGAGATTTCTGGTTTTGTGTTTGTAAATGTCACATTTACCAATTCTATTTAAGAAAAAGCTTGTAAAGTTTTTTTATGAGGAAAACTCAAATGAATAACAGGTCTTTTTCAGTCTAAAATGAGACATGCATACTTAATACAAAATATTAACGATGCTTTATTAATAGTAGGGACACATTTACTGTAGTACTAGTAATTGTCAATGTGGCCACTTTAAACTCTCATTGTTCTCAAAGGCTGCATACTTCTGCATCTATGAGAATAGAGTGTGAAGAAATTGTGATTTATACATATAAGAAATATGTTTTCTGTCAGAAAATGATGTAACATTTGTTTCCTTTTCTGTGCAGTTAAACAGTTGTAATACAGATGTATAAATAGGAATCTGATTTTTGTAGACTAAACACTAGCTTTAGAATCAGAGTTCTATTAAAAATCAAAGTTCTTTAGGTACTGGTGGATCTTTCTGCCTTTTTCTCCATGGCCAATATCAGTCTTTTACCTAGTGTAGTGCAGAATTTTTCATTTTATTAAAATTGTTTTATTCTTTCACTACACGTTTCCATGTTTCATATGCAGTAACTGTTAAAGATGAATTTGATGTTTAACAGGTTATGCAGATAAAGAAGACCTATTTATGATTCCCATGACAACTCCTTTAACTGCTTGCTGAAGGTATAAACTGCACCAGAGTAAATCAGCCAACACATTTCTATGTCCGACCCCTAGAAGTATTTGGACATCATTTTCTCTGGTTCAGTCCGTTGCATGCTTGGTCCTGACATTGAAGCAAAGAATTCCATTGTGGAACGCTATCATGTCATGGCCTTGGATTCAGTCAGCCTATACATTGGAATGCTTGAATGGATATTGTGGTCAAAATTAGATATTCATTAAGCATCCCATCAGAAGAATCTTTTGTAGTCTACACGACAATTTGTGTATGAAGTATCTCATCAATGACCAAAGTTTAAAATCAAGTAAGATTTTACAACATGTTTTTCCTGGAAAGAACAGAGAATCATGTCGTGAAGGATTACAATTGATTTTTTTCACATTTGTTTTCTTGTTCTTCTTGAAAAGCATATTGTTATTTGGTCATTAAAGAGATATTTCTCAACTGGTTAGTAAAAGCTGAAAGAGTTAATGTGCCTGTCACATGGTTTTACACGTGTTAGCACATTTTTATCTTGTGTGAATAGTGCAGAATAACATGAACTGGACACATGTTCCCTTCAAAATAACTGTCACTGACTGCCATGCAGGTAAGTTGGTGGAGACACTTCCTGTGACTCCATCTTATCTTCAGGGAAAGTCTCAAAGCTTGAAAAAAAAAGATTTACTTTATTGGTTGTTGAGGGCATTACTCAAGAATCCATGCAACAACTAATAAGTAAAACAGGACCAACCACTGTGTTGGGAATCAATTTCAGATCTAATTCTAAAATATATTTATACCTATTAAAATTTTGATACTTTGGATAGCAGTGAGAATTTCCTGGATTTGAACAAGCGCCTGCAGACTATTCAAAATGAAAACTGAGGGTTCAAGGTAAGATGAAGGATTACATATGGTTAATCATGTTGAGGTTTATGGGATTTGTGAAAATCTGTATAATGTCTCATTTTTATCTTTAATATTTTTGAATGACATAATAATATGGTTATGAATGTAATTGGAGAGTGAAAAAGTGCATGTAATCTTTTTATCATAACTTTCTGAATGATTACATTTAGAAAAAGCGAAAATGTGGAACTCTGGGATGTCAAACTGGGGAGCTGGCTCCACCGAGGGCAATACTCTGGGGAAAAAGCGGAGCTACGCAGAGACTGGATTCTCCACAGATAACAATGGTGGTGGTTTTGGACCTCCTTCGAGTTCATACATGAAGAGTGATTATGGGTCTGTGGGTCCTGCATTTGAGTACTATGTGTCACTTGATTGAAAGTTTTTGTACAGAAGATGTATCAAGAAGTTAACAGTAAAAACTTGTTCTCGAATAATATTGATTAAAATTGGAAAAAGTGGGGGGAAAAAAGATTAGTAATTGCAACCATATATTGCTGTTTTATCTAATGAATTAAAATTATGTTCATTAGTCAAGATGATTATGGTTATGGAGGTCAGTGGCCTGATTATGATGCTAGTTACGGATCCTCGCATGAAACACATCATCATCAATCCCCTCCTGAGGACATGATGAGTTCTATGGGACTGCCCACGTCTTTCACAGCCACAATAGATCAGCCCTCGGAAAACTTCGCAGAAGACATCCCTCTAGAAGGCAAAGGAAGAAAAAATCATGGGGGCAAGTTTTAAATTATATTGCATGTCCAGAGAAAGGTTATATTGAGAAATGTGTCAGACATAGGAACAGGATATTTATAAGAAATGATTTAATGATTTGGATAAATTTTCACATTCGATTTCAAAATACATGTATACTATCACTATTATTTTCTACAGGTGTGTATCAGACTCCAGTTCATCAGAACCAAGGACAGTATGGCAGGGGTGGAAGAGGGGGAGGCCAAGGAGGGAGAGGAGGCCGGGGTCAGAACAAACGAGGTCAAGGTGGGATACCTTGAATTTATTTATAAAGTCAACTTGATTAGTTTTCAAATTATAAATGTTTGAAGTATTGGAAGAATTTCACCAGACAAAAAAAAGTTATGAAAAAAAATAAAGACAACTTTTCCCATTAGGTAGAGGAGGAGGTGGTCATCAAAGGGGAGGAAGAGGAGGGGGAGGGGGTCAGAGAGGAGGAGGAGGTGGTGGATACCAGAATAAAGGAAGAGGAGGTGGGAGGGGCGGGGGAAATAACTACGATCAGCCACAGTGGGGAGCGGGCTTCCATGAAGGAGGGGGAGGAAGAGGAAGGGGAGGTAACAACTTCAGAGGTAAGGAGTTATCTTTCTTTTCAAATTGAAACATTAGTATATTTTTCGGGTAGCTTATTGTCTTCACTAGATCCACTTAATTCTGAAATTTATTATGTTTTCAGAATAATTAGTATTTTGTTTTTGTTAATTAATGTTAAAAAAAAAAATTGGAATGCTTCTTGTAGGTAATGTTCAGAAAAAGCCAGGTCTACCTCCCAATAAAGTGTTCAGTGGTAACAATAAGAGGGGACGTGGACGAGGCACTAGAGGGGGATCTGGGGGACAGTTTGGGGGCACAATGGCTCCTGTTCACAGCCTGTCAAAGGTATAGTTCTACTGCAGTAGAATACGTAGGATATATGAATGAGAGCTGTAGATCTGAAAACATTTCACATAACTCATCAAACTAAGAATGTCTATGCTGTATTAGTACATGTGTTACTTAGAATTGTATGATTTTATGTTAACATTGATATTCTGTTTCCTTGTGATTCTTATTCTAGGTTGCAACCCAGCAGTTTGATACAGCAAACATGTCCACGGCTGAGAAGATTCATAGATTTGCCTTGTACGTCCAGGGAGAGCCGATGAAAGTGAATGCTATACAGACAATAGAAAATGCCATAACAGGAAGCAAACTCAATCTGAAAACACAGTATGAGGTTAGTAGTTATCAGGATTCAGGACATTTAAAAGTGTCTTATTTAAAGAATTCCAGTGTTTGAATATGAGATTATCTGAAAAGAACTGCTTTACAAGCTGTTCTTTGTACTCTGATTTTTGTTTCCCAAAAGAGGTTATACAGTATTTTTTTGGTTAGAATGCAATCATTCTAATTGCTTTACCATGTTCATACCCTCTGTTTAATTGCAGAAGAAGGGGTTATTTTTCCATTCTATATCCTCTTTTTAATTTTTGGGAGGTGTTATTTTTCCACGTTTTTAGTTTCTGTTTAATTTCAGGGGAGGAGTTCTTTTTCCTAGTTTATAGCCTCTGTTTAATTTCAGGTGGAGGAGTTGATGAGAATCTCCGGGAAGTGGATGTTCACTGGCAGGCTTATCCTGGGGGGTATATTTCTAGCTCGCAGTGTTGGAGCTAACAAAAAAGAAGTGAAACACGAGACCTACCAGAAAGCCTTGGATGTACTAAAAACCAAAACTGTAGCAGAAATATTTAATCTTACAGATCCAGGAGCTGAAGCTATAAGGCAAGTTGTTAGAAAAAGAATGCCTATATTTTCCCCTATATGAAAATACAAGAAATAAATATATAAACTGGTAAATTGTATTTTGATTTTAGGAAAGAATTAGCCTCCACATTAGACACAGAAAAAGATGTCTCTAAACAAGCTGACACAATTCTTCAGAAACAAACAGAACAAGCAATGACCATTCGCACCAATCAGGATGGATTTATTTGTTTGATTGAGTACATAAAGTCGGCAGTTAATCTGCCAGAGAATAAGATCTCGTGTATGGAGCAGGCAATGAGTGCTTCTCACTGCGCACTCAGTCACAAGTATGATTTCAAGGCCTCTAGACTCCCCACTGGAAGGTAAACACAAGGGAAAATATTGTAGTTCTTTAAACATATTTATGAAACTCTTCAGTAATATTGTGAAAATTGTACTTTTTACAAAAAAAGAAACAAGAAATATAGACCAAAAAATATTTTGAAATGTTCTGTTAAAATGTGTTTGTCTTTCAGATTTTTCTTTCATGGGATATTGACTGTGGGTGACATTGTAATTGCTGTTGGTAAGGGCCACAGGAAGAAAGATGCCAAAGTCCATACGTATGAGGAGGCTTTCAAAAACCTGATGACAAAGCCACTGCAGGAGGTACTGAAGGGAATAGATGTGGAAGAAGAGGCGAAGACTGAAGAGGAAGCAAGTGGAACTGGGGTGACCATGATAGTAGACGGAAAGAAAATGTCTGTCACCGAAAAAATGGACAAAATGATCCAGCGCTTAAAGGATGCAGTATACAAGGAAAACAACATCAACACGGTTGATGCCTGTGCTACAAATCTTGGTCTGACCAAGACCTGTATTTATCGGAGATTACAGGGGGATGATGAGGGAGATCCCTCAAGGGTGGCCTGTGACCTTTATCTGGAGAAATTTCTGATCGCATCAGGAGAGGGAGAGAAGAGAAAGGAGGCCCAGATAGATGCATATAACAATGCCTGGGAGGTGTTAATCACTACCACAGGTGAACACATCATCAAGGACCATAAACGACTGACCAATGATAATGATGATCCCTCTATCATTGATGTCCATGTTAAAGGTAGAACACATATTACTGTATATAAATATTACTGTATATAAATACTCAGATGTTGTGGACTTCTATTATAATATGTAAAAATCAGGCTCAGGACAAGTGATAAAAAGGTAGAACACATATTACTGTATATAAATACTCAGATGTTAAAGGTAGAACACATATTACTGTATATAATTACTCAGATGTTGTGGACGTGTAAAAAATCAGGTTCAGGACAAGTAATAAAACTTTATATTTTCATTAATACAGCAAACATGAAACAAATTATACACAACTCTCAAAAATTGTGCTGTAATTGAGCTACACATCTGGAGAAGGGGATAAAATATCATGTTTCAAAAGAAGAGATTTTCTTAAAGAGTTATTTGGAGTGTTTAGTAAATGCCATCATTTTATCAGAAATCAGAGATATCATAAAATATGCAAACTTCGTTGGGATACTCACAACTTGTTTCTGTAAAACTGTGGCTTATATTGATTATATCAACTATATCCTATTCAAAGCGTTGTTTTGATCAACGTTTTTCTATTAACCTTATCTTTCTTTACCCACTGTGCATACAGAAAACGGTAAATACTGAAGTCATAATTGATTTTAAATGTTTGATGTTATAACTTATGTTTCATCATGAGAAATGTTTACATTTCTTACACAGAGAATTAATGCATGGCAAACAATTTATTGCATAAATATTTCTGTAAAATCTTATGTACTGTGTAAGTAAAAGTCTATTGAATTATAACAGGAGCCCAGAAGCCCCAAGGAGACTCGAATCTTGCTGGTCTTAAAAGACACAACCAGGACCACGAGGACCCTACAAAGACAGTGGACACTCTGGTTATCCTGGAGCATGAGGAGTGGACAATGGACAGGAAAAGGCAGGCCTTCTGTATCCTAACCTACTCAGCCACCTCTAATGGCATGCTGCTACAGTGGAATACCAGTCAAGAGGGGAACATGTTCAAGTAAGTCTGTCTAGTCTACTCGGTCACCTCTAATGGCATGCTGCTACAGTGGAATACCAGTCAAGAGGGGAACATGTTCGAGTAAGTCTGTCTAGTCTACTTGGTAACGTCTAGTGGCATGCTGCTACAGTAGAATACCAGTCAAGAGGGGAACATGCTATAGTAAGTCTGTCTAGTCTACTTAGTCACCTTACTGGCATGTTGCTATAGTGGAATACCAATCAAAATGGTAACATGTTCAAGTAAGTCTGCCAGGAATCAGAGAGAATGCATGTTTATGCATTTTTCTAAGCCAATATTGACTGACTGCAGGTAGGTAGGTACTAATACAAGTAATATCAATATTTACTTGTAGGAGCCAATAATTACTGATGGGTCTGTCCATTTATGCATTAAGAAAAAAAAATCCCAGTGTAATAAACTTTATCTGGGTTTATACTTATAGGGGATTTGTCTTACGTTTAGTCCAGATTGCATAACTAAACTTCATTCCAGATGATGATGAAATAAATAAGCATTGATTTAAGAATCTTTTTTTTGAGAATGACATGCCCATTATTTTTAGGAAGTTTTTAGTTAGTAAGATATGGTACTGCTTTTGTATTTACTTTTATGAAATATTTAACATCTAAATTAACCTCAGCGTTGTGTAGCGACCCATCTGTCATTAATTCACTTTTCTTTTCTTTATATATTTTTAGGTGTGATATCTCGCTACAAGGTACACTAATTGGGGAAGCCAAGGCCATGAGCAAGAACAATGCCAGAAATCTAGCAGCCGCTGATGCATTGTTTAAGCTTTACGAGTCCCAGGATGTTATCAAGGTTGGTACTGCATTCAGGTATGCTTCTTTACCTTTCCTTTGTAATATTTTTGTGTTGTAGAACTAAGTTTTGTGCTTTCCTTAGGTGACCAGACGAGATGACAGCAAACTATGGATTGCCTACAGCAACATTCTAGGTAAAGCCAAGATTTTGAAGGAGAGACAGGGAGATGGGGCCGACCCTGATCTTAAACCCTCTTTTGACAATGAAGGAAATGTCATCCCCATTCCAGAAGATGCCAATAAGTGGGTCCTCAAAGTTTGTGAAGAAATCATCAATGAATACAAAGATCAATTCACAATGGAAGAACTTATATTTGGTCCTGGTATGATATATATATACATATCTAAAAAATAAGTTTTTTTACATAAAGAATTGGGGAGTGAAGTGCATTAAATTTCCTATTTATATAAGGCTTGCCATTGAATGAAATCAGTTAACCACCTGTTTATTTAAGGAATGCCATTGCATGAAAGCAAAGAAGTAAGAAACATGGCCAAAAGTGGAAATCTTCGACATGACATCCGACAGCTGGAAGGCCAATCATATCTCGTCATCCAGCACAGAATGCAACCCCAGGACATCGCTAAATGTGTTCACTCAGCAAACGGGAGAAGTGGAAAATACATACTGGTGGACAAGAGTTCCCTCCCCTCACATCAGGACATCGTTCCTGACCTGGAAAAGCAGATTGCCCTCAGCGGGAGTCTGGCAGGACAGACAAAGAGTGAGGTCAAGGCTCCGAATCCCCTACAAGGATTTAAACCCCGGATACTGAGTGACCAAACTAGCGAGGAAGGGTATGATCAAAGCATGAATAGGTTGTACTGAGAGTTCACAGCAAGCTGTGAGATTGTGAAACAGTGGACCATTTTGCTGAGATGTTCACATTGAAAATGACAGACTGTGTGAAAGGTTTTTTTTTTTTTTTTTTTTAAAAATAGACATAGCATCACTGTTTCAAACATTGTGAATTTGTTTTAATATGTATGTTTGTGAAAATAAGTATTATTAAATGGATAGACAGACTCATTTGTCGACAGTTTTATCTCTCCTGGAAAAGGGTCAAGTGACTTCCTGATCAAAGTTTGATCATCATCTGTGTTGTTTGTCTATTCTAATTACGTGACTTCCTGATCAAAGTTTGATCATCATCTGTGTTGTTTGTCTATTCTAATTACATGACTTCCTGATTAAAGTTTGATCATCATCTGTGTTGATTGTCTATTCTAATTACATGACTTCCTGATCAAAGTTTGATCATCAACTGTGTTGTTTGTCTATTCTAATTACATGACTTCCTGATCAAAGTTTGATCATCATCTGTGTTGTTTGTCTATTCTAATTACATGACTTCCTGATCAAAGTTTGATCATCAACTGTGTTGTTTGTCTATTCTAATTACATGACTTCCTGATCAAAGTTTGATCATCAACTGTGTTGTTTGTCTATTCTAATTACATGACTTGCTGATCAAAGTTTGATCATCATCTGTGTTGTTTGTCTATTCTAATTACATGACTTGCTGATCAAAGTTTGATCATCATCTGTTGTTGTTTGTCTATTCTAATTACATGACTTCCTGATCAAAGTTTGATCATCAACTGTGTTGTTTGTCTATTCTAATTACATGACTTCCTGATCAAAGTTTGATCATCAACTGTGTTGTTTGTCTATTCTAATTACATGACTTCCTGATCATCATCTGTGTTGTTTGTCTATTCTAATTACATGACTTGCTGATCAAAGTTTGATCATCATCTGTGTTGTTTGTCTATTCTAATTACATGACTTCCTGATCAAAGTTTGATCATCAACTGTGTTGTTTGTCTATTCTAATTACATGACTTCCTGATCAAAGTTTGATCATCAACTGTGTTGTTTGTCTATTCTAATTACATGACTTCCTGATCAAAGTTTGATCATCATCTGTGTTGTTTGTCTATTCTAATTACATTTTCATGTATTTGACTACCTGTCCAGAGCCATTTTCAACCAAAAGTACAAAGCATCTTTGGGTAAAGGAAGATCAGTGTTATGCTCTAAAGGGTCATGTCCTCAGTCAAGGATAAATTTTGAGTAATTGGAAAAAAAAGGAGGAGCATTATTTAAGGTTAACTAACCCTTTGATGGAGAGATAACTCTCAATGAGATGAATGACTAAGATATCTTTGTTCAATTGTCAAATTTTAAAATGTTTGGCCAATTTTGCCCAGAAATTGTATGTATTTGAATTGCAGGTTTCTTTAGAATATAAAAAGTGTTAAAGTGAGCAAAGAATTAATAAATCTTCAGAATCATTTTTTTTTTCAATACCTGCAGGGCCAGAAAAGAGAAAATGTTTTGAATGCTTATATACATTATACGTAATCTTTCTAGTGGCTCAAAATATGGCTCTCTGGTCTGGAATGGAGACTCAACTAGAACCATGAGAACCAAATTATTTTTTTCAATAAGTGTAGCATGAAATTGGTATGAATTATGTCAACTGAACATAGGGTGGAATCACAATACAATCGGTTCTACCTGGATATTAGTACATCTAAGGTCAAATATGCAAGGTTTAACAAGTAGATTCCAATTTATTGAAATCATGACCCCTTTGGACAGGAAAGACCACAGTTTTTTGAGAATATCCAGTTTTACGTTGGAATACATGTACTTTGTAAATAGAAAGACACCTGTCGATGTAAAAAATGCTTCAGTGCCTTCAATTGGTGACATTCAAGTTTTCATGCTCCCCTGAGCCAAAGGCTCAAGTGAACTTTGCTGATCTTAAAGTGTCAAGAGTTTTGTCTTTTGTCATCTGTAAACTTTTCACATGTTCACTTTTTCTCCAGAACCACTAGGCCAATATCAATTCTACTTGGTGCAAAATATCCAAGTTTGAAGGGAATCAAGGTTTGTTTAAATGAAGGACCACACTTTTGTCAAGGGGAGATAAAGAACAAGTATGAAAAATAGAATGGGATAGAGCTAGAGTAGGGCTGGAATAGGGGATCATCAAATATTTAATCAGAAATATCTTTAAATCTCCTCATGAACAGCAGGGGTACAATTAATCCTAGAGAGCATTTCCAGTAGAATCAGTTGTCAAATGAAGGCTGTATGCATGGAGATAAAAGCCACAATGAGGAGCTAGTCTCAGTTTTACATTGGAATATATAGGAAGGACATTATAAAAAGCTTATTGTAAAATACAGAAGGCTAGTAGTAGTAGTTGATTAAATAGCAAAACATCTTCCTTTAGTCTAGATAAAGATACATGTGTGTAAGTTCCATTTATAGCTCCTCGGGCAAGAATGGGGCGATATTATAGGATGAGAGTATTTGATAGGAATGTACAGATTCCCTTGGGTACTAATTGCACCCAGTTATTTGTAGACTATTTTAGTGTTCATATGAAGCAGAATTTATTCAAAATCTACATGAAAAGAAGTTTCTTGCTGTGGCCTTCAATTCAACATTTAGATATATCGACTATGTTTTATCAATTAACAATATTCATTTTCATTCCTACATTGATTTGGTATATCCCTTTGAACTCAAAATAACAGATACCATGGAGTCTGACAAATCTGTTTTATATTTGAATATTTTACTAGAAAAAGAACAACAAAACTGTTATAAATATTAATACAAAAATAGGTCTGCTAATAATAGGGCGCAATTGCAGTCTATCATTAAGTCGAATGTTGACTAAAGTTCTTCATGCAAATTGTTAGGCCATTATTTTCACAGAAATTGTCTACGAATTTTGCCGTTTTTTACGGTGGGTGTGACCGGTCGACAGGGGATGCTTACTCCTCCATGATGGCACCTGATCCCACCTTTGACGTTTTTAGAAGTCCATGTTTACTCCAAATTTGTATTTTTTCATTTGACTTCTGAACTTAATTCATATTTCTTGCACCTGAAAAATCTTTTTAAAAAATCATCTTCTCTAGTAGAGCAGACTGACAGTTGGTCGAATTAATTTGCAATGAAATATATGGAATAACAAACAGTATTCAAGCTCAAAAGTCCATTAAACAATACAAATCAGGAGCAAACACAGACCTGTAAAACATCAGATGTGGGATCAGGTGCCATAGAGGAGTGAACATCCCCTGCCGACCGGTCACACCCGCCGAGTGCTCCTTGTCATGATCGGGAAATAACGGAAAAATCCGTCGACAATTCAGTGTGTAAATAATGGCCTAACAATTAGTATGAAAAACGTCAGCATTTGACTTAATGATAGATTGTATTTTTAAACGAGATTGCTGATATTTTCGTTTAAACTTTTTTTGTAAATAACCTACCTCGTTTTAGAAATTGGTCATTCGTAGAGCATGCTCTTGCGTATTGAGTCAACTGAGAGATATAAACCCCGTATGCAGGTGATAAAGGTATAGTGCTGCATAAGTAAGGGAAGTTGACGATTGAAAAGTTGAAGTCATTACGTTTATCTTAAAGCTTTGTTGTTAGATTACCATTAACGTCTTTTCTAGTAAAATATCCAAATATGAAAAAGATGTGTCAGACCCTGTGGTATCTTTTATTTCAAGCTCACTGGGATATATGGTATCGACATAAGAATGGAAATAACCACTATTAATTGACAATACGTCGTCGATATATCTAAATGTCGAGTTGAAGGCCACAGCAAGTGTTTTCTTCTTTTCACGTATAAGATTCTGAACAAATTCTGCTTCATATATATGAATACAAAAATAGTTCTGCTAAAAACGGTACGCAATTGGTATACCCATGGAAATTTCCAAGCATTCTTATCTAAATGTAGATTCAGGTTCCTTAAAAAGATTGTTCTTGGTGGCACAATTGGGGAATTAAATTTTCAACAAATATGTATCATTTTGAAGAATAAAAAACTGCAATTTGTTTACTTGATGTCGAATCTGAGTATAATGTAGAGATTCTTAACATTCAAATCATGAAATTTAACTGGGAGATGAAAATACATACATGTCAGAAAGCATTGATCCACGTTCAAATTCCTGTCCACAGGCCAGTTTTGGGGTACAGTTAATTTTTCAAAAGGAATTCATTGGAAAGATCTTTAAAAATTGTATTTTTAGATGAACTTGAATTTACATGTGCAAGCAACATTTTGTGGTGTAGATTAGAACTTCCTCAAGCCCTGTAGCATGGGGAAGTCTGGAGACACAATAGGTTCATGGAGTCAAACAAGTCAATCCATGCATGTACATCGAACAAATTTTAGAAAATCTTTGGTTTCAGAATATTTGTCAGGTTTATCTGCAAGAATTCTCGTGTATCATAGATCCAAATTTGTTCAAATCATGGCACCTGGGGATTAGAGTGGGGTCTTGATAGAAACTGGAATGTATAGGGAAAGAATTATAAACGGACCACAATTATTCATACATATATTAGAGTTAAATCCTCTAACGTGTCATGAGGCTCATGAGGTCGGTGCTTAAACATAGTTTCTGTGCCAAGCGAATGCGAGTCATTGACTCTTCCTGGATGGGACACTACCAGTCCATTGCAGATTAACCCCCAGCGTAAGCTGGTACCCATTGCAGCTGGTTGGACTGAGACAGTGTAGATAAAGTGCCTTGTTTAAGGACACATAAGTGCCCACAGCGGGGTTTTAACCTTTGGGTTACTGGCCAAACATCTATGACCACTGAGGTATGTGCTCCACTATTCGAACAGATATACAAGCAATGATTCTTATATTCACGACTGTATAAATGATGGAACATGGATAAAGGATTGGCTCATAGTAGGCGTCAAAATTTTACATTTGAATGTATCAAAAAGAAAAGAAAATTAGCAAGACCAAAATTAGTGAAATTGGAAAGAAGGCATTGTCGTGTAGTATAACTGGGTTTTTTGAAGTCTTGACACCATTTGCTAAGCTAGAGCCATTGCTGTCTGCAGTAGGAACGCAGACTCCAAGTAACAATTTAACAAGGCCTTGATTTGGAATCAAGAGCAACAAGTATAACGAAGGATAATGTTAAAAACGTGAGTTAGGTTAGATCCCAGAAAAGGATTTCATAAATACCCTTTCTTTAGAAGAAATTTCATGTATTTGTCAGGAAATTAGTCAGGAAAAGATGTGTACTGCAACTGAGCTTTGTGGACCTTGCGCCTCTTGGTCTTATTCTCATGGAATGTACGCTAGCTGCTGAATTGTTGGGACTAATTACTGATACCACAAAGAAAAACTTAGATGTTTCCTTTTTTCATAACCTTTATTTGAAAATGTCCACATACTTTATAAGTACTATGAAAGAACAATGTGCTGATAGTTAAAAAATCGCAATAAGTCTGGACCAGACAATGATTTTTGTGGCTGCACATTACAGTACAAAGTGATTAATTTCATGGTTTTAATTCTAAGAACTTGGAATTTGGATCATTTCGAAAAAATTTCCCACAATTTACGAAATTATTTAGGTTATGTGGGAAAAAAACAAGTTACAAACCCATCACCAAGTCTTTTAAAAACACACACACACACAAAGTAAAGGAATTCCTAAATTTGTCATTTGTCCTGTACATGGTAGTTGGAATAATGATCAGATTTCAAATCAAACTTCATTTATAAAATTACAACAAAGTTCTTCAATTAAAGGTTATCATTTTGGATTCACATTTAAATTCTTTCACACCCTTGTCGTTAGTTCATCAGCTGATGATTCGTGTAGTTTACGAGTTCTCAGTAACTACTTAATTCCATTGGCATACTGAAGTAGGGTTGGCAGTATTCCTAGAAAATCAATTTGGACATTTTTACTATAATGTTGTTGACAAAGAATTTCAAAATCCCATTCAAAGACTTTAATACATAAAAGTAGTGATTTATTTGTAGAATATTGTCATATTCTTGTCATTTAACATTTAGCATTAGAGCAAAAGGTCTGAGTATCGTAATTATTACATAATATAGACTATCGGATTTTCAAATATGCCATCTATTTGTCAAATGATTAACATTAAAAATTATTATTGTAAGACAAAATTCTGGCATTTTTATATTTCTGTGGTCAAAACATACTTCTCCACCGCACGTTCCTCTTCCATATACATGTATTGTCGGCGTGAGCATATTCTTACGAAGAGCCCGGAGCTCTTCTTTTGTGCGCATGCTTCTTTCATTCAAGGTGTCAAAATTGGATTTCATGCTTGACAGAAAGTTTCCATAGCTTTCTTCTGCTACTGATAGCTCTAAATAAAAAAAATATGTACCAGTATTCAATACTCTTGTAATTTCTTTTTTTTTTTCGATTTTGAAGGAACTTAATGGATGGATACCTTTTTCAAAAGCAGTAATGTAGGGTTCGTCTTCGTTTTCTTCACATGAATCTGGATAAGCCCAGTTTTCTGGGTATTTCTCTGTTGTATTGTACGTTGACACCTAGTACAGAAATTTAAAATTATCAGTAATTCGTCCAGAATAATAAAAAAAGGCATAGCTAATGTAAACTTCGGTGTACCTTGTTGGTCCGGTTCTCCAAACTAATGTCTAATCTGGGGATTCTCAGATTGTACTTCCTATTAAAACGCCTTTCTGGCACCGGTGATAACTATAAAGTAGACACAACAATGTATAACTGAGGTTTGTAAAATTTTACATACAATGAATAGATTGCTGACAAACTCTTCTACCATGTACAGTACATGTATACTGAATTGTACGATAAGCTAGGGCCATGTACGAGTAATAATTTTTTCATTTCAAATGATGAAAAAGAACAAGCATTTTATAAACTGGAGATTGCAAACCTTTGGCTCTTGTCTCTGGTTTAATGATAATCCCATATCGAAGCGTAGACGACGGATTTCCTGCTTTAACTCCAAACTTTTAGCACTGATAGTCAAGAAGTTCGACTTACACTGATCAAGGAACTCCCCGTATTGATTTTCCATCTCAAGTTCTTCTGAAAGTTAGATAAATAGATATTGATGTCATACTTGTAAATCAGCGAGAAATCTCTAAAATGTATATTTGTTTTTGTATGTAAAATATTAAACAAACCATCCTGAACAAGATCTTCCTTGCTCTCTTCAAATTCTTTTTTGTTATAATAAACTGGGGAATAGTCCGATGTCCTTTGGAGTGTTGGCTTCTGAAAAAAGACCAGGATTTATTTTGATAAACTTAATTTTGAACTCTTTTATTGTCAATGTGAAATGGATCTTTCAAATGTTTACATCATTTGAAAGCATACAAGGAAACAAGTAAAATCCTACTAGAATTGGAGACTTCTTTTCTAGTCGTTTTGGGATTGTTATCTTGTTTGGAGTGTAGTAATCTTGTACAGGGTCCTCATCATCGCTTTGGTACCCCGGTGAATACATGGACCGGGGAGTGTATGCTGGTGACACCTCATCCCCCAGTTTCCTAGCTGTGGACAGGGTGTTGATGGAAGGTATGGTGATGTCTGTGTATGGAGATCGGGAGGAGGTGGGCCGACTCTTTATGCTATACCCTGTGGACCTTCCACTAGCCAAAGTATTGTACGCCGAATCATAAGACTCGTCCAAAATATCTTGCTTCCACTTGATGTTGCTTAATTCGTTGTCAAGTCCGTCTAGCTGAGAAATAAAGAAAAATGCTATCACAGAAAGAGAATAGGGTTACCTCAACAAGTGAATGTTTAGAAAGGTCAAATATTAAACGTACGTCATCTTTATAATTAGATTCGTAAGGAAAATTTTCCCACAAGTCCAAGTGTGATGAGGAATTAGTCATTTGTTCGCGTGCTTCTTGTAGATCCCTCTTTGATCGCGTACATCTTTGTCGCAGGCTTTCACACTCAGCGTGTAATTTTCTCAGGGAGTCACCGTGCCTTTTCTCCAGAACTGATTCTGCAAGTGAACAATTACACAATACAAGAATGGCATCACAGAATAGATAGCCCCCCCCCCCCTCCCAATGATTTCATTTTACCTTCATCATCAGATGTTTCAGACCCAACATCTAAATTCAGAGCCAATTCATTCCACCTTGATCCTGAAGTAGATGGCTTGCCTGCTAATCTAGGGGTGGAAGTCTGGTATTTCATTCGAAGTGCAGGCGAACGTGGTGTGTCATTATATGACGTAGTAACAGGAAAGGTTTTGACCTCACCGTCCACCATATCCTGACATATTGGCATCTAACAACAGATTCTTCACATTAGAAGACCACTGATTTTACTTATGCGAAAAAGATCATAAAAAATCTCTCTTACATTCAATACAACAATGAATTGAAATTATCATCTCACGGTTTGATATAGCTTTAAGTTCTCAGACAGCAGCTGCTCGCAGCTGTCAAATCTTGACCTGAGTCGCTGAATATCTTGCTTCAAATTTTCAGTTTTTCTCATGAGATCATTTGATTGCTGTTCGCACATACGAAGGTAGTGCCCATGTTGTCTTTCACAAAGAATACTTCCAACGTCTGGAAAAAAACCCACAAAAATGTGTACCTGTCAGTTATATGATTTCTGTAAACTAAAGCACGATATTCACCTACCTTTTCTTGTTCTAGGGGAATCTACCAAAACTTTCTCTGAATCCTTTATGCATTTCTCATATTTGGCGTAATCTATTTTAAACATAGATGCTGTGATAGGACTTCTAGTCTTTCCGACAGGATCATTCTCCTGATAAGTTGATAAGGTATCCTCGTTTTCATTTCCAGAACGGGAAATGGAGCTCTCTACTGGCACTGACTTTGGCTTGATATCACCAGTTGATGATTTTAAAAAGATTCCCTGGTCATACTTCCGGGGAATAGGGTCCAGTGTCCAGTTATTAGCCACGTGTAGGTTTCTCTTGAAGATGTTGTTGATTGAGGAAAGACCATTTGAGAATTGCTTTCTGTTAATCTGGCTTTGAGCGTATGCTGCAAAGTTTGGACGAGGTGGAGAAAGCACTCTCTCTTTTCCGTAATACGTTGGCTGAGAAAACACAAAACACAGTCTGATTGATCAAAAATGTGATTTAAAATTCGTAGACTGAATAAAGAAATGAACAGTCAAGCAAGTAGTACCTTTATGAATGGAGGGCCCAGGCTTACTTCAGGACTCTTAGAGACATGGAAATTTTCATAAGGCAAGTATATTTTACGTACATCATCATCTAAATCATCATCTAAATCATTGTCGATGAATTTTCTCATCATTTCTATCTCTCTCAGCTACAAAAATAAATTAATTATCAAGGAAATTCAGCTACAAAAATAAATTATCAAGGAAATTCAGCTACAAAAATAAATTATCAAGGACATTCAGCTACAAAAATAAATTATCAAGGACATTCAGCTACAAAAATAAATTAATTATCAAGGAAATTCTTGTTGATATTTTTGGGAACATTCCAATACGTTAAACTTTACATCTAATGAATAAAGATATATGTTTGCCGAATAAGTTTTTTTTCACATAAGCAGAGACAAAGAAGCGGCATGACCTATGTAATATATGGTCTGGTACCAATAAATTATCCGTCAGTATTCCTTTGAGGAGTTCTAAATCTTTTTAAGCAGTTGAAATTTAAAGTATAATTTAAGTTGGTGTAACTGGTTAACGAATTTGAATTGGGTGATGGGGACAAATGTCACCTCTTGTCTCAGAACTTCTTCTGGTTGTGCTTTGCTTTCAGGAACTGTTAAGGAGCTGCCCATTCGTAGACGAACATCACTTAGTTCTCTCCCCACAGTCAGACATTTTTCACTGAGGTAGTCAAATTTCTCCTTCATCCTCTTTAGAAGTGTCCCATATTCCTTTTCTTCATCCTCATCTGCACAAAAATGGTATTTAAGACTTTAGTGATTTGCTACTTTTAATTCATTTTTCATTATGTAGGTGGTCATATAACTTAGAGTGAACTGGAATTATAAATCTAGCTATATACAGTTGGTAAACATATAGACTGGAAAGAAAAGGGATTATGTTATGTGCAAAACCTACTTTGAAAAGGGATTGGTTTAAACGATTTAACAAAGAGAAAGGTCTACTCGAAGTGGTATTTGAACTCATAACCTTTGGTTTTTGTGCTATCAATTTAGAGTAAAGTACTACACTACAAAGAAGACATGCCAAGACTCACCGTCCGCATCGCTATCTCCCCAATCTACGGAAATGTCGTCTCCATTTTTCGGGATCTGACTTTCAGCCAATAATAGTGGGTCTTGTTCGCCAAATATCTCAACATCGTCTGGTAGGTCCTCTACATCAGAACCACATACAGAAATGTCAGACCTTGTTGAGTCATCCCCCTGATACTCCAATTGACGTAATATTTCTTTCTTTTCTTCTGATATCGGAGGGACCTAATTCAAAACCAAAGCCAACAATTATTTTGAAGTTTGTAAAAAGTCTTTTTACAATGTTTCTCTTGCTTTAGGAGAAAATATGATCGCATACCTGATTATCTTGATCAAACCTTTCCAGAATCCTTTTGGCCTCCTCGTCATTCGGTTCGCTATTGTCGATCCTTTGAATATTCTCCACTATGTCGTTATAATATTCATCTCCATGTCTCTTACTCATATCATGGAGAGCTTTGGTGAGGTCACTGGATAAAGAGGTGAACTCTTCTTCTGTCAATGTCGCCTCTTCTCTCTTGTCTACAAGCTTTCTGTTGGCATCCCGAATCTGCTGAATGTTTTTAAGTTCGTTTTCCTCTAAAGCAACGGATCTTTCAAGAATGCATGTTGATATGTTTATAGTAAAACAATCAGGATCTATGATGTTGCTAGCTTGGAAACAGCAACTGCATTCTACTTGTGGTGCCCGCTCGCAATCTTCTTCTGTCTTCTGGAACAGTCGATTCCATTCTGTCGTGGAAAGAATGGACGCGGAGTTCCTGAATGGTTGATCACACTTGCAACACTCTTTAGTTTTCCAGGAATGGAAGAAGCCATGTCGGTGCAGGTTTAGGAGCTGCTCTAGTGAAGTGTTGAGGCGAGCGGTGACAGACTTCACTGTCTTTATGAGAACTTGGGATGCTACATGGAGAAGAGATGACACCAGAAGAAAGTTCAACGGCTCTTTAGACCTCGGCATTTCTAAAGTTTCCTAGTGCTGAAATTATATATAACTTGCTGTCAAATTCTTTAGACATTTCTTGAAGTAATCGTCGTCCAAAGTGGCGTATGCATGCCGTTTGTCCCCTAATGGAACCGACAAATTGCATATAACTTGTTATAAATTATGTAGATTTGTTTGTCGGGTTTTGTAGATCAGTCTTAAGTATTTGTTAAACTGTTTGATTAAATCCCAATGTGCTCGACATGAGGTCAGGCTTTATATCAATCTGGAACCATATCAAAAACGTCAAATATATAGGTTTGCCGATTCAATGATCTGCTAAAATTCCGTAAAGAAGAATTTCACTTTATGAGAACATTAAGTAATGATAGCATGCAGAAATTACAAATGTCTTTTTTTTGACTTGTTAAAGCTAAGATTAATTGTATTTAAATTTTACATAAATTTCTGAAATAAATTGTTATTACACTTATAAATTGATTCTGTTTTACTCGATTTTGTCCTTATTTTATTTGTCGATATTTTATTTACGGGCCTTGCGATGAAATTTTATCTCCGTTTTAATTCAGTGTATAATCGACCGGTATTCATGTATTTAAATTCCTCAACGTAAAAAAGTGTTTCTTTTAGTGTGCTACAAATTAGTAAAGGGCTCTAAATACCTGAGAATCTAGGCACGACTTGTCGGATCAAATACTTACACAAATATTTTCTGTATTAATAAGAATTAAAACAGCTTTATTGACTAAAGTTTAGCCAGCTTATGTTATCAGATTAAAATCGAGATGAAACAATATTGTAAAAATCCTTTAATTAACCTTTAATCAATGTTAAAAAAAATACTGCTGATATTACACAATGTATTGGCAAAGAGCCTTGATGTATGTGTACTTTTTCACCAAACCAAACAGAAAAGAAATAAATAAATAAATTTATCATTGAGAACGTTTTTTTTCCCCCTTCAAAATAAAGTTCTTTTTAGAATTCGCTAGATTCGGAAATTCAAATGATATGGTGTAACCAGCCGCTCTTTTGATAGGAAGGAGTAGTTTGACCTTAATGTTGATAGTTTTAACGTAATATCTTTTTTAAAACAAATACTTTAATGGAAAAAGAAAAGTTTTCTTTCTTAAACATTCAGCTATTGCATCGATCTATTGCATCAATAGTTAAGTATAGTAATATGGTGGCAAACCTTTACATATTGCTAGTCCATATTCCAACATGGGCCTTCAAGCTCCAGGCCCATGACGAAAGTGAGCTAGACAATTTATTTTTGGCAATGGGGCTCAGTGATCATAAAGTGAAGAACAAAACCAGTCTCAATGACCTATTAAGCGGTAAATTGACTGTTAATAAAAAAGACTCCATAAGTCGCCAAGATTTGGCATAATATCAAAAGCTGCCGAGTGTCGATAGCATAATTAATTATTTTTAAAATGGTTTCTAATCATCTTAAAATCTAAACGTACTGAAATCATAAATGTGCAATCATGCTCGAAATACTTATTATTCTGAAAGAATAGATGCATTCTTTAGTTTCTTATGTAATGTTTAGATTAAAATGTGCTAACCATAGTCAACAGTAGACCCTATTATCAGCATTACGCTATTGGGTAACTTGAAACTTAAAGTACATTCAATACAAATATTTGTTTATTCCAAATTCATCAAAATTGTCATCTTGTACACAGTCTCAGAACAGTTTCCGAAATGAAATTTAAGTAACTGTTTTCAATTTTCTTTCTTAGCAATTTATACGGAAGAAATAGTTGAAGCATTTTGTGAATATTGATGTGGCATTGTGTATGATGTTCTTTTTAAAAAAGTTCGTTTGGAATATTAATGGCTTAAAAAAGCATTTTCCACATTGACTTCCACAATGAGCTTATAAATTTAAAGTGTAAACAGAAATAAAATTCTCCTTCAATTTTTCCTGCTTTCTCTCTCTCTCTCTCTCTCTCTCTCTCTCTCTCTCTCTCTCTCTCTCTCCACGACCTTAGTAAATATTCAACACAATATATCGGCGACAATATGTGCAAATATTCACTGTACATATTGTCGCCGAGGACAAAATGTGCCGATGTACATTTTGTCGCCCATTATGCAAGAAGAAAAAAAGGCTCATCTCGGTACATATTGTCGCCGGCGACAATATGTGCCGATGGACGACAATATGTGCAGTGAAGGTGGGTACATATTGTCGCCGACGACAATATGAACAGAAAGACAATATGTACCATCACACCATCCTCTTAATATGACCCCAGTTCAAGGTTCTTCTAGTAAATTGAACACATTAATTTAAATCCCGATTTTATTTCTTCATTTTTTGGCGCTTTCATAGTAGATTTTATAGACCAGACTCCATGTTTTCCCAATTCTATTTTGAAGCTTGTTACAAATGAGGGTTTTATCCAGATACAGGTAACAGCTTTCGTACCTGAGGACCTTTGGTTTCCTGGTAGTGAACCAAGGTTTAAGTTTTTTTTTTTTTTTTTTTTTTTGGGGGGGGGGGGTCTTCTCTTTCATAATATAAACAATACGAATACTTATTAGGAAGCATTAAACGTAGGAAAATGGAACTTTTATTAGAGGCAGTGATGATATTCTTATGGGAAAAAGTCATATATTTTTAAAAAGTATTTTATCCGAATAGGAAACCACATTGAATCAAAACAACCCATTTAATCAACCATTTAAATTAAAATAGAAAATTGAAGTTATAGGCATTAGTATTGCAATGGTTTGCGCCGTAGATATCGGCTTGCGTAGCTCAGTAGGTAGAGCATCTGAATAGCGATGCAGGGATCACGGGTTCGATTCCCAGAGCAGCCATACATTTTCTCCTTGTTATCAAATATAACCTATCATTATGTCGAATTTTGGCTGATGTGTTTCATATCAATTGTTAGACCTTTGCTTTTGTATTAAATTTGGCTACATAATATTCCGACTACCTGATCAATGCGTAGGGCTGACCGCGGATGTGACCGGTCGATAGGGGATGCTTACTCTTCCTGGAACCTCTGGGGATCCGTTTTTTGTGACCAGTTAACAGATCTGTATTGTTTTTAGATTTTTTAAGTTCGATCACTGTTCGTTATTTTCACCTTTTTTCTTCCTGTTACATAATTTGGTGCCGTGACCAGGATTTGAACCTTTGTTGTCGCGGGAGAAAGTCCATCCGTGGGAAAAGAAGAACTTAGGTTGTGTCTTCGAGGCCGAAGGCAATTTAAGGAAGGAGGAATGTATTGTGTTGGGTCGTAGATATCGGCCTAGTAGCAAAGTTGGTAGAACACCTGACTATTGATGCAAGGGTCACCGGGTCCATTACCAGTCTAGCCATACATTTTTTCCTTTCCTGTTACAAAAAAAAAATATAAGGCTGAAGTGACAAACATGAGGGTGTAAGGTTAGGTATTTTGATATGCGAGTATAAGCTTAAGGTGTCAGAGACAGGAACTATACAAGTTGTTAGAGACTGCAGTGACTGACATAAGAACATGAGGGTTAAGTGGCAGGCATTTCAATAAATTGTCAAGTGGCAGACATTTGAATAAATTGTTAAGTGACAGACATTGGAATAAATTGTCAAGTGGCAGACATTGGAGTATATGGTTATAGTAACCGACATTTGAATATATGATTAAAGTACGATGGCCGACAGCGGCCGCCACTTTCTGATTAAGAATATTGTCAATTTGTACAGCGTTTTTGTCAATTTTCGTTGACATATTACAACTAAACTGGTAATGCTATATGCACATGTACACTTTTTACACTGACAATTTACACCAGCGAAAAACATTAAAATTCTTTCGTGTGATATGAAATTAAGATACATAAAACAGGTGGCTTGAAAGAGATAAGGAGCATTTTAATGATTTTCACCGTCAATTAGTCTGAGATATCGTAACCCAGTTAATCCTAGATTAGACGTAAATCGTCATTCTGTCACCTTGTTGTATCATTAAAAAGATATTCTTGGGATTGTAATTAAAAAGGCGAATAAAAGTAATACGTTTGTTGTAATGGATATACATGAATAAAATGGATATATCTCGATCCTCAAAGTGTATGAGACAACTCGATTCTACCTATTATGTAGAGGTAGAAAAACAGGATTTAGTAGCTCTACATGTGAGCATCCAATCAAAAGTTTATGGAATGTACATGCATCAAAAACAAAACTTTAGATACGGAAATATACCCGTTTTTAAGCAAGAATAAAATGACAGCCTTAAATGTGGGAGTCTGTATTTGCTCTCTAAATACATAAAATTAATTACTATATGCTTGAAACACTTTTAAAGGCCAACGCAACCTCTCAAGACTTCCACCTGGTCGGCCAATTATTTTTCAATGTAGCACGGGAATGAAATTATAGGTACATGTAACTTATGTTATCATTTCCTTGTGCGCATTGTTTAAAAAACAAAATTCATGCATCAAAGACACGTCCGATTATGAACAAAATCAAATTTCTGATAGACCTGGAAAATTTCATCCTGGTTACCTATGATGTGACCAGCAGGTACACCAACATGGAATTTTATGAATTAATTACTACAATCTGTCGAGAAAGCATATCTAGAAGACAATACTAATCTCTAATCACCCCGACCTTGCTGTTCTGCTAGAACCTTAAGCTTATCACCTTCAAGTAACCTGTTTTATGTATCTTCATTTCATATCACAAGAAAGAATTTTAATGATTTTCTCCAGTGTAAATTGTCAGTGTAAAAACTGTATATGGACATAAACTATTACCAGTTTAGTTGTAATTTGTCAACGAAAATTGTCAAAAAAGCTGTACAAAATGACAATATTCAGAATCAAAAGTGGCGGCCGCTGTCGGCCATCGTATTAAAGTGACGGAATTGGTGTATATAATTCGAGTGAAGGGCATTGAAGTATATGATTAAAGTGACAAACTTTTGAGTACATGTACATGGTTAAAGTGACGGGCATTGGAGTATGTGATTGACAGACATTGGAGTATAAAGTTAAACTGACAGACATTGAATTCAGTTTAAAGTAAAGGTGACAGACATTAAAGTATTTGGCTAAAGTGATTGACAATGTAGTATATGGTAACAGTGGCTGACATTGGGGTATCGTACATACTCACTTACACGTTGGTTCGCTTATAAGTCGGTTGTATTTTTTCAACTGATTTTGGAAATCTTGCCATCGACCTGCTTATATTTGCAAGAATTGGTTGCCAGTTTTAGATATCGATTGTATTTAACATTGCTTAATGTTTCAAAGTAAGTTTTGTGGTATGACATCAATATTTGATGTTGATCAATATTAGATATTGTATTTCATTAACAATTTTAATAACATTGATCATTTTTAAAAAGGGTAAAATCATTAAAATTTGTAAGCACTTGACGTACTTTATGCATATTGCAACCTTGAATATTAAAGTGACAGACATTGGGGTATAGGAAAGATACCACAGAGTCTGACACTAGTTTCATATTTAGATATTTTACCAGAAAAAGACTAATGCTTGCTGACAAGATCATTGTATTGACCATAGAATTTAAGAAATGTTGAATTTAAACGAGACTGTTGATATTCTTGTTTCATCAACTTGTTTGTCAATAACTTACCTTGTTTTAGAAATTTTTCGTACGTGGAGCATTCTAATGCGTATCGAATTAACTGAGAGACATAAACCCAATATGCAGGTGATAGGGGTATATTGCTACATTATAAGTAAGGGAAGTTGACGATTGAAAAGCCGAAGTCATCACGTTGGTTGTTAGGTTACCATTAACGTCTTTTTCTAGTAAAATATCCAAATATGAAACAGATATGTCAGACTCTGTGGTATCTCTTATTTCAAGCTTAATGGGATATATCGGGTCCACATATGAATGGAAGTACTGCTGCATATGAATACAAAAATAGGTCTGCTGATAACGGGGCGCAATTGGTACCCATGGAAATTCTGACAGATTGTTGGAAGAATTGGTCTCCAAAAACTACATAGATATTGTCAATCAGAAACTCAACCATCTTTTTAATGTCAACTTCAGAGTACTTATGTGTACAATCAGAATTTTTTTTTTTTAAAAATGTTACAAATGACAAATGATAAGGTAAGTAAATTTACGACTTCCATTTTTATTGAAAAAGCAGCTAATAATGATGTCAAAAAGCCTTGTGTTAGTTCGGGGCTCTATTGACTATATAGTGAAAATGCATTAATTCTTTGAAAATCTTCTCCTCTGCTCCTGGGATTAAGCCGATGAACTAAGTGCATGATTATGATGAGCAAGGGTGCCTCTTCCAAAATTGTGAATTTCATGGCCTCTGGGTCGGGAGTTCTGATGTTAAGGTGGGGCTCTTTTGATTATAATAGTAAAAATGCATTAATGCTTTGGAAATCTTCTCCTCTGTTCCTTGGTCTTAAGCAAAGAAACTAAATGCATAGTTATAGTAAGCAATGGTGCCTCTTCCAAAATTATTAAACGTGTGGCCCCAGTGTCAAGGGTTCGTTTGGGATGGGGGCTCTACTGATTATATAATGAAAATGCTTTATTTCTTTGATTCTCCTCGGCACTGCCTTTGGCTATTAAGTAAACAAACTAAGTGTATAGTTATGATGAGTAAGGGTGCCTCTATCGAAATTGTGTATTTTCTGGCCTCTGGTTTAAAACATGAACCCAACTGAATTGTGGGAAAGTTGTTACATGATACTCAGGTGACCTTTAAGGCCTGTGGGCCTCTTGTTGGTCAAAGTGACATGCATTAGAGTATATTGTAAAGTGGCAAACATTGGTGTATATGATTAAAGTGACGGACATTGGAGTATATGATAAAAGTAACTGACATTGGAGTATATGATTAAAATGACGGACATTGGAGTATATGTTTAAAGTATAACGGACATCAGAGAACACATTTGACCTATTTAAGATATTTTTATGTCAGTTCATTAAGTCCCCCGAAAGCACTTTGTTCATATTTATTAAGGCAACAGTAACATATACATAAGAACATTTTTTATAAGATAAAAAAGTAAAATTTGACAAGTATTTATGATCACAGTCTTTACGTTGAGGTCTGTGCTTGATCCACATGTGCATAGCCATATACGTTCTGGTTTTGATATTCACAGAGTATTGTTGTAGAGGAAGGCAGATCACAATATAGAACAGCTAGACGAACCTGAGGAAGGTACCCATGGAAACACAGGAGGTAGGAGGGCGGGGTCAGGCTCCTGGAAGGGCTGAGAGAAATAAACCCTGTAACATTGAGCATTGAGTTAAAAATGCAAGGTGATGGTTGTCAATTTGATTGACGTTATCCCGTCTATAGTATTATCTAAGAATGCAAAGTTTATATTGTATTGTTATATAAATACTAGACTAAGTATATACTGCAATAGTATTCATATTCAGTTATTTATTGATGCTTTGATGATCAATAAGTATGACTTTTATAATTTTCAGATGTAATTAGATACCTGATTGCAGTTACAAAGTGTTTGCCGACCCCCGCGGGACTTATCACGTTAGATTTGCTGTTATCCACACCTAGCGGAGAATGCTGTTTGAAGAGGTAGGATACAGTATCAACAGTGTAGACAGGTAGTCCTGGAAAATTAAGAAAATATTATACAATGATATCATTTTCCAAAGTACAAAGGTGATTTTATTGGTGTACGGTCTGTTAAATCAATATATTCGAGATGTAGTGTTACTCAAATGTGGATTCTTAAAAACTTCAAAGAACGTACAAATCAGAAATTTTTACCACCAGTAGCATCAAAACGTACAACTTTTCAACACCTTATACAACCATTCCCCGTGATAAATTAAAGACCAGGCTTTTAGACATCATAGACAACAATAATAATAATGTTTAATAATAATAACTGCTTCTTTAATTTCAAGGCTCAAGGGTCTTAACGGTCACTAAGCAGAGATTTTCAAAGAACTAGAACATTTTTACTATATAATCAATATAATTCCCAATAACACAAGAATCCCTGACCCAAGGACCAGTTATTTCATTATTTTGATAGAGGCACCTTTACTCATCATATGAATGAATTTAGTTAATCTAATAATTACCTAGAAGCAGGGAAGAAGACTTTCACAGAATTAATGCATTTTCACTACATAATCAATAGAAACCCATCCTACACCAAAGCACCTCACCCACGGACCCAGGAATTTCACAATTTCGGAAGACGCATCCTTGCCTCTTACGGGTTCTTCGGATGAGACTTCAAAAACCGAGGCCCCATGTCACGGCAGGCGTTGGCACGATAAAGACCTGTCACTGCTCAATGGCCCTGAGTGTCGAGTAAAGGTCAAAATTTGAAGCCCTTCATCGGTATATGGTGACGTCTCTATATGAGTGAAAAATTCTCGAATGGGACGTAAAAGAACATACAATCAATCAATCATATATAATCATGCATATTGTTTGCTTAATACCAGAAACAGAGAAGAATTTTTTTTAAAGAAATAATGCATTTCCACTATTTAATAATAGAACCCCACTATAACACTAGAACCCTTCATCCAGGACTATGAATTTCTCAAATTTTGGAAAGGACACCCATGTTCTCAACACCATGCACTTATTTTGTCTGCTAAATATGCATGGGTGAGATTTTTAAAGAAGTAATCAATTTTCACTATACACATGAATGTTCAATAGAACCTGCCTTAAGCCTTTTTCCCTGCAGTTGAAGAGTTCCCATACTTAATTAAAGGACCTGTGTGCTACATTTTAATGTCTATATATGGTACTGTACACTTCCTCTAGAACAAGTTTGGATCAACAAAGCATCTAGAATATATGCTTAGTAATTTTTGTAGATTTTCTTTGAATTATACGAGAATTTTCATCAATTGATATCTTTTAAAAACCCCGGTAAGGCATGCTGATTTTTTGTCTTGGAACATCTGATGGCATTATAATCTTAAATTAAGAATATCTTGAAGAATTATCAGTAGGTAAGGAACGTTGTGTATGTCCTTAACATCAGAACACTTGACCCAGGGGCTGGGAATAGGTACCCTTGCTTGTCATAACCATGCACTTAGTTTATTTGCTCAATACCCAAGTGCAGAGAAGAAGACTGATGTCTTACATACAAATTGCTAGGCCATTGATTTCCAATGAATCGTCTACGAGTTTTTTCGTCTACCCAATCACGAGGGGCACACGGCAATCGACAGGGGATGCTCACTCTTCCATTGCACCTTATCCCACCTCTGTTTTTAGAGTTCCGTGTTTGCTCTGATCACAATTTGTATTGTTTAATGGACCTTTGAGCATGATTACTTGTGTTTACCGGTATCTTCACATTTAGTCTGTTGGGACTTCAAGTTTTAGCCTACTGTTGATTCAACATTGTTTTGGGGGGACCGATGTTCCTGGATTTCGTTGGTCATCCTTACCCGTACAATCGATAACTTTGTCACCATATTGTTTATTAAATCTTCTATGTGAATAATTTACCCTCGAAATTATGTCCCCCATATTATCATTGGGTACCAATGGCTGATCTAGACTTACTAATCACCCATGTGCAAGATTAGCTCTGGATATCCGACAAGTGCGTCCCCACCAACTAGTTAAATGTTGCCTGTCCACGAACACTAAACCCCCGAATTAATGATTTGACAGTATACCTGTCGCTCTAAGCCAAGCTTCTATCCGGAACATTGTTTGTGCCATATTTTCAAATGACTTTTGACCAGTGCGGACAGGAAGAAAGAGTTTCGAGGACAGGCATGGCGGAAAGGAATTTGTTGAACTTCCTTTCACTTTGAAGATGCGTATTATCTGTAGCTGTTTTCCTTCTGAAGTACCGAAGACAAAATCATCGGTATCGTTTGAAAGAACATCTACCTCACCTGAAAGGAAAAATTTTCATACATAGCTCTATTCCAGCGCTTACATAAACAGACGGTGCAATCAAGCAAGGGAGATTGAAATGTATGATTACCCATTGCTTCCAGGTATTTTGATATATGAGTCTGTATATTGACAATCCGTCCTTCCTGGAAAAAAAAAACAGTATGTATTCATATTTTTCACTCATAAACTGCAAGAAAATGGAACACGAATGGAGTAATAAGGTACATACTCTGAGTTCTGTGGGTGGATTTTTAGATAGACGTTCTAATGTTTCTTCGTATGTCTCGAACTTGGCAGGTGTCCCCATTCCAGGTTTCCTGGTTACTTTAGGTATAACATCTATCAATTCTGGGGAAAATGCAAGCAAATCTACATATATATTTTAAGTCCCTTAATCTTTTCAAAACGATGTCAAAAGCATTCTTCATCTATGTTGATAATAATAGCAGACCAAGTAACAGAGTAAGCATGGACAATATTATAATGTCACCATGGACACGAGATATGTGCAGTACTAGTGATGTTTTTTCTAACTATTTAGCACACTTACCAAAGGTTTCTTGTGTTGGAGTTCCAATGACGTAGAATATTCGGAGAATCTGTGTGTAACGCCGTGATTTCCCACCATTTTCATGAAACACTGTATTGTCAGGATCCACGTCCAACTTCTCAAATCCCTCCGCTGCCTTTATCACGGCACACTCCACAGTCAAAATAGTCCCTTCAATTGTATGAAGAACTACTTAACGCAAAAGATGAATATCAATGCACTGTAAATGTAATTATTATTACTCTGTGTAGCTTTATGAAATGCCATATATCACGTTATGGTGGACTTACCTCCGAGGGGTTTACTCTGGAGTTCTCTGTTTAACTTGTCTACTGTGGTTCTCAGTCCTTCGTATGACGTCATGGTTTGAATTAAAGCCGGACCGTGAAATCTGCGACGTCCGTAGTAAGCGATTGGTATCCCTACTTTGTCTGGAACTCGACTGTAAAGTCCCAACTGCTGAGGCGGCGAGGAACTGTTGTCTCGGACATACAACCACAGCCTGGTTTCAAAATTAGATCAGAATTAAAGACTCCAGTTTCAAACTCCATGAATGTTCGTGACGGGCTCTTTATTGAAATTCATGGAGATAACGAACAGTATTCAAGCTCAAAAGTCCATTAATCAATACAAAATAGGAGCAGAGCAAACACGGACCTCCAAACATCAGAGGTGGGATCAGGTGCCATGGAGGAGTGAGCATCCCCTGCCGACCGGTCACACCCGCCGTGTGCTCCTTGTCATGATCGGGAAATAACGGAAAAATCCGTAGACAATTCAGTGTGTAAATAATGGCCTAACAATTAGTATGAAAAACGTCAGTCAGCAATTGACTCAATGATAAATTGTATTTGCTGACAAGGTCATTGTATCGACCATAGAACTCTGATGACTTTAAACGAGACATCTGATATTCTTGTTTCATCAACTTATTTGTCAATAATTTACCTCGTTTTAGAAATTGTACATACGTAGAGCATGCTCTTGCGTATCGAATCAACTGAGAGATATATACCCCGTATGCAGGTGATGAAGGTATATTGCTGCATAAGTAAAGGAAGTTGACGATTGAAAAGTTAAAGTCATCACGTTTATCATAAAGCTTGGTTGTTAGATTACCATTAACGTCTTTTTCACGTAAAATATCCCAATATGAAACAGATGTGTCAGACTCTGTGGTATCTTTTATCTCAAGTTCACAAGGATATATCGTATCGACATAAGAATGGAAATAGCCATTGTTAATTGACAAAACGTCGTCGATATATCTAAATGTCGAGTTGAAGGCCACAGCAAGTGTTTTCTTCTTTTCACGTACAAGATTTTGGACAAATTCTGCTTCATATGAATACAAAAAAGGTCTGCTAATAACGGGGCGCAATTGGTACCCATGGGAATTCCAATAGATTGTTGGAAGACCTGGTCTCCAAAAACCACATAGATATTGTCAATCAGAAACTCAAGCATCTTTTTAATGTCAACTTCAGAGTACTTGTGTGAACAATCAGAATGTTTTTAACAAAATAATTTTGCAAATGACCAATGACAAGGTAAGTATATTTACGAGTTCCATTTTTATTGAAAAAGCAGCTGTCAATGATATCAAAGTCTTTAGTTCTTCAATAGAATTTTAAAGACGCCTAAAATGAAATGATTTACCTGATACCATTGATATAAACATTAAATCCATAAGTGGCCTCGTGAAATAACATGCTTTCCATTATAACTTCCCCGCTTGGCTCTACTTTACGTTCTACCGTCTCACACTTCCACACGCCGTACATTGGACATTCTCTTAGCCAGTGATTTGCCGCCTGGATCAATGTACTGTAAAATTGAAATGTTCACAAAGAGTGAAAATTTTAGGAACCTAGATCAGACATGTAATGATTATAATTCAGTTGACATAACCAACAGAATGAAATAATTTATCATTACCTGAACTTGTCGTATTCTGGTGGAACTTTCCCTTTCATATTTCCTGGGTGAAGACATCGAGGCATTATATCAATGTAAGCCAAGGGCGGTAACTCCTCCTTAGATACATCAGTTTTTGCTGAAGTTTGGGCCTGGTGGCCCATGATTTCCTCATATGAGGGCGGTGGAAGGGAGTTGATGACTTCTTCTGCGGTTACTATTAGTGGTGGCAAATCCATTCTCAGATTGAACTAACTCGATACTGGTTTATTTGATGAGAAGGGAATGTTGAAAACACAATTTGGGTTCTTCGAAAGTCTGTTTACCGCGACCAGACCAACATTTCATTAATATACAGGTCCTCCTCACGTCCAACAAACTGGAATATTTCATTCGCTCTTTTCTTCAACATGTATGAAGAAAACATTGAATGGCAGCAGTATTGCAAAATTGACCAAAATAGGACATTTAAATCAATAAACCTTGTTTCCTTTATGGTTTCCTTGACGTATTAGGGGAGTTTTCAAAGGCATTTAAACGCTACGAAAATTCGATCTGCACATAGACTTGTTTTGTTTAGGGATTACTTGAGCATATCGAAGCGGGTTTAATTATTATTTATATTCTAAATGTAATTTTTTTTGGTCACATAATGAAACTCATTTGTGTCCAAGTTTGAAATTCATCTAATTTTTTCCTCTCGAGAACATAGTGGTTAAACTACAATTTAATTTTAAATCTCCAATACTTAGTGTATTTTTACCCAAAGATAAACATACACACACAAAGTTTTGTCACCAAATCTTTGTGCTTGTTGTCAATTTCACCTAGCTTGTGACATAATTTGATACATGTTGCTTTAATCTTCTAATCAATTCTCATTAATTAATAAATTAAATAAATTAGTTCATTCTTAACATTTTAACATACATGTATAATTTCATTTTGGTTTTCAAAGAACATGAAGAAGAAAGATGTAATTATCTATGGCTCTTATATTTGTAAATAATTCATCAACATATTGATTATACATAATTCGTTTTTGTTCATTAAACATGTACACGTCAAAGACAGAAAACGCAGTTTATCCATCTGTATGTAGAGTATTTTATCATATAAAGAAATTGTTGTATTATGCAGCACCGTAAAGATTCTCTCTCTCTCTCTCTCTAATAAAAACACTACAGTTTCAATAAATAAGAGATAAATTAATGCAATTGTTATTCCTCATATGAACATTTGAAATAATTATTTCTAAAAAATTTAAAACTGTGGAGAATGTTTGCATAATGATTTATCTTAGTCAGAGATATTCAGTGAATACCTTTGAATCTGATAAAAAGAAAAAAAAAACATTATTGTCGAAGAAAGTCCCACGCTCAACATTTGATACCGTCTATGCATCTTTCTTTCATAAGATGCAAATTAAGTACAGTAATTTAGTTGGCAGATAAGTTAAAGTCATGACAGCCTTGCTTTACTGGATCGTACAGGTAGACGACGGTTTCATGGAGGGGTCCCAGGGGAAGGCAGGAGGAAGATAACACGGGTGGGGCTCCTGGTACGGATTAAGAAAGTAAACCCTGCAAATATGATAAAATACCGTAGATACATGCACACCTGAAAGTATACTTTAAAATACTTTTTTTGTGTACAGCTTTTCAAATATAACTATACCTTTAGATTAGCTTATTTTTTATTGCTATAAATCTACATGTATATATTTTTTCTGTAATTTGTAGTTTTTGTACCTGACCGCTGTGACGTAATACTTTCCTACTCCTTTGAAGGCTGTATAGTACGTCCTTGTAGCATCTACTCCTAACTTCAGTGGTTCTCGATACAGAAACTTGACGGTTTCCACTTTATATGCAGGAATACCTATAAGTAGAGATGTCTGACGTAAAATCCTTCTATAATATTATCTTCTGCAGATTCGTTTGAATCTAAGATAAGTAGTGAGTACAGATATTTTGAGATTACCTGTGACTCTAAGCCACGCTTCAATACGGAACATGGTCTGTGACATTGATTCAAATGACCTCTCTCCTGTCCTGACCGGAAGGAATAACCGTGACGTAATGAAGCTGATTTGTTGTGGGGGTGCAGTGCTGGGCGCTGTCACGTAAAATACCCGGAGTGTTTGGAGAAATGACCTGTCTGACATTCCATCGTCAAAGTCGTCTGTCAGATCCGAGAGGATCTCAAGTTGTCCTGTGATACGGTAGAAAGTTCGAATCAATTCAGTTAAACAATTCACTGAATGGCGGATACCTGATTAATTACAGAATATGACCTTACCAAGTTTCTCTGTATAACGTACTTCATGTAACTGAATGTTGACCAACTTTATACCCTGAAAAAGTTTATCCAAATTGAAAAAAAAAATACTGTGGTATACATTATCAATTATTTATTTGGGGACACCTGTCATATATGTGTCATATTTCATAATAATATGCTTTACTTACAGTCTGATGTGGCAACCATTTATTGAATTTTGTCATGATTTCTTCGAAATTCTGAAACTGTGCGTGAGTAGCTATATCCGGTGGTTTTGTAATGCTCGGGATAAATTCTTTCATACCTAGTACGAAAATAAATCATTATAAATATGTTAAACGCACATTAAGCAAAAAAAATGTTCTTATTTACTTCTTTCACAGGATGAAACTCTGCCATTCAGTGAACTGAAAGGTGACAAAGTTTACTGAAAGGTGATTGAATGGCAGAGTTCTGCCATTCAGTCACCTTTCCAGACCTTTCGGTGACCATTCAGTTGACTGAATGGCAGAGTGTCATTCTGTGTTATTTGCTTGTATATATATATTTCTGTTACGATTCACCCCTAAACATTTTTTATTTAAAGAAATAGGGTTTTCAAGTAAAGAAGTAAGATTAACCTATGGTTTCATTTGCAGGTTCCCCGATGACGTAGAAGACACGTATAATTTGTGTGTACCGCTTCATTTTCCCGCCATTCTCATGACACACAGTATTATCAGAATCAATGACCGCTTTTTCCAGTCCCTCTGATACCTTAAGTGTGGCACTCTCAACATTCAGAATAGAACCTTGGTGAGTAATGAAATAAACCGATAAAAATATGGTTTAAGGCTAACACAAATATTTTTTTTTGTTTGCTCCTATTTAAGAACATTTTGAAAAATTATAATATTTATTTAGCTTTAGATTCATATGTTTATAGCTATAGTATAATGCTTCTCCTAGGTATTAAATCTTTAAAGTTTTCGTTTGCATCCAAACCTTGCAGTGGTTGTTTCTTTAAATCTTCATTTAAGCTGTGTAGGGTTTCTCGAAACCCCTGATATGTGGTCATGGAATAGCCGTACATTTGTAGAAATAATGGATGCCCTATGACAAACCCAGTAAATGGGTGATACACCTGGCCAGCTGTGAGGTTCACCTGAGTGGTTTCTGGGACTTTGTTTAGAAGTCCTAGTTGCTGTGGTGGTGTGGAGGGGTCTTTAACGTATAACCATAACCTAAAAAAGTCAGTGACAGGGCTATATTCTCATAACGTACATGAAGACATTAATGAGAAAGTATAAATGTGACTGGGGGATCTTTTTTTATCAGTTACATATTTCTTGTCGCATTTCAATCAAAAGCTGCATTCAAATTAACATTGATGAAAAGACACATTTCTTAAAAATATCGTTTTGCTAGAAAATTATACAGAATTAGTATAGATAAAAATGTTGCGTTTGAAACAAAGATTATAAATATGACTTTTGTAACAAAAGAATTCCCTAGCTTTCTTCTCTGATAAGGACACTGTTATAGATATGGAGTTCCCTACCTTAGCCCTTTGATGGGACTTATAAATATGATGTTCCCTACCCTAACCCTTTGATAAGGCTCTGATGAGGACGTTGGTATAGATATGTAATATGACGTTCCATACCTTAGCCCTCTAATGAGGACGTTGTTACAGATATGACGTTCCCTATATTAGCCCTCTAGCGAGGACATTGGTATAGATATGACGTTCCCTACCTTAGTCCTCTGATGAGGACGTTGGTATAGATATGACGTTCCCTACCTTAGCCCTCTGATGAGGACGTTGGTATAGATATGTAATATGGCGTTCCCTACCTTAGCCCTCTAATGAGGCTGTTGGAATAGATATGTAATATGGCGTTCCCTATCTTAGCCCTCTGATGAGGACGTTGTTATAGATATGTAATATGGCGTTCCCTACCTTAGTCCTCTAATGAGGCTGTTGGAATAGATATGAAATATATGGCGTTCCCTACCTTAGTCCTCTAATGAGGACGTTGGTTAGATATGTTATATGGCGTTCCCTACCTTAGTCCTCTAATGAGGCTGTTGGAATAGATATGTAATATGGCGTTCCCTACCTTAGCCTTCTGATGAGGACGTTGGTATAGATATGTTATATGGCGTTCCCTACCTTAGTCCTCTAATGAGGCTGTTGGAATAGATATGTAATATGGCGTTCCCTACCTTAGCCTTCTGATGAGGTCGTTGGTATAGATATGTCTAATGAGGCTGTTGGAATAGATATGTAATATGGCGTTCCCTATCTTAGCCCTCTGATGAGGACGTTGTTATAGATATGTAATATGGCGTTCCCTACCTTAGTCCTCTAATGAGGCTGTTGGAATAGATATGAAATATATGGCGTTCCCTACCTTAGTCCTCTAATGAGGACGTTGGTTAGATATGTTATATGGCGTTCCCTACCTTAGTCCTCTAATGAGGCTGTTGGAATAGATATGTAATATGGCGTTCCCTACCTTAGCCTTCTGATGAGGACGTTGGTATAGATATGTTATATGGCGTTCCCTACCTTAGTCCTCTAATGAGGCTGTTGGAATAGATATGTAATATGGCGTTCCCTACCTTAGCCTTCTGATGAGGTCGTTGGTATAGATATGTCTAATGAGGCTGTTGGAATAGATATGTAATATGGCGTTCCCTACCTTAGCCCTCTAATGAGGACGTTGTTATAGATATGACGTTCCCTATCTAAGCCTTCTGATGAGGACGTTGTTATAGATATATTTATATTTCCAATAAATTTCCCGTATGATTCTTTACAATATAGAGTACAGTTCATTTTCTCATGAACTACCATGAATGGGTATGAATATCTGCTTTGTTACGTCATAATACCGCACTTGACGTCAAAACTATAGTGCAAACTGTTTTGCTTTAAAAATGACAAATGAATGGCGTTAATTGTTGCAAATCATCAGAAAAATAATGTAAATGTAAAAAATGAATTTAATTTTTGAAAATTCATGAGGTTCATGAACTACAACGCTTCATGCCGGCATATTTATCATGAAGCGCTAACGCGCTTCATGAATTATGCCGGCGTGAAGTTAAATGACGTTCCCTACCTTAGCCTTCTGATGAGGACGTTGTTATAGATATGACGTTATCTACCTTAGCCCTCTAATGAGGACGTTGTTATAGATATGACGTTCCCTACCTAAGCCTTCTGATGAGGACGTTGTTTTAAGAAATGAATTTAATTTTTGAAGATTCATGAGGACATGAACTACGACGCTTCACTCCGGCTTATTTCATGAAGCGCATTAGCGCTTCATGATATATATGCTGGCGTGAAGCGTTGTAGTTCTTGAACCTCATGAATCTTCAAAAATTAAATTCATTTCTTATATTTACATTATTTTTCTGATGAGTTTCCACAAGTTATCCCATTCAACTGTCATTTTTGAAGCAAAACAGTTTGCACTATAGTTTTGCCGTCAAGTACGGTATTATGACGAAACAATGGAGATATTCATGCTCATCTCATGGAAGTTCATGAGAAAATGAACAATCTTCTAATTTGCAAATAATCTTAAGAAAAAATACTTGGAAATGTATATATATAGATATGACGTTCCCTACCTTAGCCCTCTGATGAGGCTGTTGGAATAGATATGTTATATGGCGTTCCCTACCTTAGCCTTCTAATGAGGACGTTGGTATAGATATGTAATATGGCGTTCTCTACCTTAGTCCTCTAATGAGGATGTTGGTATAGATATGCAATATGGCGTTCCCTACTTTAGCCCTCTGATGAGGACGTTGGTATAGACATGTAATATGACGTTCCCTACCCTAGCCCTCTAATGAGGACGTTGGTATAGATATGTAATATGACGTTCCCCACCTAAGCCTTTTGATGAGGACGTTGGTATAGACATGTAATATGACGTTCCCTACCTTACCCCTCTAATGAGGACGTTGGAATACGTATGTAATATGTCGTTCCCTACCTTAACCCTCTGATGAGGACATTGGTATAGATATGTAATATGACGTTCCTTACCTTACCCCTCTGATGAGGACGTTGGTATAGATATGTAATATGGCGTTCCCTACCTTAGCCCTCTAATGAGGACGTTGAAGCCATAGGTGGACTCGTGACATATCATCTTATCCATAATTATCTCTCCGTTGTTTTCTACCTTCCGTTCTACTGTCTCACACTTCCACACGCCGTAACTGAGGTTTGCTCGGAGCCAGTAATTAGCTGCTCCCATCAGAGTACTGTAAGCATCAAATATTTAGTAACTGTTCAGTGATATTGTTTAACACTAAAAGTTTAGTGCGGAATTTGGTATTCTCTACAGTTTTGAATTCTGTTTCCAAATCATACAAAGAAGTACAGTAAAACTTGCTTGTAAGGAGGTCCTATGGACCTCAATTACTGAATTTTTATAAATCCTTTTAAAAAAGTTTTATCATATAATGGATAGTGAAAAGATATTGATTCCTTTTAACTGAGATTTTCTTATATCTCGTTTCTTTGAAAAAGAGTTTTACTGTATACAATCTAAAAGTGCGAAGAAAAGAATATTAAAGTATACAAAGTCTATTTCAGAACATTCTTCAATTGCTTCCATGTCTATAACATAGTATACCTAAATCTGTCGTATTCTGGCGGAACCTTTTTCCTCATGTTCCCCGGATGAAGACACCTCGGCATGATGTCTATGTAGGCTAGCGGAGGGAGTTCCTCCCGGGGCACATCAGCCTTCACCGAGGAGAGAGCTTGATGCCCCATCACCTCCTCATAAGACGGAGGGGGCATGTGTACGTCCACATACTGAGGAGTTACTGGGGACTTCGACATGGTGTGTCAGTGGGGAAGCTGTCCTATTGAGGATCTACGAACGCAGGATCATCATACGTGGATTTTGTTGAAGAATGTTTAGAGCCACTCAAAATGGAAGACAGTTTTGGGTCACAGTATGTATTTAAATATGTTATAAGTGACGAGCATTTTCTGCGAGACTATTTAAAGTTCCACTGATCAAGTAAACACGAGTAGATCAATAAATCGATACTCGGTTCATTGGATTGCTTTTAAAAATCTAGCTGGAAAATCGTGCCTGTGTAATTGGTGAAAATTAAACGCTTTTCCTATATTCAAAAACACTATAGAAGGTTTATCTTGACATGGCTTTACTCTTTGTCATAGATATACCGTTATGCATTGTAAGAAGAAGTATTAAAATATATTAAGGTATCACTAAGAAATCACCAGAAGTCATAATCATACAGCAAAATGGTTGAGAAACTTATGAAAGATAAAATTATTGACAGAGCAACAAAATATATTGTTGTAAGTCTTTAATTTTTGAAATTGTTATAACTATTATCCATGTATGCTACAGGTAAAACAAGGGAAAAATAACCATTAACTTTCACTTTTAGAACAATAAATGACTCATGATTGCCTTAATATTTTATTTGTAGAAACACAATTCTAGTATATTTTGTTCACTTGATGCAAATATGCGCCATATTCTTGTAATATTAAAAACGACACCAGTGGATGTGAAGACATCGTTGTTTTTGAACCTGATGATAAATTTCTTGGGCAATCAGATTTTGGAATGCAGTTCGCAATTAGCAATTCAAAAGTGAACTGCATTCTAGAACGAATTTCTTGCTCAAAATTCTTCACGTTATATGCATGAATATAAAATGTGTCGCATTATGAATTCAAAACTACTATTGACATGCATTGCATCTGGGAAGTATTGTGGACTCAAAATATTCTAATTCATTAAGACATTTTCTTGTCCATAAATGAATAAAGTATTAAGAGAATTGTAGAGTGTCAATCTCTTGCCCAGTAATGTAAGACAGGCATATTAATAAGCGTAGAAATGAATCCATTTTTAAGCATTGAGTGTATGTGCATTAATGGCCTGTAGATGACACACATATATATGACATCCTTCTGAAAAACCAGCCGCATGACAAAGAGAGACAAAGAATCACGTGCTGGAAAGGTAAGTTCACTTAGTTCTAATCCACGGATATATCAGGTGCTGATGAGTTCATAAAATGGGGTTGATTTTTGTAATGACAAGACGTTAACAATCATAGGAAATATATAAGAAAAACTAATTTATTGTTAATTTTTTTCTAATGAAGAATGACCGCGTAAACCACATCCCAATATCTAAATCTCATTAATGCTTTGTTAACTTTTTTGTGGTTCTGGTAAAAATGACAACTCCATAGTCTAATGGAAAAGACATTAAACTGACATGTCAGTTTTTGTTGTTCACGAAGTCTGGTCAATCGTTCCTTTCTTTTAAGCCAACAGTACACGATGTGACTTCCTTGTGAAGAGAATCCTTTTAATAAATCAACATACAATCTTTAAATGGATGGGGAACATCCATCATTTTTACGTTTATTAAGCAGGAACACTAAATGTAAAATAGAGCTAGATATAATTTATACAATGAATACTACATCATAGGGTAATCTGGAACCAGGAGGGATACCTACTAGGATCGATACAATAACTAGAAGTAAGTAGGCACTTTGTATGAAGTAACTTGATATGTTTGATTCCTTTTGTATTCAGAAATGGAACGCCTTCTGTAATAATATTTTCATGACTTTGAAGATGCATGCATATAAATTATTTGTCAGGTATTAAAAATCAGTTTCACATGATGAATAATTTAATGAGAAAAACTGCGGAAGATTTTGTCATTACGTTATTTAAAAATAATAGCGGTAGAGATAAATAAGAACATAAAAATATTTCTAAAAAAATATTTTTACAGCTGAGAATAACAATGTAATTCTTTGTTGAGTTGATTCATACATGTACATAAATATTACAGAACCGGGATTTCAAATTAAAATCGAAACTTTAATCAAAGGCAACTTGAACCATTACCATTGTATTCTATTTACAGATTCAGTATATGTCTTTACAATACAGTCATGGTGAGGCTAACCCCTACTTCGATATTTTTCCTATGGATTTCGTTGGTGGCCACTAAGTCTAAGGCATTAATTCTTCCTGCATACAACCTTAGGTCCGCCTCTAACCATAAAGTTATGTCCCTTTCAGGAGCCACAGACGGAAAGGCGGTGTTGGTGGCACAAGAACAGCCACTTTCTCTCAATGTCTGTATCAGAAAGCGGTCCATGGTGAGGCTTGACAATGTAAGGTTCTCTAATCATAATTACTCCACCTTCTTCAATGTGACCTTCAATAGTGGAGAATGGATGGGGACGTTCTACGTAAGGCCTGATGAGGATTGGAACAGGTTCAAAAACACGGGAATATTTCCTCACAGATACATCCTGGAGCCCGGATGGCACGTCGTCAAGATTTACGTAATGGATTATTTCGGCTACACAGAAGGTATTGCTGTGGATACTTTACAGTTTAGTGTAGACGATCCATGGATGGACAATGATATTTTATCATGCAAAACAATATGCACTGAGAAAAATAAATTCCCCGTGAGATTTCCTTCCTCTTCTGTTGATGCATTGCCTTCTGGGATAGAACAGAGATCGTTTCCGACTCAGTGTGCAGAAGTTGACAATGTTGACATACCCCTATACAATGCTCATGTTGACAGCTTTACGATAACGGCTTCACTTCCTCAGTATAAATCCTTCTCAAACAGAAGAGAAGAAAACACCACAAACTGTCCTCACTTAAGCCCAGAACTATGGCGATTCGATAATTTTAACGTAAGTTCCTCCTCTACCGAAATTATTAATAATAAAAGCGCCAGAATGTCATTTTATTCAACTTCTTCAAACGAAGTTTATATCATCGTTCGTTTCTTTTTGGAAGGACAAAAGAAAGGTAGTGTGGATGCAAAAATTGGATCGTTGTTGACTCTTCAGTTAAAGGACCTCATAGCTTCAACGATGATTAAATTGCGATATAAAGAAAAATGGGGGAATCTGTCGTTACCAATTACACATAATTTCACACATCAGAATCTACAATATACATGGACAATCCCAGACTTTACCTGGACAGAAGACAGTCTTAATTACATCATTTTAACAGCAGTATCAGAAAATCTTGCCCTTCTGGTGAGTAATCTGCGTCTAGAAAAAAGAGCATTTAAGCCTGAGAAGCATGTAACTATCTACAAGAGTGACGATGTACATATTGTAGCGGTTTATGTAGAAATGTGGTGGCTAGCCCCCGACAGAATGACTGTATACCTCACTAATGGGCAGACATACAAAGGTGTTGCTTATCTACAAATCTACAGACCGATTCCATGGAACAATGGGTATTCGCAGGTTCTTGTGTTGTACCAAGACGGAAATGCCCGATTTATTCCGGTGACTCCTGAAGGACTTGACTGGATCCCCTTTGGTACATCCGTTATTCTTGGGCAAACGTACAGTGATTCAATAAGACCTTACACCTCTATAAAACAACTTAATATAGACCCAGAGAGATGGACAATGCGCATCTTTTATAAAGATGGTGGTTCTTTGGTAATGAAAATAAATAGTACCTATAGTGAAACCCAAGCTCATGTGTCCGAAATTTTCTTCACAAGGGACAGGTATACACTTCCGTTTGCAACTGTACGGTCAATGTATGTTGCTGAAGGAAACACTGATGTAGACAGTGTGAAAGTTGACGATAAAGAGACCTATCATATAATGGATCAATGGGGATATGTACAGGGAAGAAGCTTTGCATTTTATCGCAGCTGTATATCTAGACACTTAACCCTTAGTCCTGATATCCAAATTGATGTATTTAAAACCAAAAAGTCGTGAAAGAAATCAAAACAAATCCCTAGATGCCAATAATAACTAGGACATAATGTTTGATGATTTTCTGAGATTAATACTCAGTATTGGAAGCCAGTACTATTTTCAATTGACAGCATGATACGTGTACATGATAATTATTTTATCTGCACTCAACTTTGACAAAAAGAAAACAACAATGATTGTTGTACAGATCTTAACGAACCTCTCAAGGCACAAATTTTCATGTGATTCTGTCATTGTCCATATCTTCCTCACAGAGTATCTTAATATTGTGATCGATACTTTCACTGAACGGATCTTAACATTATGGTTCTATTAATGAAAAAAACTTTCGAATCATGATCACATCAGTGCATGTGGAAATCTTATAACAGAGACCTTATCATCGCACTTCCTGTCACATCATGATCCTATCGAGGTCCAGAGGTCCAGATGTTTAAAGACTTCCTGTCACATGATCCTATCGAGGTACAGATGTTTAAAGTGAGACTTCCTGTCACATGATCCTATCAAGGTACAGATGATTAAAGTGAGACATTATCATTGTACTTCCTGTCACACCAATGTGATCCGATTGTTCAAATGATCTATCAACACTGTGGTCTATAGAAGATATGATCCCAATATTACGATCATTGTGCAGACATTGAGCTAAACATTGTACGCTTCTTAATTAACACAGTGATTCTTTCATTGAAAATATTTTAACAATTGTACAGTTCTTAACAGTGTGATCATATCATTTGATTGTATACTCCATGATCTTTTCAAAGTACAGTCTTTCAGATCACAATCCTATCAATGTACGTACTTCACCCTATGATCCCATTTTCATACAGATCTTAACTGGGACCCTCTCATTGTACAGATCTACTGTATATACTCGCCTTTAAGTCGGTTTTTTGGGAGTGAAACTTTGGTCCAAAAATCTTTGTCCGACTTATAGGCGAGTTATAAAAAGATTGGTATTTTAGAGGGTCAAGTCCTCTAATATAAGCTTAAAAAATACAACCGACTTAAAGGCGGACCGACTTATATGCAAGTATATACAGTAAACACTGGAATCCTCTCATTGTACAGATCTAAACACTGGGATTCTCTCATTGTACAGATCTTAATACTGGGATCCTCTCATTGTACAGATCTTAACACTGGGATCCTCTCATTGTACAGATCTTAACACTGGAATGATCTCAATACTTATTGTACGGATCTTCACATTGTGATCCTCTCATTGTACAAATGTTCCTATAATTGTACAGATCTCAACAATGGTATCATTGTATATTGACCTTTAGACTGGGGTCCTATAAAAAATAAAAGACATTTACACTGTGATTCTATCATTTGATTGAACACACCATAATCCTGTCAATGTACAGCTTTACACGTAATCCTCTCAATGAGCAGATGAAAAAGGTTGAAGATAACAAACAGTGATTGATCGCCAAAAAACCTACAAACAATACAGATCTGTGTACAGGGTATTGTGATCCTACCATTGTACATATCTTATTGTGATCCTATCATGTACAGGTTTTACTGTGATTATATCATTGTATAGATTTAATTAACATAATCTTACTAAGGTACAAATCTCATACCGTGTAGAACTTTCTTGTGCCTTTAAAAGAGATTTTAGATCTCAATATCTTTTTAATGTAGCTTGTCAAATAAAGTAAACAATGACATGGGTTTCTGTTGACTTTAATAGTTATATATTAAAATTAATCATATTACATTACATTATTACAATGAATGCATTTATTGCTTATTAAGCATTCTTATCATCTATATATGATCTTTTATACTAACTAAGATTTTATTTAAAATTTCCATAATACTTACAGCATAATACCACCCATAAAAATCTGATAATTAAAAAGTTGTCTAAATTATGCATACAAAATAAATCACTGTTAAATTTACATGATTCCAAATGCAAATCAGAAAAATAGGCTATCCATCAGATCCTTTAAAAAGAGCTGCAATATTTCCATACAAAAATAATTGATTGATAAAAACAAACTAAACTTTGGTACATTGGCACTGGACTAGCATTAATATGTTTTACAGTTAAATAATCATCACCATGAGATGATATGTTCTCCAAATCACATTAACAAGATATATATATTAATGCTAGTCCAGTGCCAATGTACCAAAGTTTTATATACATATGCTATCACAAAGCAACTTAGACAGTTCACTACAACTTTACTTTTCAGGTTTAAAAGCACCTCAAAGATATTTTTGATGATCCACACAGAGTAACATTATTACTACAGATCTAATAATTCAGTAGAGCATGGTCAACGAGGTAAGTTGCACAAAAGCAGAAAAGAATGCAACAAGAGGTACATTACATGTACATCTGAAATCTATGGCAAAGTGTCATGAATTTCTTTGGCACTTTTCACCTAGTTCTTCTGTGACTTCACAATTATGGGAACTGAAAGAATCATTTAATAGAAACTACAACTCAGAGTGATCATATAAAATAGTTGGTTATTCACACAAACTTTAAAAAAAAGGGGAAAAAAGGAAACTTACTGATAATCACAAGGTAAACTTACTAATAATCAAGGTAAACATACTGATAATCACAACTTACTGATATTCATGGTAAAATTACTAATAAAGAAAGGTAAACTTATTTATAATCAAGGTAAAATTACTGATAATCAAGGTTAAATTACTGATAATCAAGGTAAACTTACTGACAATCAAGGTTAAATTACTGATAATCAAGGATAAATTACTGATAATCAAGGTAAACTTACTGACAATCAAGGTAAACTTACTGACAATCAAGGTAAACTTACTGATAATTACAAGGTAAACTTAGTGATAATCAAAGTAAAATTACTGATAATCAAGGTAAACTTACTGATAATCAAGGTAAACTTATTGACAATCAAGGTAAACTTACTGATAATCAAGGTAAACTTACTGATAATTACAAGGTAAACTTACTGATAATCAAAGTAAATTTACTGATAATCAAGGTAAACTTACTGATAATCACAAGGAAGATAATGAGGATAATCACAACCAGTGCTATCTTCATCTGAAAGATTGGTACAAAGGGTTACATATGAATAACATCGCGGAAATAAGCTTTGATGAACTATTGGCATCTGCTTTTGTAAATTCCAATGATTTGCAAACAATATTAAGTGGAAACCAGAAATGTTAAGGCCCAAAAAAAAGGGTTTGAGGAAATATGTTTGGTGAATGTAAATAAACTTTGGTGGAAAGGATAGTGTCCTGGAAAGACATTTACATTGTTCATAAAGAGATTGAATGAATGCATCATGGCATAGGTCGTTGGATATAATGATAGGAGTCTGAAAAAGTGACATTTTCTGAATGTAGTCTACCATAGCAATTATTAAAATTTTGCAATAAATTAAATCCATGTCTTAAAATGAAGGTCAAAGATATAAAGTTCTGCGCTTTGAATACAAATAAAAACATGTTTTGTGATGTTAAAAAAAAATTCAATTTATAAAAATTCTCATTTTGTACTTATATTTTGATGGACTTGGTAAGGATTTCAGAAGTTTTGATTTGATTTAAAGGCATACAGTATGCCTTGTAACAGGAAAAGAAACTGACCAGTATGTATTTAATAACAGAAGTTTTACTCCCTTTTATATAACTATATGTCATTATTTTTAGATACGCAGTTAATGTACTGTTTTTCCTGTAAGATTCCTCTGTTATCATTCTTAAGAATTGCCCCGATACATGTAGAGATTAATATCCCCTGCCGACTGTCATACCAGCCGTGTGCTTGTCATGATCGGGCAAACAGAAAAATGCATTGACAACTCAGTGTTTAAATAATGGCTTAACAATTAGTATGAAAAATGTCAGTCAGCATTCAGCTTGATAGATTGTACTTGCTGACAAGGTCATTGTATCGACCATACAACTTGAAAAATGATGACTTTAAATGAGACTGTTCATATCCGTGTTTCATCAATTTGTTTGTCAATAGCTTGCCCCATTTTAGAAATTGTTCGATGTGGAGCATGCTCTTTTGTATCGAATCAACTGGGAGATATAAACCTCATATGCAGGTGATAAAGGTATATTGCTACATAAGTAAGGAAAATTGATGACAGAAAAGTTGAAGTCATCACGTTTATCATAATGCTTTGTTGTTAGGTTACCATTACCATATTTTTCTAGCAAAACATCCAAATATGAAACAGATGTGTCAGAATATGTGGTATCTTTTATTTTAGGTTCACTGGGATATATCAAGTCAACATATGAGTGGAAGTAAATATTGTTAATTGATAATATGTTGTCGATATATCTAAATGTTGAATTAAAGGCCACAGCAAGTGTCTTCTTCTCATGTATAAGTTTCTTTATAAATTCTGCTTCACATGAATACAAAAATAGATCTGCTAATAACAGGGCATATTTATTACAGATTGTTGGAAGACCTTATCTCCAAAAACTACATAGATATTGTCAATCAGAAGCTCAAGCATCTTTTTGATATCTACTTCAGAGTACTTGTGTGTACAATCAGAATGTTTTTTTAACAAAATTATTTTGCAAATGACCAATGACAAGGTACCTGGTAAGTAAATTTACGAGTTCCATTTTTATTGAAAAAGCAGATGTCTATGATGTCAAAAAGCTTGGACTTTAATTTATAGTGGGAAATGGTTGTATAAAGTGTTGAAAAGTCGTATGTTTTGATATTATTGATTTTGTTAAAATTTTGTGATTTCAAATTTTCTAAAAGTTCCTAGGAGTTTTTTTAGTATCTACATCTGATTTACACCTCTTCTCGAACATATTGTTGTACAGAACTCCTGAAGTTTAACAAACCCACTGAACAAAGACCCACTATACTAACATTAAAAATACATTTTTATGAAACAACATTCAAATTTTTCCAAGAAATATTTGAAGTCCATTTAGTCAAGGGTAATATCACAAACTTGATTTAAATGCCATTTTTTGTCATGAGTTTAGTAGGGTAGTGGTTAGCATGTTAGCTCAAGGAAAAATGATAATTTTTTTTTTTAATCATAAAAAAAAATGCTGAGAATTTTCGACAGAAAAGTTTTGTTTGTCATTATTTCATACCTTTTTAAAATAAGAAAGAAGGTACAGTTTTGACTTTATTATGCCCTAAAAATTTAATGTCTTCAAAAAGTTTTGAAACTGGCTTAAATATTAGTAGAGTATATGAATGTGATAAATCAGGAAAGAATACGTGACATGAAGGAGTACCATTTTGGAAATATGACGTCATAAAGAGCAAGAGCCACGAACCATCAAAAATGGCCCTGTCTCAAAAAGTAACGGGGTTTTGTCAATTGATAGTGTAGACTTTTAGCTTTTCTTTGCCGTTTTTCTTTTTTCGATATCGATTATATTTTTTGAAAAAGAGAGTTTGAAGTATGACGGTGTTTTAAAAGAAAAATGCTAGTAGAACGTCATTTTTTGAAACGTAACGTCGTAGGGCGGAAAAATTACCTTGAGCGATTTTACATATGTGACTTTGAATTAAAACTAGTATTAATTGGGATAGATATTTATTATCTTACTAATAAACTTCATAATTAATTTAAGACAATTAAGGACAGTTGGAAATTGATTTCACATCGCAGTCTTGATGGCAACTGCGTGTTTAACTGATTGAAATTTATAGATACATGTACAGTAAAAATAATCTGTGTTACTGTCTCGGAAAGTTTTCACTCTACCTGGTCCCTATGCTAATATAATTTTTAAGAAGGAAAATTGTATTTCTATCCCTTGAACACATTTTTGTGCGATGCATCGCTCCTAATTACATGTAAGTATTGAGTATTGAACATCATTAAAAAAAACAAACGACTTGCTTCAAATGACGATAGCCTGTCCAACTTAGTTTTCCGGACTTTTTCCTACACGCCTGCAAATATTAGCTGATCTTTGGAATGCGCGTCCAGGCACGAAGTTTGTTTTTCAAAGTGGCCTTGGGGAAGAGGGCAGTCAGAAAAAAAAATAACGAGATACCTGAAATGATCTTAAAACGAATGTTTCTAAACTGAAGAACTACAATGTAATTCAATAAATGGATAGAAGTAATTGCAAAAAAAAAAAAAAAAAAAAAAAAAAAAAAATTGTTTAAATGGAAATAGACTTTTAATGCGAAATTCTTAGATCCTTAACTTGCGAGTATTTTAAGATATTAAAGTTCTAAATGATTTGGAAAAAGGGAGGAAGTAAAAAGTTGGAAAGACTTGTTTCTAATCCCTTTATTCATTTAATTGTAACAATATTTTGAACGTCGTTTTCGAAACAGAGACATAGATTAATTGAAAAGGGGTGTCGCAACTTATCAGAATGGTTTATTAAGCAAACAAAACTCATCAAAACATTGTCGCCCTAAATGTGAGTTTCTTTGGAATAATATGGAATACATTTCCAAAAAAATATTCTTAAGAAAGATAAACCTGTTAAAAATCACTAATTCAAGGCTAAAGCAGAAAATAAATCAGCCCTGTTCATTATTTTATATTTATCGATATTTGCTAGAACCCCCCCCCCCCCTTCTCTTGCAAAATATTCGAATATTTCTCTCCCAAATATCTTAATTGCAAGGAATTTGTAAAGATAGAAATCTGCGAAAATTATATGATTATTTTTCATGTAAATGTACAAAATAATTAAACTTGAGCAAATATTCGTTTTTAGCATAAGTAACTATAGTGTAAAATTCCTACTTTCGATTTCATTGCACATAATGGTTTTTATGGTTTATAAAAAGAGTAGAGCTGCATTTATATTGCTGATATGTGCAGGCCCGTAGGAAGCAAATTCATTTGGGGGGGGGGGGCTCAGCCATACATTTTCAGTTGACAGTTGAGGAGGCACTACCAAAAATTTCCTGACAAGCAAAAAGAAAAAAAAAAGGTCATCAGACGTTTTTATTGAGGGGCACAAGCATATAGTATCTATGTTTATGATAGTAATCTATATATCGGCAAAATTATCACCCCCCTTCCGGTTCCTACGGCCATATGATGTGGGTCACAGTCATAAGTGAAAGACATGTACGGGTGTTCATTTATCCTTGTCTTATTGTCCTGCAATCAGCGCAAGAGTGATTTTATTCAACAAAATCTTGCTTAAAAAGGTAACACCCTCAGAAACAATAAGAGCTGTCCCTATATTTTCTTTTCAGTTTTCTTTATGAAATAGTTTTTGTACACAGTGGTGGCGCCGCACCAGGCACCCCTCCCCTTCTCACTGAGAAAAAAAAAATGAGAGGAGTAGGAAAGTATAAAGCAATTTTCAATTTCTAGATTGATTTCAATTAATAAACAATAAAGAAATTTAAATTCAAGACAACTTATGGGATTAAACTTTAAATAATTACATTAATTGCAAGTTTTGCTGTCATTAGTTTGTGACCCCCCCCTTTTTTTTCAACCTCAACTGGAAGTCTTGGATCTACCCCCCCCCCCCCCCCCCGATAAGTCCTTTTTACATATCATGACACTAATAATTAATTAATACTGAGGAAGGAGGTACAAGTGTACTACACCAGAATAAGCTGACAATAGATTTAAAAAATATTATTATTTCATGTATTATAAAAAAAAATCTACTTCATTGGGTATAAAATAACCAGTTATAAACAACTTACGCTCATACGTTTCAAAGAATATATTCTTGGTTTATTGTTTTGAGTTTTAAAAACATTTTAAGGAATCTCTCTCTCTCTCTCTCTCTATGAGATTTCATGGATAAAACAAAACTGCATACTTACAGAAATGGTGGCAGATATAAAAAAAAAATTAAGAGTAATTTATACGTAGTGTACTTTATTTTATTTATTTCTATTCTTTATTTTGTCTAAATAGATTTAAAACCATGCACTACCCCCAACTATCTGACGATCAGAAGCATAAATTATTTATATTGTGATAGTAACAATAAAATATTTGGAGCACAGTAAAAGATGCATAAACATTTTATACTGGATTTCTAAGACATACTCTGATATTTTTTATTCATTTTTGCTCACTGGGGTGTAACTGAATTATGTTTCACAAATGATGACAAAATCACTTATGTGTTATATGGACACATGCATCATCAATATCCTCTCTTCGAATTTATTAAATGCAGACATATTGACAAAATATATATGCTTTTGAAGCAGGATGGAAATTCACCCTTTTGTGTTACATGCATAAGAATCATCTCAGAGGATTTTTTAATAAATATACAGTTATTATATCGATAGCTTATATATGCTGGTACAAAAGAATATAGTTATAGTATATATGCATGTGTGTATCGATTCGGGTTTCGTCAAAACACTTGCACTTGATGAACCCGCGCCCGTGACCTAGATTCTGTTTAGCCGAAACGTAGATGATTATCCAAATGCGTTTTTTAATTCCTTTTTTTTCTTCAAATTTTCACTTTGCACAGCAAGCTATGTTTTTATTATTTCGTTTGTTTTACAGAGGTCTAGCGTGATATCTTTGCTACATTCTCTTTTAATTTGTTTACAATTTGAGTCATGTCTGTTAACACGCACAACATTATTAAACTTGTCGCAAGAATATCAAAAATAAATAAATAAAAATAAATATATATTTAAAAAAATGCTTAAATATAAAATTGTAGGTCTAATGGAACAGCTTTAAAATAGCAGGCATTGTGGGGGTGGGGGTGGGGTGGGTGTGTTAAGGGCAGTAAAGAAAACAATTTGGCGTGAATTTCTGATAATCAATAATCTGATGGTATCATCCAGTTGGGCTTAAATCATACAAATAATGACAGCATTCCAGAGCATAAAAACTTTTCAGCAACATTCCAAATAGTTTAGAGCCTTTATGACGTCATAACTGACGTATTATTAGTAACGTCATATATAATGGACCCATATGTATTCACAATAAAAAAAATGTTTTGCCAGATATTTATTTTAGAAAATGTTTATTCTTGAGGGTTTTTTTTCCACAATAAGCGTTTTAAACGAACAATAAATTGCTTTTTTCGCATATTTTGTGAAATTTATAATTTTTTATTGTTGTATGAATTAAATGTTAACGATTGATTCACAAATTAGTGATTATTTGATGCATCAAAATTTAAATATAAAATCAAATTTCATATTGGCCACACCCACGAACAACAACGATAATAAGCATAAAGATTTGTATCGGCAATATCTATATCTATGGTAAGTATAACAGTTGTTCTTGACTGTGGCCACAACTAACTTTGGAAAAATCTGTCGAAAAATCGGCATTTTTTAACGCTTTTATCACACCATCGCATGTTCCAACCGTCGCACGTGCCTAATGGCGCATTATTTAACAAAATAAGTTACGTATGGAAGATAAGTATGTTGTCCTCTAACATTTAATGTATAGGACTCTTGTTGAATCAAAACTTTATTTTTGTGAAAAACACAGGGCCAAATTTGATGGTTCGTGGCTTTAGCTCTTTGACGCATTTCTCTACTTAAAACAGAAAAAGCCTCAAAATGACCTATTTCAAAATTCAAGGGTTATTTTCCTTAAGAAAATAATGTCCACAGCCATCGCCCACTATAATTTTCGGATATGTAGTGTAAAATTCTTTGAAAAATCACATATCTCAAAATCTTTATGGGCGATGCCTGTGGACAATATTATCTGAAAGAAATTTCCATGGAAAATTGGTGTCTTCTGCAACTTTTTAAGAAAATACAGGAAAATGCACATGTTTATGATGTCACAAATAGCATATAGAAGGTCATGTGAGAAAAATGATTTGCAAGATCTTTCTACATGGAATTTCAATGATTCAGAAAGCATGAGTTTTAATTTTTTACATCACTTTCATTTTTAAGAAAAACACAGGGCAAGATTTGTATTGAAACTGTACCTTTTTCTTTACTGTAAATTCTAAATTCACAAAATGAATACAATTTTTATACTTTTGAAGCTGTAGGCATTTTGCATGCCTTGTTCGGCCATCTCCTTTGCAGGTATGAATTTTCCCAAAATTTTTTATCTTATTTCAATAAAAAGGTAAATTACTTAAATTAAAATTATAAGTATTGCATTTCATTTTTTAAAAGACCATGTTGAATTTCGACTTCACACTTTGGCATAATGTGCTCCATAAAAAATGCCTGTGTTCAAAGTCAAGTTTAAACTCTCATGAACTTTTTCAAAAATGATACACATTTCGTAATGGTACTAAATTTAGCTGCTAAAATGACAAAATGTTATCTCAGTTTTCTTACCTTACAATTTTTCCACCACATCTTTTTGTGAAGTCCTTTTGCACGGCTACGGAACATATCAGCATTACCAGCTAAACTATCTGCAGAATAATAAACCTTTTTGTTGTATCTAAAAGTCTGAATTGAATTTTCAAATGGTACTGGTATTAACATTTCACACATATTTCAAAAAAGCATCATACTGATAATGTGATTTATTATATTTATAAAATAGCTTACCATAAAGTGATATTACCCATAATTTTTGCATATTTTGATATGGGAGATGTGAATCAAAACTAAATATATCAAAAAGGCATTGCTGACAAAATTCTCATTAATTTTGATAAGTACATATATATATATCATTCTTTACCTATTAGAAGCATTTTAGTAAACAAAAATTTCTTGAAATTCAATATTTAATATGAGAAGAACCTGAATGACCATGTGACATTGTATCTAAAAATAGATGAAACATAACAATGTTTCATCATGAAATTCAACATGAAATTCAGCATGAATCACACTTTTTTTTCACAAAATACCAGAAATTGTGTCCATTGATAACTGAAGTTATTTCTGAAAAACTGTTTTCTGCTCCCATACAGAGTTTTTATTCTAGGGGAATTTAAAATGTTTAAATTTAATTAACTAAAATGAATTTTACCTGATTTATCATGCAAATCTTCCAATTTATCTCCCCTCTCCAATACTTTTGACACATTACTCTGCATTACATCCACAACCTCATGGACTTGGTTCTGCAATCTATAAATTATCAAGTCAGATGGAATGAAACCTTTATTTAGTGTGTATATGATGAAAATTCAAGTATAATTTAAACATTTCTAATATTTGTATCACTTCACTTTGTTCAAATTTTGTAGAATTATGTTGGGTGTGCACCTGAGGTTTAAAATCAATGGTAATACCCCTTCTAGCACTTCAGGTAAAACATATACATTGTATACCTGTCTATCTTTGGGTCACTTTTACTTCCTCCAGGTCTTACATTTGGTCCTCTGTGTACAGAAATGAACAATTCAGTCCATATACACAATTCAATATTTGCCTGATTATTTTCTGATTTTATATCAAAATTTACATTACCTACATATTGATGAAAAAAATTCTGGTATTTTAGAAAGATACAACAATACAGATTTCAGTTCAGATTTCAGAGTTCTCGGTAAATTTCACTTACGTTAAAAAGAAATCTTCATCATCACTTTGGGCATCAAGAAGGGATGTCTAAAATAAAGATAGATATCTTTTTGAGACAAACAGATCATAACTGTACAACAAAGATAATCATAACAAAAAAACTTGTTCAGGTCCAGCACAAGCTGATTGAGTTACATGGCTTGAAATAGGTATACAGCTTCATTTAGCTATTCAAAATAGCTTGATTAAGCTATTTTACTACATTTTTCTCTTAAATGTGAAGTTTCTCAGTGTGTAAAAAAGTTGCACTTATGTGTAGTGAAAGTTATAAACTTTGAACTCATCTGAAAACAATGCATGACAAAAACTACTCATCAAATTGTGTATCCTTAAGAGACTTCGTACTCCAAGTTCTGAAAGTTTTGGGCCATATAAAGCAATTGGTTTTTGAACACACATTTACTTCTTGAATGAAATTATAAAGGACTTGAAGGGGGTCAATATTGTGGTCAACAAGCTCATTGATTGATAATAATTCAGCACTATGTACTCATATTTAGCCATGCCTCACTGCACACAAAGTATGCACAGTTACCAAAACAATGGAATTACATCTTTTGCTTATAAAAGTGTTCAAAAGCAGCAAAATTCAAACAATATTTGAGTTGGATTATTTTTGATAGTCTATAGTACCAAACTATGAGTAGTCACAAAAGTATGTGACTCACATATACATGATACTTGCGACTTTTTGTCTACTTCAAATACTATTTCTTACAAATTAAAATAAAAATAATATTTATGAAAAAACTGTACTAGAATACCTTTATCAAATTATTTTGAATAGCTTAATAATCAAGAATAAAGAATATAATCATCCAAATGAAGAGATTGTGTTGGACCTGTAGTTTACCTTTTCATCCCTCCTTGCTTGACTGAAGTCACTGCCGGCTGGGTTTCTTACGAACTTGGGTGGCATTCTATTTTTCAGTTGCTCATTATATTAGAAAATATACTTTGGAAACAATTAAACAGGCTATGTATGGTTTACAAATTTCCCCTGGGATCTCTGTTTACGTCGATGATTTATCACCAGAAGTAGCGAATGCAGTGTTAATTCCAGATTTTACACACAACCCAAAGTTTTCCGGAAAATAATTTCATGTTTTTTAGTAGCATACTATAATAATTTTTACTCAGGTAAATCTTTATTATTTGCAAATAAAGATAATTATATTTTGTCAGAAAAAAGTAGATGTTTAAAAAAAAATTTAAAATCATGGCAAAATGTATATCTCAGTTCTAATTTTGAATTCATTCCTTATAATTATACTTCAAAATAAGTTGTCATTTATTGTTCTGCATCAAATTATTCTGCGTACTGTGTGCGTACAATGTGTGTATGATTAGAAATCTCTTTGACACTTTATATTCTCTATAAAGCTTCTTATACTGATTAATCACTCCTACACCTCAGGATGAACAGAAAATATAGGGAATTTTTACTGCCTCGCTAGTGAGCTAGCTTTTTCCAGTGATGCGGTTAAGCAACGGTGAGCCTGTATAACCCTTGGATGGGTGACCACTTCACGTTACACTGTTTTTACTATATCCATCTATCAATGACATGACCTTCGAGATATGACCTTGAATCAAAATCATGATATGTTCCAGTTAACAGATAAAATAATAATTAAATTAATAGTAAAAATTTACATTCAGAAGAAAGGGGCGCAGGCCCCTGTTTTATCAATTAATAAAACATGTAGCTACTTTCATTCATATGTCGATTCGATATATACCAGAGAACTCGAAATAAAAGGCACCACAGAGTCTGCCACATCTGTTTCATATTTGGATATTTTACTGACTATAGATGATAATGGTCAACTTACAACTAAATTGTATGACAAACGAGATGCCTCCAGCTTTTCCATTGTCAAATTTCCTTATTCATGTAGTAATATTTCGCTATCATCTGCATATGGTGTTTATGTCTCCCAGCTTATTCGATACTCAAAAGCATGCTCCGAGTCCAATCAATTTTAAACCGAGGCAGGCTACTGACAAATACATTGACTTTAAAGGAACTTCAACAACCTCGTTTAAAGTCAGCATTTCGTTAATTCTTCGGTCATTATAATGACCTTGTTAGCAAATATAACCTTTCACTGGGATGGATATATAAATACAAGACAGGAGAATCAAGTTTTTGTGCCTAATTAAGTGGCAAAAGTCATATCTGAAAAAAGGAAATGGCATTCTTTTTTAATTATACAACAAATATTTTATAAAATATATGTATAGATACATATACATGTATATATATTTGTCAAAGAAAGATATATGAGTAGCATTTAGTATTGAAAAAATGGACATGATTAAATGAATTATGCTCTTTTCTTTATATGCAAAATAAAATGAACGTCTGGTAAACTTCAGTAACAATGGGGAGAAACATAATTTTTATCTAACATATTTACAAACATATTTTTTGATACAAAAGAATAAATAAAAAAAATACACACACGATATAAAAATGGATATTTTGGATATAGCACTGATTTAAACTGAGACAATATATTTCATTTTCTGTACATAGCACTAAATACATTTGAGACACTATTTGATATATATTTATTTAAATCCTTCTTAATACTTCTAAAAAAATAATCAGATCTACCTCTTGGTTAATGAAAGATGTCTTCCACCTATAAGGGGACTTTTTATATAAAAGCACCATCATAATACATTTAATTTGTCATTTTGTTTTCACGGGCACTGGGTAATTTTATTATCACATCAGCACATTAGGCGTAGAACCCCCAGAGGAATATGGCTAATGTCATTAAGATAATTGCATTGACACTGGTCACCCACTTTTGAGTCTTCGTCTCGTGGATGGAGTTCTGTTTTTTCTCTAGAGCTTTTATCTGCTCTTCTGTCATTTCTATTGATTGCTCCATTTTCTCTACCCCACAGATCCACTGCAGGGCTGTCTTGTAGAATGGTTGTCCATCCTCCACGTGAGCTAAAACAAAGAAATAAATTTCATCTCCAAATATCTCTAGTTACATTATAAAAGAACAGTTTGTCTTCCGTCAGCTAACGAAGTTTTGATTTCTAACCACTGTGCTTATTTTTACCAAAGTTTGTAGTGGATGATATACTGCAACAAGTATTGATTAATTTTCACCACAATTTGTGCTGAATTGTACTGCGATTTATTTCCATCACAACTTGTACTGGACAATAATCCAGAATACCCGAGTTTTGCTTGATGACTAGTGATGTACTTCTATATTTACAACTCTGAGGCAGTTTGTTTTAGGTGCTATTCTGGTTAATAAGTGTTTATTTCTTTTCCCAACAGTTTATACTCGATGACATACTTTTGTTAGAATTTATTAAGAAGACTTACCAAAACTCTTGAAAGCCACTTTGTGTTTCTTTTCCAGTTCTTTCTTGTCTCTCTCCGCATCAATGTCTTCCCTCTCAGCCGTATCAAATCGACTCCAGAATGTCAGGCGATGGAGCTAAATGTATCAACAAGGGATATTGAAATGCTGGTAAGTATATTCCAGTTTCAATGGTTATCGATTGATTTCAATCAATGTTACAAAATCAAGTCGTGAGTTAATTTTTCTTTGCTCTTAATTTATTCTTTAGAGGACCTTTTTAATCTAGTATTAGTTTATATGTAAAAGATGATTCAGCATATTCTTCCACATCGAATTGTCTTAACGGTATTTCCTGTTTATGCTATATATGATCGTACATTTTATATATATATATATATATATATATATATATATATATATATATATATATATATATATATATATATATATATATATATATATATATATATATATATATATATGTGTGTGTGTGTGTGTGTGTGTGTGTGTTTTACTACTTATTTTATAGGTGTCACTGCCGCGTATACTTACATGTTTCTCTGGTATAGGAGGTGTGAGGAGACTGATGATGATTGTGCAGATGAAGACGATCCCGAACAAAATGATTCCAAAATGTAAGTAATGAACCTTACTGATGACATCCGGGCGCTCGTCTCCCGACTCCCCACAGGCCGGGACACTATAGGCGTACTCCCAAATAAACCTTGTCAGTCCCACCACCAAACCAATCATCAGACCATAAAATGCCCCCTAAACGAATACAAGTATAAATTATTAGCCTGATCATCAGACCGTAACATCCTTCTGAAAGAATATAAAGTATATTATCCTGATCATCAGACCGTAACATCCCCCTGAAAGAATGTAAAGTATATTATCCTGATCATCAGACCGTAACATCCTTCTGAAAGAATGTAAAGTGTATTATCCTGATCATCAGACCGTAACATCCTTCTGAAAGAATATAAAGTATATTATCCTGATCATCAGACCGTAACATCCTTCTGAAAGAATGTAAAGTATATTATCCTGATCATCAAACCGTAACATCCTTCTGAAAGAATGTAAAGTATATTATCCTGATCATCAGACCGTAACATCCTTCTGAAAGAATATAAAGTATATTATCCTGATCATCAGACCGTAACATCCCCCCGAAAGAATGTAAAGTATATTATCCTGATCATCAGACCGTAACATCCCCCTGAAAGAATGTAAAGTATATTATCCTGATCATCAGACCGTAACATCCTTCTGAAAGAATATAAAGTATATTATCCTGATCATCAGACCGTAACATCCCCCTGAAAGAATGTAAAGTATATTATCCTGATCATCAGACCGTGACATCCTTCTGAAAGAATGTAAAGTATATTATCCTGATCATCAGACCGTAACATCCTTCTGAAAGAATATAAAGTATATTATCCTGATCATCAGACCGTAACATCCCCCTGAAAGAATGTAAAGTATATTATCCTGATCATCAGACCGTAACATCCCCCTGAAAGAATGTAAAGTATATTATCCTGATCATCAGACCGTAACATCCTTCTGAAAGAATATAAAGTATATTATCCTGATCATCAGACCGTAACATCCCCCTGAAAGAATGTAAAGTATATTATCCTGATCATCAGACCGTAACATCCTTCTGAAAGAATGTAAAGTATATTATCCTGATCATCAGACCGTAACATCCTTCTGAAAGAATATAAAGTATATTATCCTGATCATCAGACCGTAACATCCCCCTGAAAGAATGTAAAGTATATTATCCTGATCATCAGACCGTAACATCCTTCTGAAAGAATGTAAAGTATATTATCCTGATCATCAGACCGTAACATCCTTCTGAAAGAATGTAAAGTATATTATCCTGATCATCAGACCGTAACATCCTTCTGAAAGAATGTAAAGTATATTATCCTGATCATCAGACCGTAACATCCTTCTGAAAGAATGTAAAGTATGTTATCCTGATCATCAGACCGTAACATCCTTCTGAAAGAATATAAAGTATATTATCCTGATCATCAGACCGTAACATCCTTCTGAAAGAATGTAAAAGAATAAAGATAAATGGTGAAGATAACGAACAGGGATCTCTCATAAAACGAATCGTGAACAGGGAAAACACGAACCTACGGAAACACCTACGGGGAGTAAGCATCCCCTGCTGACCTTTTACACCCGCTAAGAGCCTCGTATTGATCAAGTAAAGGGAGTCATCCGTAGTCAAAATAGTATAAAAACAATGGGCTAACAGTTGGTGGGAAACACATCAGTCAAAATACGACGTAACTAACCTGGTCACTCATTTGGAAAATGTAGGTCAGATCCAGCATCCGAAGCAAGCCCGAGAGTGTGCATCCCTAGATGTATCATCAATGCAAGTAAGGCCACCAAAGGGCTTATAGTTACATGTACCTTAGAATGAACCTGCCCCCAAAAACTTTAACTTGATCATTCATTCGGAAGATTAGGTCTGATCCAGCATCTTTAGAAGTATCTTTAATGCAAGTTTTGGCAACACAGTACTAATAGAAACTTGGGAATGAGACATTTGCCCAAAATTTTAACCTGCTCCAAAAACTTTAATCTGATCCAAAAACCTTACCTAAGAAAAACCTAGTCATTCTTTGGCTTAAAATGCAACATTTAAAACCTAATTAGTACAATGAAACATACTAGAAGCATCATCCATGCATCTCTGATCAATAAAGGGCATAGAAATCTGCCCCGAAAACTTTAACCTGGGACGCCGACACATGCGCAGTGGGCATTACTAAAGCTCCCTAACTTCATTGAGGTGAGGTAAAATAGGTCGGTTAATAAAGATGCACAATTAGTCCAAGTGGAATTCCAACAGATTGTTGGAAGACCTGGTTTCTTAAGACTACTTAGATATTGTCAGTAAGGAACTCCATCATCTTTTTAATATAAACACACAAGTACTCTGAATTTGATATTAAAAAGATGCTTGAGTTTTTGTTTGACAATATCTGTATAGTTTTTGAAGATCAAGTCTTCCAACAATCTGTCGGAATTCCCATGGCTACCAGTTGCGTCCGTTATTAGCAGACCTATGTGTGTATTCATATGAAGCAGAATTTATTCAAATCTTCTACATGAAAGGAAGAAGTCTCTTACTTTGGCCTTCAATTCAACATTTAGGTATATCGATGACATTTTATCAATAAGCAATATTCATTTTCATTCCTACTTTGAATCTATATATCCCTCTGAACTCGAAATAAAAGATACCGCAGAGTCTGACACATCTGTTTCACATTTGGATATTTTATTAGAAAAGACGTTAATGATAACCTAACAATAAAACTTTATGATAAACGTGATTTCAATTTTTCTATCATCAATTTTCCTTATTTATGTAGCAATATACCCTCATCACCTGCATATGTAGTGTACGTCTTCCAGTTGATTCGTTACACAAAAGCATGCTCTACGCACAATTTCTAAAATGAGGCAAATATTGAGAAACAAGTTGATGAAACAGGGATACCAATAGTCTCGTTTAAAGTCAACATTTCTCCAATTCTATGGTCGATACAATGACTTAATCAGAAAATACAATCTATCATTAAGTCGAATGCTGACTGACGTTTTTCATACAAATTTTTAGGCCATTATTTACACACTGAATTATCGACGGATTTTTCCCTTTGCCCGATCATGACAAGGAGCACACGGCGGGTGTGACCGGGCGACAGGGGATGCTTGCTCCTTCATGGCACCTGATCTCACTTCTTATGTTTTTAGAGTCCGTGTGTGTTCTGCTCCAAATTCCATCAGCCCGATCACTGGACCGAAAAACGCACCCACAGGAATATAAAAGGATAAATATAGTCAGTCTGACCACCGGCTTGATCAATAGACCGTAAAACGCCACCCGAAGGGACACAAAAAGATAAACCCCATCAGTAACATCAACGATCCGATCATTGTACTGTAAAACGCCCATTAACTATACCCAGCAGACCACACCTTTTACACCATAATTTGCACCTTTAAGCAATTTGAATTGAATAGTTTCCTAGAATTTTGATCATTTACCTGCTCAATTATTTCACTCGGCTATACCTTACAAATTCAGTCGTTCTTATCTTACTGGCTCATTTCTTACCGGTTCATTTGTTCTCTTCCAAAAGACGGCCAGGACATAGACGGCACAGACCGGGGGAGCCAAGAAGGAGGTGATGGCCTGGATATAATGAAACAGTTCTGACACATTCTGGACGATAGGGATCCACGCAATAGAGATACCAACCAACACCAATACACACAATCTGGAGAAAGAGAGAAAAGCCAGGCATATATATTTATGTCAAAATTACTCTTTACATTTCAAGAATTATAAACTCCATATACATTGTAAATATCTTTTAAGCGACAACAAAAATATAATTTCTCTATAAGAGGAAATTTATATATACATGTAATTATACAAATTGATTGATCAATGTAACGAACATACATAGAGTTGTTCATGTCAAGTAGAAAATCAAACACAAAAATTGAGAGAGAAGTTTTGATTACTGTGAATTGATGGGAACACTAAGAAGTTAAGATATAAATTCTATGCCTTTTTTCATTAACAAAACTTAAAAAATATTACTCAGTGACTTAAGATGAAAGGACTTTTCAATGTACCTTCCAACAATCATAAGCTCTACATCATTGGCATGGGTACGAATACGTTTGTAAATATCAATGGTAAAAATGGTGCTGGTACTGTTGAATATGGAGGTAAGAGACGATATAAGAGCGGACATCATCACTGACAGCATCAGACCCCTCAATCCAGCCGGCATTACCTCAATAACGAGGTCAGGGTAGGCGATGTTCGTACAACCGGAACGACTTCCACAAACCTTTTCACAAACTTCTGGTACTGCACAACCGACGGTGTCTGATTAAAAAACAAAGGTATTCTCTAATACACTAGTTAAATAGTACATAATTGTAGAAAGCCATATACTAGTAGATAGCTTTATTATTGTAAAGTTGAAATGAGGAATTGTACACTATATGAGGTAATTCTAAGATTATTTCATAATTGAATTACTGTAGATAAATATTTTATTACCTGGGAAGATGATTCTGGATATCATTCCCGGAAAAACGATGAGGAAAAGAGGTGTGAATTTCAGGTAACCAGCCAGAATTGTTCCAGCTTTGGCGTAAGCGATATTTTTTGCAGCAAGTGCTCTCTGGACAATAACCTTTATAAACAAGCCAATCATTTATGGTTAAACAGTTTTATATGCTGTTGCTTTTTTGTAAATAACCGAAAGCATAAAAACTTTGACATTGTTCATTCTTGACAAATGATTGTCTTTTCATTTATTTTCCTTCTTGCAATGTATGCAACTCGAGAAATAGACTCTTTAGAATTCGTTCATATATTTTCCGTTTATTTATAAGGATCTTCATGATGTGTTTACCTGATCAGAACACCAGTACCAGACAGAAGAGATGGTCAGACCAAACATAATGCCTGGCCATGGGAGAGAACCATCGTCATAGCTCCTCACGAGGTTCATGGAGTTTTCCGGGGGAATCCCACATTTCCAGTACGGATCGCTAGCATTCCCGTAATTCTGAAGAGTTGTATTGGGGTAAGCTTCAAAGTATCTTCTCACAACCTCTTCATATCCACCCACCCGAACAAAGCCTGTTCAAAAATTTAAAAAGTTCAGAAGACATCTGAAAAGAGAACTTTATTCTTGTATATATTATATTAATCGTTTGAATTTCAGTTTAAATTTCAGTTCAGTTTGAATTTCAAGAATTAAAATTCTTGAATGATTTTGTTTTTTAATTGGTTTTGTAATTAGCTCTAGGAAATCTTGTATGTCCAAAGTTTGGGTTAGGGTTCCTGACATGGAAAAAAACTCCATTAATTTTCACGTATTAATTTATTTGTTAAGGGTTCATTTGAAGACGACTAGATAATGTGTTTTAGTACTTACTCATAATCATGAGAATAAATGCCCCAATGGTCATGATGAAGACTTGTATGGAATCTGTCCATATTACAGCCGTTAGTCCACCTAGATAAAAACACGATGCAGTCAAAATACTTAAACATAACTTAAATCATGTTTAGTCCTGCATTAACGTCAATGTAAATATATTTACCAGTGATTGTAAACAGGGCTGCAATGATTAGTAGAATGATGATGGCGAGATAGAGATCAAAACCTTTAAATGTTCGTAAGATGAAAAGTGCCCCAGAAAACAAATCAGCCTGTAAAAATTAACAATCAAACAAATCAGCTTCTAAAAATTAGCAATCCGATTATCAAACAAATCAGCCTGTAAAAATTAACAATCCGATTATCAAACAAATCAGCCTGTAAAAATTAACAATCAACACATCAGACATGTATGTAATCAACTGTGTTTTCTTGCATACAAAGAAAAAAAAGATTGATTCATCCAGAATCATATAACAGCTTCAGCATTTACTGTGAACTTTCGCGTACACGTATAAATTTAATACATGTGTTAGATTTTAATGTATAGATTTAAAATATATACCCTGAAAATAAGACAAAAAATGTCTATTATAATGTCTTTTTTTTTTTTTAGAAAGTCTTCTTTCAATATCTGTATACTTACAGAGATTTTAGTGAATACATAAAGAAGCAGTGCCAATACTGACAGGTAAACACGGATTCTGTGACCACCAAACCTCTTCTTCAGGTACTCGGGCATTGTAAACACCTGGACACGTAAAACAAAAGTTTGTAAAGACATGCAGTTCAGAAGTCTACAACTAACACAAGATGTTGAACTTATAAATCTAGCTCCTCTCAAAAATTATTTGAATCAATGATTACTAGTATTAAATGAAACATCTCAGCCCAGTTAGTAAAACTGAAATTCAGTCAACTCAGTCTGGACACTTGAGATTTACTTCACGACTTGTATTATTTTAATGTAAAGTTGCCCATTATTGAACATGAATGATTTTTCACTATTACTGTATTGATTATTGTTGAATACCCAAACTTTGTTTAGGATTCGAAAAAATACTGCTTCATGTCACTTGACTCGATCCAATGACCTTGTCAGCAAATACAATCTATCATTAAGTCATATGCTGACTGACATTTTTCATACTAATTGTTAGGCTATTATTTACACACTGAATTGTCGACGGATTTTTCCGTTATTTCCCGATCACGACAAGGAGCACACGGCGGATGTGACCGGTCGGCAGGGGATGCTCACTCCTCCATGAAACCTGATCCCACTTCTGATATTTTTGGAGGTCCGCGTTTGCTCTGCTCCCGATTTGTATAATTGTTTTAATGGACTTTGAGCTTGAATACTGTTCGTTATCTCCATATTTCATCGACTCTAATTCAAATAAGAAGCTATCATGATATATAACTTAGTAATGAATCTACTTGAAAAAAAAATACGAAGATTACAGATAATATGATACATAACTTTTCAATTCATTGCGCTGAAACAAAGTCAACTGAGAAGTGAAAATTTATTCTTTAATAAATATTTTTACAGTTTATTTTCCTTCAGGAAAATCGATGAAAACTAAGTATTTTAGTTATTATTAACATAGTAATTATGCATAATTTTTTTTAGCGAGCTTAAATATGTGGTACGCGTATTGATAGAATATAAATTATGGTACATAGCAAATGTGATTGTAAAAAATATATACTATTTCTATAGTAACTACGAGATGTGTTTAAATACATGTACATGTATTTCAGAGACTTTTAAAAAAATTCTGCAAGTTTAGCCTTTAACACACCAATTTGTGTTGAAAGCTTTAATATACTGTGAAGTATCGGAAAGGTCGGTGTTTAAGGTACGGTTATTGTACAACATACTTTTAATTGACAGCTAGAGTGATAAAAAGTTGATGATCAGTTGATGCTTTGGTCAGTAGAGATTCGACATCTAACCACCTACTGACAGCTCTGGATAGGAAAAAGTTGAAGAGTAGTTGACGGCTTTGGTGAAGAGTGAACAACTTAACGCCAATTGACAATCTGAGTCAACAGTTGACGAGTAGTTGAAAGCTTTGGTAAAGAGTGGTCATCTTATCGCCAATTGACAACTTGAGTAAAAGTTGACGTATAGATGACTGCTTAGTACAGAGTATTCAACTTATACATCATCTGACAGCTAGCGTTATTGCCTAATGGTAAGTTGAAAGCTTTCTGTATGAAAATAAGTTTGATTATACAAATCCACCCTGTGGTCAATATGTTTACTGTCAATTGACGGTCAATGGAATATTCCGGCGGAGGTTTATGTCTCGGACTATTTTTTTTTTTAAATATGGATATCAGTTATTTAAAAATCAAACCAGAAGACCATCAAGTGTACATTTATAAATAGATAATACAACACAGGATTCAGCAACACTTGTAAACCCTTCGGCATAATTGTGCATGAGTGAAAAAATATGCTCTTTTTTCTAATTCTGTGTAATTATAAAGTCTTACAGAAAATATTACTTTTACATGATAGATTTCAGGATGCTTCTAGGGCAAATTTGTTCATCATAATGTTATTAGAAGATATTAGAATTATAAAAATCAATTTTCTAATAGACCTTGACGAATTTATAATACTGTTCCAAGCTGCTCTTTTTTACATGAAATGATAGATCAAGGGTATGTTGATGTAAATAAACTTACACCAGCTGCCACATACACGGGAACAAACAGCCATCCAAGTATCATTAAGATGAAGATAGCCTAAAATAAGAACGGAAAATTTTTAACAATGCATATTTTGAAAATCTACATAAAAGGTTTTAGATTTACTAAGTATCAGAGTAATTTTAGAAGAAAACTTTTTAATATTGATAAATATATTTTTAGGGGAAATGAATATATGTATAAATCTTTCTAAATTTACATTTAATTCGAAGACTGCCACGCCTATCCCGTTAGAGGCTCCAGATCCAGCCAGACCAACAAAGTGACCACTTCCTATATTACTGGCGAAAAGAGATAGTCCAACCTGCATCAGCAAAAATATCAAGTTTTTATAAACATTCAGCGCAGGTAAAATATACAGTGAGCATTTTTTAAATACAAATTTACAAATAATTAATTTAATTGAAGAGCATTAATAAAATGATAATACATTATAATGTTTGATATAGAGATGAAGATACAACTAGATTAATGCCACTTTGCACTGATTTCATATACATTTCAAGGTTTTGCCAAAAACTTGAAGCTTGCAAGCGTTTATTGTTTTGGAAGGTGAGATAGTGGAGGTAGTGTTTTACCGGTATCCAGTGCATGTTTCTTCCCGCCAGGAAGTAACCTCCCACGCTGCCTCTGTTCCTGCATGATGACTGTAATATAAATATACACAGTTGATAATTACAGGTGTATATTGACTCAGTACTTGAAAGACATGATTTTTTTAAATACAAATGAATGATTTACGGCGTATGATTTGCTTATACCTTTGTCGGTCATTCTTTTCTTGAACATACATAATTTTCTACATACATTCAGTATTATGAAATCTAATTCATATCTAAAATATTCCAAACCCCATAAGGTACAATGAAATAAATGCTGCAAGTCTTTGGGATAAAAGACGCCCCTCCCCCACCGCCAATTTAGTCTGTAAATCAAAGATTCGCAGAGTGCATAATAAACTAAAATTGATGATTGTTTAGATTTTATGCTTTTATTTTATTTTTATTTGAATTTCATCTACAAATGTAATAAACATAAAAATAATAACTAATTTCAGATTAAATTCAAACATTGACGATGTTTTATCAATTAACAATGGTTATTTTATTCAAATGTCGGTTTGATATATCCCAGTGAACTTGAAATATAAGACACCACAGAGTCTACAACATCTGTTTCATAAATGGATGTTTTATTGGCTATAAACGATGATAGCCAACCAAGAACCCAAACTGTATCACAAACGAGATAACCATTGAACTTTTCCATCGTCAACTTATTATGTAGTTATTTTCCAGTATCACCTGCATATGGTGTTTATGTCTCTCAACTTATTCGATAAGCAATTGTTTGCTCTGAGTACGATAAATGTTTAAAACGATGCAGGCTACTGACAAAAAAGTTGATGTCTCAGGGGTTTCAACAACCTCGTTTAAAATCAGCATTTTGTAAATTGTATGATCGTTATAATGACATTGTTTGCAAATATAATCTATCATTGGGCCGTATTTTGACTGTCATGGTTCAAACCTACTGGTATTTCTTTTTTCAATACTAAGGTTGAGTACGGAATAATCCGTCTACCTGATCAAAACATAAGGCGTGAGACGGGTGTGACCGGTCGACAGGGGATCCTTGCTTCTTCTGATCACCTGATCCCACCTCTGGATTTTCTAGGGGTCCTTTTTTGTGCCCTGTTCATAATCTTGTATCTTTTTTTTAAAAAAATGAGATCAATTATGTTCGTTATCTTCACCTTTTTCATACAGTATCAGGAGATTGGATTTTCCAACGATGATTTTACAATTTTTAAGGAAGTTTTCTGTGTTAACGATAAAGTTAACAAATAGAGTATATTTGACAAAGTTAATCTAAGCGCATAAGCCGTAGTTTGGAAACTTTATCAGTACTAGTCGATGATGTATCATAACAGTGATAACACACAATGTTATCTTGAGGGTATGATGTAAGTTTTAAGCTACTAACAAATCAATGCATCTAAAGAATGAATTCACATTAATTTAAGAAATAAATTCCCTTTGCAATGAATTTGGAACAAACAACGGGCGTTTAATCATGGAGTCACGTCAGCTATTTCCAGACTTGGACTCCCGACAAAATAAAGGCCCACATTAAAAAAAAAGAGGAAAATCTCTAATTCTCAATCTCAAGAGGTATTCTTAAGTAATGAATTGACTTCGTTAGGTAAAACACCTCTGTTAATTAAAATATATATCCAACAGCTATTAAATGTCCTCATATTAATGTGTCAATGTATCAAGATCTTAACAAAAATTTACTCTAGTTTACTATAGTTAACTATAGTAAATACTTTTACTCTTTGATTTATTTACTTTGAAACCAGTTTTATAAATGACCTTGACAACATTCTAGTCATTTATTAAGATTACAAATTTGCTTGATAATAAATGTACACAGCTTTATTACATCACAGCAGGTTTACTCATTGTGTGGTGCGGTTTTGGAAAAAAAGTATTAATGACAATACACTGTATTTTGTGTCGGTTAAAGACGCATAAACGGGCAACTTTACAGTACCCAGTGCTATGCGGGTATCATGTTTCCTTCACTTGTATTGCGATGTTTGAGTTTGGAGATCTATTGCTTTGTCACTTTGTTTTGTGACCGTAGAATTAGAGTTCAAAATGTCATCCAAAATTCAACCGATGTTTAAATTGCTGGCTTCAATGATTTTTATTTCTCTCTATACAGGTAAACTATCTTTTGAAAGGTTGCACTATACCCATAAAGCATCATCTCCTAACCTGTTCGTTTAAGAATAAATATTCAAATGGGTTTACAATTTTAGTCTTCGTTTTCTTTCTATCTGAGGTATCTAATATATATTCTTGGACCAGGTATGTTAATTGTTAAACAGTTTATATAGTTTGCAAATACCTTTTCGACATAAAATGGAGGAGTGTTTTGGATTGTTACAAACACTTATTAAAAGCCATAAATATTTCTTGGGCTGTCTAGTTTCACATGCATATTTGTGCAATCTATTTACTGATCGTTACTGCGAAGTTGAATGGCTTTATTTGTGCAACTTTGTTATCAAATCCTAACCTAAGACGCAAAACATCTGCTATTTACTTAAACTGATAATTATTTTTAATTTAAGACAAATTAATCCAATAGACTGAAACAATATAAAAACAGATATATAACGTAAAATCGATTATATACTTACTAATATTCCTACGGCTATAACTGCCACAAAATAGCCAATTATGACCAGAATATCCCCCCATTCTAACTCCGTACCCTCCACAGCCATCCCTGATCTTCCTCAGAACTTATAAAAATCACTGATCAGCCTCTGTCTGTGTGATCTGTATACACCTGTATTTTTTTTAAACAGGTAAAAATTCCGAATGGTTGACGCGTGAATCAGAGCGTATCCGGAACTGACGAAGGTGGGACTTTTTGAGGCGCGTCTAAAGAGACAACATACTGATTGTAAATATTTACCAGAAAATAAGAATGAAACTTCTTCATGTACGCACCCTGACATTACCATTGGTTTTACTTTTGACAAATTAACGTATTAGCGAGAAATTTCACCGACAATCAATCGCTTTTCTTTAAATAAAAAAAGTAAATTTTGAGTAACTGTAAACCTTACGGTTATATCAAACAAATTATGTTGAAACATGTCTTCCCTTTGAATTTAAATTGCTTCAGCTTATGTTGGTATCATTAGTATTCGTTAGTCATGAGTTTGCATACTGAAGACATCTTTAGACTAATTAAATAGAAGGTGTATAACAGTACACACTGCTATGTTAGTGTTTTAGATCTACCCCCTGTAAGGTACACTGACCCTATATGCACAGAAACAAGAAACACTGGTGTCAGCACTAATTTTATGGTCCGGAAAACTACTTTGAATATTGAAGAGCAGCACAGAACTCTGAATAGAAAAGCAAAACAAATCAAAACTTTTAATTATATAAAATATCAATATGCATATTTGAGTATCTTTTTAATATGAGCATTTTATGTAATCTAAATATATAGAGAAACTTCCTAAATACTGCACACACATTTCACAAATTTACATAATATAACCTAGCCTAAGATGACATTGAAATTCCCATCTTCTGGAGGTAAAGGATGACTGCACATAAGGACATGCGAAAATTGCGACAAACTTTCAAAACTACCATTTTTCTTTTAATTGTAGGAATGGTCGACATCTAATCTACAACATTACGTAATTACATTAAATAGAAGTATGTATTTACTAAGTACGAAGCTGTTTTCAAAGGCGGGGATCATCACAATTTCTTGAATCTCCGTCCGATAATGAGGACACCCACTTTTTCACAGAATTAATCAGTCATTCTACAAAAACATGCCCAATTAAGAATGTTTTATGTCGCTCACAAATTTACCTTTGTAATATCTTAATTTTAAATTTAAAGATCAATTTCAACTCTAAGAATTAATAAACACACATGGTTTTGTAAATATTTACCGATATATATGCAGTTAAAGTTTTGATATGAACATATTGAAATGTTGAAAAACGTATTCCACTGAAAATATTAATTTCGCTTCATTTATTTACAAATTTCAAGATGAAATCTTCAGCCGTATAAGCGTTTCCGAAAAGATTGCAATAAATGTTTTTAAAAAAGTTTTTTTTCCTATATAAAAAGAAATCAAACCACTTCTAGCAAAGAAATGCATGGATCTTTTTTCATACGAAATCATTACATGTCGCTGAAAATCAATTAACATCCGTAACGATTTTGTTAAAAATTTCACGCACAGGGTGCAAATTTCAAAAAGAACTGAAAATTATCTGAAAGTGACCACGGAACCTTATATCATCGATTCTAGTTACGAATCAGCTATTTTAGACCATTACATTTTCGACACAACAAAATGAAGTAGACATAAACAGTTGTCTCTAAAAATTTAACTTCCGTAACGGTAATTCAGGAAAGATTTTGCATTAAAGGTATAATTTTTTTTTATTATTTTTGGAGCGAAATGCTTAATACTTTTGTTTAACATCCTAAAACAAACGTTAATTTTAACTATTATTATTTTAACTATTTTAACTTTTATTGTTGGAAATTAACTTCTGTAATGATATTTTTCCCGAATTTTTAACTTAATATGGGATTTATGCGAGACTTCATGAATCATGCTTTAACGTTCTATACTGAACTCCAGAAAACGAAAAAGTGGTCAAATTCAGCTTTATTTAAAAAATAATAAGACTTGATCAAGCATTTACTTCCGTAACATTACCTTAAAATCAATGGTATATTGAAATTGTTGTAAAAAGTTAACGATAACAGATTTGTGGACAATTCTTTTTTAGCAGATCACTGATATGAACTTAGAGAATAATGATGTTTATTTTGCTATTTGAAACTATTATTTTTTTTTTTCATGTTTTATACCCTGAATTGGTCTTTTTATTGTATAGATTGACTGTAATGCTTAGTCAGCGAATGTTTCTCTACTGTTCTCCGTTTAATAGTAGTTGTATAGTTAAGGAATAACTGTCTAATTTTTTGGATTCATGATGTGATCAATCGAGTGGCCTGCGTGATAATTTGCATAAACGCCGAAGGCGTTTATGCATAAAATTATCACGCAAGCCAATCGATTGATCATCGTCATGAATCCAAAAAATCTGACAGTTATTCCTTATATTTACATGCTCCTGATTCTGCAAATTCCCGTGCTAATAGCCCCGCTTCTGTCTCTATTTGTCCCACCCCGCACGTGATTTTTTTAACCGCGCCTATCGATGAACCAGTAGATTTATGTAAAAATGAAGTACAGTGTATTTTTACAATTTGTAATTTTATCTCGGACAAAGACATTGGAAATGTAAATATTTGTGTCTAAAGGAGATTAATAGACAAACATGCACTTATGGTTTAAAAGAGAAAAAAAACTTCTTTTTACATTCGCTCTCTCTGTTATAACCAAGGGATGTGACATGTTGAATATTATAATTCACCACGTGATTTCTTTCCACAGGTAACTCTGTGAATAGTAAAAACCGTTACATGACTTGTAAGGTAGTATGTTTTGTGCTAACTAGGACACTGTGCTCGAATTGTCGGGCATCGATTCAAAATATCAAAACATTCTTTACTTACATGGACGTGCTCATATTTTTAATTTTGTTTTGAAACCTTTGTATCCAAATTTTTGCATTACAGAAAATTTTTAATTGCTCTTTTTAAGCATGCTTTTAAATGAACCTGAGCATTTATTTTATAAAGCTGATCCGTTTCGGGAAACAAAAACTAGATTGTTTCAAAATGATGCTGTAATTCATTTTTTTTTTTTTTTTACCTTTTTCAAACTGTTTAACTACGATAAATCATGAAATGAAATAAAATGAAAATTTAAAAAGTCTTCGAAGTTTAGAACCCTGTTACAATCGTATACTTGCAAACTTACTCTAAAGCAAGTGAAAAAAGGTTTTACTGTTACTAAAAAATAACAAATAGATTGATGATACAAGTATATCAAAAGTCTCGTTTACAGTCAACCTTTTCTCAAATTTCTCAAATACTATTGTCGATACAATGACTTAAATAACAAATACATTCCATCGGTAAGTCGATTGTTGACAGGCGTTTTTCATACAAATTGTTAGACCATTATATTTACGAATTTTTCACTTTGCCCGATCAAGACAAGGAGCAAACGGCATGTGTGACCAGTCGACAGGGGATTATTACTCCTCCATGGCACCTGATCTCACCTATGACGTTTATAGCTCACCTATGATGTTTATAGCTCAAGGTCCGTGTTTTCTCCGCTCCTAATTTGTATTGTATCAATTTACTTTCGAGCTTGTTTACTGTTCGTTATCTCATATTTCATTGCAATAGTTCGAGAACATGAAAAATAAACATGTTGTTTATCATTCATTTAAAACTGTTTACATTCCTTGTGATACTAGTATCCATTTCAACAATGTCTTGTTTTCCTTTTTTTACTTTACTGAAGAGTAAGATTGAAGAGTACCCTGAAAACTTCGTTTGAGGGGTATTTAGGAAGCAATATTTTTTAAAAGATGTATAAGGATCACTGTTACTATGGCAACGTAGTTTGAGGGGTGTATATGGATCTGCTTGTCGTGAATACAATATCATCTTCGTTTGTTTATTTTTACAACTACTACTGTATCTTAGGAGAAATTGGTTTTAATTCTGCATCTGGAATTACTACTTATACTCATAGATCACTTTCTAAGGATTAATTAAATTCTTCAGAATCAAAATTTCAGTCTTTAAAACTTTTAACTTTTAGAGGAAAGTTGATTGGATTTACCCCACCTATACTGGATTCCAAAACTTCATAAAAATCCTTACGAAGAAAGATAGCTTGCCTGGTCCAGCAACTGCTCTATTAAACCCCTATCTTTATGCCTCAAAAATTATAAACTGCTCTAAAGGATAAACTTCGGACGTGCTCTGCTACAGCACATTCGCGATTGGTGTAAATCAAGTGTGGATTGTTAAAAACTCCAAAAATCTTTTACAATACATGTATTTAAAATCACATTTTTTTTTTCAAAAGTCAGTAACATCAAAACGTATGTCTTTTCTAGACTTTATACAGTCATTTCTCAAAAAAAAAAATAATTAAAAAGTAGATTTTTTGATATAAGAAAACTCGGAAATCTTGTGATTTGTCATTTACTTTGTTAAAAACCACTCTAATTCTACACAAATAATTCTGAGATTGATATTAAAAGGATGCTAGAATTCCTCATTGATAACATCTATGTAGTCTTTTGACACCAAGTCTTCCAACACTTTGTTTAGATTTCGATGAGCACTAATTGTGCTCCTTTATTAGCCGACCTATTTTTATATTCTTATAAAGCAGAATTTATTCCAAAATTCTACATGAGAAAAAGACATGCTGTGGCCTTCAACTTGACATTCAGATATATTGACGACGTTTTATCAATTAACAATAGTTACTAACATTCATATGTCGACTCGATACTAGTATGTCCTAGCGAATTCGATATAAAAGACACCACATGGTCTGCCACATATGTTTCATATTTGGATGTTTTACTGACTATAGACGATAAGGACCAACTAACAACTGAACTGACCAACGAGACGACTTCAGCTTTTCCATTGTCAACTTTCCTTATTTATGTAATGACATTCTGCTATCATATGTATATGGTGTTTACTTCTCCCAACTTATTTGATACTTAAGAACATGATCAGAATACAATAAATTTTGAAACCGAGGCAGGTTACTGACAATTACGTTGATTTTACAGGGATTTCAACAACCTTCTTTAAAGTCAGCATTTCGTAAAGTCAGTCTACGGTCATTATAATGACCTTGTTAGCAAATAGACTTTTTATTTTGACTGACATTTCATACCAATTATGAGG